ATATGTTGTTTGTGAAAATGCTCCCAAACTTTCAGCCGTGATTGTTCTTTTTCTTTTGCTATCTGCTCACAGAGGTACGGCACTATAAGTGAATTGCTGCCCTCTTCAAGTGAAGTCTTTAACTCACTCTAGGATGGACGTCACTTGAAAATGTAAATTAACAATGGAAATATTTTGTTGACAATTTTTATTGTCGTAATTATTGCTGGTGTTGAATAATTGTTTCAGCCCTAGTAGTATATTAATATAGCAGTGTATTTATATTTACTTATAAGTATTTTTAGATTTATATACTGCTGTAGAATTAGAAATCAAATCAATTTGATTCTGGCATCAGAATCAAAAACTGCATCAAACCTGAAAACCTGAGTATCATTACACCCTTATTCAGCATCAAATATGTATTGTATCATTGTGCAAAAACACAATACATATGAATTTTGTGTATCATTACACCCCTAAAAATGACCAGTGTATCTATATAAACACAGCTGTGAATATGTTAATGAATCTACATCAACACAAATTCCACAGGAACATATTTTTTTGTTTGTATCCACAAAGCAGACATAAAAAGTCACTATAAAGTCAAGGGCAAATAGGAGAACAAGACGTAGCAGACTGGTGAGGTTACAGCTGCAGATCAAGATGTCATGTCATGTTGTGATAGATCTTCCTCTCCCTGACTCTCCCTCCATTTCCTGCCTTAGCCAGCTTTATGTGTTTTTTTTTTTCTTTTGTGTCACATTAAATAAAGGCACACATTTGACGTGTATGTCACTCTTCCTTTGTTACTATTCCTGTACAAAGAGTAAAAAGGAGTTGTCATGCATTCTTATGCTGTGTCTTAAAGTCAGAAATGTCCCTTCAAATGACATGACCTTTTATAGAGTTCACTGCAAGAATGTCTTTTTGTCTGGTTACCAATACAATTCACCAACCATTCTTAACAATACATTTCTTCTTAAAACCCACATACGTAGTACTCTTAGATAAGAACAGAATCTACACACACTCAAGAGCACAAAGGTGCGAACAATTCCGCAAATTAAGAACACATCACAAATCTGACACCTTTTCTTAAGACCTTGCTTAAGAACAAATTTAAGAAAAAACTTAGGAAGGTCTTGGGGAATGTTGTCTACTGTTCAAAAGTTAACCCTTCAAGCACGCTCTACCTTTTTAAGACTTCATGCCAGAAATGATTCAGTACACTATACTGGTTAACTGGCCCTTTTGAGATAAATTTTATGGCTAAACAAACTCCCTCCATGTCCACAAGGAGACAGCAGATCAAATCTCAACAAATGTTACATAATATTACATACATGCTTAGAAAAACAAAAAATTAAAAAAAATTTTAAAAAAAAATTAAAAAATTATTAAAAAGCACACCTGACTCCAATTACAGACATGTCAAAGAGCTTAGATTACCAAAACTCAGAGAGGATGATCTTCAATACATATTCATATGGTTCAGCTTCAGCAGCTCTCAAATGCATTACCTTAAGAGATTTTGGTAGGAAAAGTGTAAAGTTTTACACAACTAAAAAGCCACACTCTTTGCAAAGAAAAAGGTACAAAGTGGCTTAAGTTTAAAAAGTCGCTTATATGAAAAGGCAGCAGACGCATTACAACATTAATGTGTGGCAAGCTTTGAACTCAGGGACTGAGCCCTGTAGTGGCCAAACTTTATAAATCTTAAAACCGGGGACACTCAGAAAAGCAGTTTAATTCTTCCTTGTCTTATTGCTTTCACAAAATGTACTCATGCATGAGTACATTTTTCTTGTATTTCATTTTCCCCTGAGGTGTCCTTACAATGTTTATGTAGTTTAATGGACTAAAAACTGTCATAATTTATTTTTACATGACCATTTTCCAACCTCTCTCTGTGCCATAGAATTACACAGGCTTTTAATTCTGTAAATTTAAGACAGTTATATCTAAATAAAGTCTGTTCTGATTTTTCACCCTGTATCTTGCCTCATTCAAAAAGCAGTCCGGGCTGAAACACACCTTATAACTTAAGCATGAATGGGCAGGGCTAAACTGCTGTAGGCTGAATAGATGGATATACATAAATGTGTTAGTTTTCATGACATCAGACAAACATTGAATCAAAAACTGGCCATTTTTCACAGCAGGTCGTATCTCTGCATTTCTAATGTGGTCAGCCTTGTGAAATTTACAGCTTATTTTGGTGCTGGAAGAAAGTGCTGGAAGAAAGTAACCATGTCCAAAACGCATACTTCTGGAGGCACATGCACCACTGAGCAAATTCCTTTGAAATGAATAGGCACTAATGCTAATCACTTTTTATTACCTCTGTATTTCCAACTGCAGTCCTGGAGGGTCACGGACCAGCACAGTTTGGTGCTTTCTCTTCTCAAACACATCTACTAATCCTAGTAATTAACTGATTAGTTGAATCAGGTGTGATTAATTCAAGAAATCACCAAACTCTGCCGGCTTTCCAGGACGAAAAGCCGACCACCTCTGGCCTAAGACACGTGACCACTTCTCTCCTCAATCACAGCAAACACTACTGAGTAATTCCACTCAGCCTCTAGAAGATATATAATCACACAAGCTGATAAAAATCCAATCTTCCTCTTTTCCCCCTCAGCTGTAAACACTTTGAGTGATGGGCCAGGAGAGGGAGCTTAAAACAGCTCTACAATAATGTTGGGTAAGAACTCTGACCTGCACCATAAGACCAATTCAACCAGCTCTCAGAGAGCTCCTCATTTCATTTTGCTCATGCCTCTAACAGCACCACTGACGGCTCGTTGGAACGACGAGCAATGCTTTGCTGATGACCTTCCCGCGGCCCACTGCCGATTTCAAAAAAAGCACACAGGGCTTTTAACGGGCCTCAACAGCTTTTGTCAGGGATGGAACAGCCATCAGCCAAGTCCAATGTGGGTCACAAACAAACAAACAGCCACAATAAACACAGCGCTTCTGCTAATGAGGCCACAGACTAGCAAAGACAGTGATGAAACGGCCATCAGAATGCTTATTGGTTAATTCAAGTACATTAATTCAACAATTAAAATAAACACTGTCACAGGGAGAGCCTGATCTGTAAGGCTTTTCTCCTCAGTCAAGAACAATTATACACTTACAAACTTTCTGCTGCATCTCAAACATAGGGAGCCATAACAAATGACCCTGAACTGCACCATGACCAACGCAGTTATTTTAAAGTTTATGTGATTTTATCAACTTAATGTACAGTGGGGTCAATAATTCTGAGAGCACATTATAAACATGGGATTTTTTTTCATTTAAACCTAGAAATAAACAACAAGAAGATTTAAAAACAAAGAAAAGGTGTGATGAAATAAAATGAAGAAGAAATATTTGGCACTATTTTAGCTCATGCTCCAAATGTAAGCAAGTATGTGACACTGACCATGTTACCTTTGATATAAAAAAGTCAGATTTTACTTTTTCCATCTTAACCCAACTGCTGAAGCTCATGTTCACACGACTCTCAGGTGGATGTGATCTACTCATCAGAGGCTTTTGCACAAACTTGTGAAGTTCATGCCAACTCAAGTGCCATTAAGGCAAAAGGTATACATACCAATGCTAAAAAATTCAGAAATTCATGTAAATATTTCAAAGTTCAAAGTTTTTCATTTCAACTGCTTTGCTGATAACATAATTTGTCATGGACAAATTTGTTTTAAATTAAAATTAGAAAAGAATGCAAAATAGAAGCAGTTTTACTAGTGGTCTCAGACTTTTGGACCCCACTGTATATACATCACTCCACAAATTTCATTAAATTTTCTTTTCTCCACTGATTTGTGGTTCAAAGATGAAAGTAATCCATTTTTCACTCAAGCAGAGTGTCAAAACAATCACCAATATTTGCCTTTCATACCAAAATCATATTGTATCATGGCAATGTCTAATGACAACACCCCTGAACTGAACACTAGAGTTTTATGTAAAGCGTTAAACATGCACTGGGTGCATTCAGGTATTCCGGGTCACCAGGAAACAGGAGAACTCTTTCAATTTCTGCTGATGCCGACTGGCCTATTCTTTTTCACATAAACAAAGTAAAATACATTCACATGTATTAATATGGCTAATTAAAATACTGAATTACTTTTTGTTAGATGCTGATTAAAACAATGCCTTCATCTTTCATGTCCTATGACATGTTATCATATAACACTTTGTCTCATATGACCTGCTGTCCCCTAATACCTGAATCCAAACTTTTTCCAAAGGGTCCAAAAGCAGGAAAAAATAATGGATTCAAACTATTGCTTATCATCCATACCTTGTTACACAGATCCAGTATGAGGAACATTTGTCCACTAGCAAGAACAATGAAACTCCAGACAGAGAGAGGGCAGGGGAACTTTATTAGTGGAGCTGCGGTTGGCTGGACCATGTGCTTGCCTGATGCTGCACACATGACGGCGTGAGGCAAAAGATACGAGAGCAGCGCACTAACGCTGCATTAAAGTCCAGCTGAACGCAGCAGACCCTCCAGGAGCGGATAGTTTGGGATCCCATCAACAAGTACGACGCAAGTGAGTCGACGCAGGCTGTTGCGAAACGGGTGGGAATTTCATAACGCAGGAAAAAACTAAGTGAGGGGCTGCGTAACGGCAGGATGGGTCACAGGAACCTACAGGAACTGTCTGACGGGGTTTGTTATTGCGCGGCTCGTGCTGTCCGGGCGCTTGGGATGAGGGATGCTGAGCGTGACGATGCATTTGTCCACCGCCGAGGAGACGAGAGGAGAGAAGAGAGGAGGAGAGGAGAGAAGAGGCCCCGCGCCACGCACACAAAGCACCGGATCCGGGAACAAACCGAGATTTAAAACGCCTCACGAACACGCAGCACACCAGAACATCTGGAGCGCTGGACGGAATGGAAGTTCCACTCTCAGCCTCGCTGTCTCTGCCTCTGCTGCGCTCCACGCCTTTTTACCGCCGTACTGAAGTTCTAGGAAAGCGCACACTCACCTTTGCGTCTTGCTCCAGATGCGCTCCCTCCGGCCAGATGCGCTCCCGTGCCGCTAGCCGAGCGGAACCCGGGCGAAACCTGCGCCGCACATTCCGAAACATCCAACAGCGGCAGCAGCACTAGCGCCATCCAACGGCTGCGCGCCGAGCTCTCGCGAGAACGCGCGTGTTTTTTTTTTCAGCCTCTGCCAGTCTGACATCACAGCCTGAGCTCGGTGCTGCCATCTAGCGCAATTGCGCGCAAATCCATTACGTAATCACTCCTTATTTTTCCTGAATGTAGCTTTGTGGTGAGGATTAAAAGACTGCGTGCTACGTTCTAGTGGACCGAAAGTGAATGTAGTGTGTAATGTGGTTAGAGGGTGAAAGGTGACCCCCAAAAGTCCTATTACTCAGCTTGACCAGTGACCTCCGCAGTCAGTGTCATGCAAAGGCATAAAAAATCAGTTCTCCACTGTCACTCCTTTTATTTTTGTGTTCAGAGATCATTCCACAGTAATGAATAAAGGTTCCTTGCACTGCTAAATAGACATAACATATGCAATCTGTCTAGCCTCTTTGCCATGTGTAGGCCATGTTGTCACGAAGAGGTTTCATTACAGCGAATGAAGCGTAATATCTTGCAAACATAAAAACAGCTATGTGTAATATGCTGTGATGGGCTTCCATCCGTGAAAACAGCAAATGGCACAGGAAAGAACGAAAATGTAATAGGCCAAGTGGGATCTCATCTGGGCTGCTCTGCATTCCATGCAAATACATACACATCTATTACAGTTCCTCCTCTATCAGGTTGATATGTGAGTGCACCAACTCCTTAGAGACAGAGCAGGCACATATATATGTGTGCGTATACATGATGAATGTTCACATGTATATCTATGTACTTGTATGTGAATGTGAGCATCACACTACTGTGTGTGTTTATTGCGGAGAATGTAAGTATGTCTGTGCTATAGCAGGATAACAGGGTCCTCAGAGGTCGTCCGTCTCTCCGTCAAAGGGGATAGCGTCCAGGTCCATGTGGATGTGGCTGGGCTCCTCGTTACACACCCAGCCGATAGGTGTGCGGTTGAAGGAAGGTCTAGAGTTGATGTCGTACTGGAAAACGGGCACTGGCTCCGGCTCCTCAGGGGCCACCTTGACCTCTGGGATCTCGAAGGTCAGCATGCGAGAGGCCTTGTCAAATCCACCAAAGGGCAGAGCTGTCCTGTAAGACCAAGCAGAGAAAGCATCTTGCAGGAATGTGTCATGGGTAGTTTGCAGAAATGAGAAACCAGGGTCTAGTAGGGTTTGTGTCACTCAGTCAGTCTCAAGGTCTAATTTGGACTGTGCTCCCTCATGTTCATACAGCTGTATGCAAAGGATTGAGCACGCTGGGCCAAATTACACATTTTCTTGATTTTTGAGATGAAAAGAAGTAAACACGACCAGTGCAGCATACTGTTTTATACAATGCACAGATAACTATCTTATACAGTGCACAGTTACTTTATATTTCATTAACTTAAAATGTTTTTTAAAAATGATAAATTATATTAATACAATGAGTGATAGTAAATCATAGTAATGATAGTAGTATGGCATGTGCAAAAATTTGGACACTGTTCTAGTAGTAAAGTCTTAGGACAAAATTACCTTACTAGGCCTTAATTGACACATTAAGAGCCTTAATGAACTCCTCTAAGCAGCTGTCTAAGAATCTGAAAAAGAAGCTAATTGCATACAACAGTTTCCAGCTCCAGCAAATTCCACTCTCAGAAATGTCATTAAGAAAAAAGGCAGGGCCAGATCTGGAAGACTAAGAAAACTCTCAGATGAAACTGCTAATATGCTGGCAGTAGGCAAAGCAAAGCCTCCACATGACAGCAAAGGACCTGCAGGAAGGTTTAGCTGACACAGGAGGAGGAGCTCTGTTCTGCTGTGCATTATTGTTGCACAAACATGATCTTCATGAATGCATCATCAGAGGGAAACATTACCTGTGACTTCATCACAAAAGTCAACATCTGAGGTACGCAAAGAAACATCTAGACATGCCAGAGGCATTTTGGAAACTGGTGGAGTAAAAGGTAAAATTTGAAATATTTGGCCATAATGGTTGTTTGGAAAAAACAGAATGGAGGTGGAGGTATATGCTTTGTGGTTATGTGGCAGCCAGTAGCACATGAAACATTGCACCAGTAGATGGATGAATGGATTTCAATAAATAGCACTAAATTCTAAAAGCAAATATGGCACAGTCAGTCAAGAAACTGAAGCTAGAAAGAGCCTGGCTTAGGAACAATGATCCTCAAAATATCTATAAATATATCATGAACTGCCTGTAGAACATAAGCTGAAGCTTTTAAAATGGCCCTTACAGTGCGCTGACTTGAACATCATTGAAAGATCTTAAATATGATGTGCATGTAAGACGGCCCAAGAATATTGCAGAGCTAGAGATGTTCTGCAAGAAAGAGTGGGAGAAAATTCATAAAACTAGTTAATCAAAAAAGTAACAGTTTATAAACATGTGCAGAATCTGTTTGCTGCAGAGAATGTGTGGCTTTGCATACAACTACATGTTTTAAGATATAGATGCATAATGATTTTGGGATCATATTGCTATTGGCAGATATTTGATTAAAAAAATAAAATAGCATCTTAGGACAGATTAGAGGACAGATTAGATTTGCCGAATTTCAAAGTGATATTTGATGGCATAGTTATTGTAGTCCAAAGCAAAAAATACCTCATTAAAATGCTGCAAATTTACTGCATCTATAGCAATTATGCTAATCCAGGTAAATCTAGTCCCAATTTAATCATTTTTGCGAGTGTTATTATGTTGGTGTCAGAATCAGCTGATTACATGAAAAACACTGGAAACTGACATTAGCCCACTATTTACTGAAGTGTGAAATCTAAAATGAAATTCTTGGTTAAAATGGATACCAAAAATAGGACAAAATTGTAAATTCTTTATTTATTTGTTTTTTTTTTTATAATGAATAAATTAAAATCATAAAAAGAATTATTATGAAATCAGTCCTTTAATATGGCTGCATTCCAAGTTACTGAAGACTTGACAACCAAGTTGCAGAGTTTTGCCAATGATGATTCGCTGGCGCTGTGTGTAGAAGAAGTCAGCGGTGATCATTGCATGTGGCTATAGGAAACAGCATTTTTAACCGTTATTTCTATTCTTATTCTCTGACTCATTAAATGATATGTAAAGTGTTATATTTTGATACTTTATTGTAAGTTTACTTAATCTTACAGAAATTGAACTTTCCTGTAATTTCAGCCTTTTAAGTCTTATTTTTGTCTTTTTTAGCTAAAAGTCTTCAGTGGTCAAATTTTTGGTACATCACTACTTTACGGTTCTAGAGTCACACAAATTGGTACCTATTGAAACTCTTATATTTGGGCAGGTCCTGCTGCACATGAGGCCCTGGCATTTGTGGCTTCATGGTGGCCTTGAGTTCCTCATTGTCCTTCATTGCGCGCTCCCATGGCGATACATATGTTTTCACATATTCACGCCTCCTCTTCTGCTTCTCTGCCTCAGGATCAACTTCATCTGTTGATGATGACCATGATGAAAAATAACAGTTCAAAGCCTCAAGGAAAACTGTGATGTATGAATACCTCTAGATAACCTTATACATCCCTATATACATACTCTTCTGCCTGCTAGTCATTCTATGAATCATAATGTCTAACTCATTATTGCACTGAATAGACATGTGTCTAGGCCATACTATACCTTTTGGTGGCTCTGGGGCTGGAGCAGGAGGAGTCGTCACTTCGCAGCCTAGAGAAGGAACCAAGTCCTGGAGATTTTGCTGGAAAACCACAAAACACAGAACCAATCAGCATGCCATACAAGTCAGAAATGGACCTGCTTTTTTGTGAAGGGTGTATTTGTGCCACACTCTTGTGATTACACACAAGATTGAGTGATTACACATGTAAAAGTTCCAAATGAGTCTTGGCTTGGACAAACGGTATAAGTAAAATATTATTTATGAGTTCTTTAAACTTCAAAAAGGTTCACTCACTCACTCACACATCTCATTAACAAAATGGTTCTTAAAACCATCAAGTGTAAGGTTCTTCATAGAACCAAAAGTGGTTCTTCTATGGGATCACTCCAAAGAACCCTTTCTGAAACGTTTATTTTCAAGAGTTTATGATCGTCATAATCAAACTAGACTTACAAGGAAATTTATTGTAGAAAAAATAATGTAAATCTATTCAGAGTTATACATAATTTTCACACAAATATGTCAATATTGCCAAAAGTAAGTAAATTGAGGGACAAAGCCATAGACTCTTATAATAAACTCTTTAAGAAGCTGTTGATGCATCCACTCAAAAGGGAGGGGGATTTTTACCCATTTCTTCCTCATAATTCAATTCTCACATGCTTGCTATGTTTTCCATGCCACATAAAGCTGGGAGTGTGAGGGCTAGCACCCAGATATGTGGTAAAACCTCATTTTTCGCACTAAATAAAATGGGAGGAGAACACTAACTGTCAATCCAGTTATGTCTGATAACAGACTTGGCTAGCATCTCGCTGGGTGATGGGGAGAGAGAGGGCTATGCTAATCACCCAAAGAGAGCGAGGCCAATTATGTCCACTTGAACTCATGGCCAAAGATGGCTCTGGCATCGCCTAGGGTCAAACTCCCAATTTCACAATGACAGGGCAAGTGCTTAGATGGTTCTTTAGGAAATGAAAAATGGTTTTCTTTCATGCCGTCTAAGGTGCAAGGTCGAGTCAAGTCTCGAGTCTTTGGAGTGTGAGTCCAAGTTGAGTTTTGAGCTTGTAAGCATGCTTGCAAGGTAGTATAACAGCTAGTCCAGCTGAAGATTTTCTAAGCAAATAAATACAGCTACAATGAGGAACTGAATGGAAATGAAGATGTGAATACTTTACTTTTATCATGCAGATTTCTAAGTCCTGTGAGGATTTCTAAGAGACTATGCGTCAGTATGCGAGACTATATGTATGGGTATGTGTGTGGTGGTTGGGTGGGATGTGGGTTGGGTGTGGGTGGAGGGTAAAAGGGGTGGTATAATAATGTTTAGTGATTGTCATGTTATGTATGGTTTGTCTAAAAAGCTCAAATAAAAATTTGATTACAAAAAGATTAGCTGACAGCTAAAGCCAAATTCACTTTCCTTTAAACACCACATTTACTGCACGTAGCACTTCGTTCTGTCCTTCTGGGATATTCCACTCTGGGATAAGACCCACGTTTAGGCCTTTAGCGACACTCTCTTATCTCTCGCACTTACCAGGTTCTCATTGCTGATGATGAACTTATCCACTCTCTGCTGCCTCATCTTGAACATCTTGGAGCCCTTACCCTTCATGAGAGACAGCTCCTCTAGCATCACCTCCTTTGGGGTCTTAATCTTGGTCCCCAGGTCAAATTCTGTGGCCTCTGTTTCCGTCACCTCTGGGAACACATGAACAGAGTCGTACATGAAAATAACACAATGGATACAAATGATGTCGTTTTAAGTCAAAATCATATTAATCAGATAATTTGTGTGATATAACTTGTTAAAGTTTTGCACTAGACAAATACCTCAGACACTTCACTGAGCATGAGCTAGCATCATCAGCAGCCACTGAGAGTCTGACCGAAGCCAAGGATGCTCATGATGCCCAGAGGTGTGAGTTTAAGTACACTCTAGAATTCACAAAAGCCTCTTAGTGCTCACCAATTCTCAAAGTAAAAGATATATTTTCTTTTTACTTCACAATAAAAGGATCTGATCCATTTTACAGGATGGAAAGTGCACTTCTGTGTCGTTCGTCATAAAAATCTCCCTTCATTCGTTCTCCTGTTTGATATCAGCCATAAACCCTGGAGTCGAGCCACAGCTGATGCCAAAGAGAAGGATGTTGTGCTGAGCGTTGCTTGCATTACATCGTAAATCAGACTCTTGGCCCTGCTTTAGCTTTGCGTGTGTGTGTGTGTGTATATATATATATATATATATATATATATACACATATATATGTATGTGTGTGAATATATGTGTGTGTTTATATGTATGTTTTCCATTTTTTGCTTCATTCCTTATGCTTGGCTGATCATGTAGCTCCTATCACTAGTTCCATTTTTTTAAAGTAAAGAACTTAAGTGTCTCACTTTGACACTAACGGTGACTCACAGCAACAGTATCACTAATATGGAGTTTGGTCAGCAAAGGTTTTTTGAAGGGTCATCCTGTCCCACTATATATATATATGTTACACAGCCATTAACCTCTTGATTATATTATAGTGAGATTTTAATAATAACATAAAGTGCAATATTAGGTCAATGTCCCTTAGCCAGGGGGCCAATGTCACAAAACGCAGCACCAGATACCAGATTTTCCTTAATGTTTACTGTAAATAGTATGGTAGTAACATGCTTGTTCATTCATAAACAAGGATTACCGTGTAGTTTACCGCTTGCGAGATGTGAGACATTGTTAAAGTTTTATCCCATTTATATTTTGCAGTAGTGATTCAAAACACAAGATAATCCTGCAAAAAATAATGCCTGAGCCATTCTGATGGTGATTTTCCCAGTAAACCTAATCATCACCATGGTGATTTATAAATAGCTCTTATGTACCATGCCCCACATTTTGTGTGGCGTAGCGCTATTACCACTGAGTTTTATGAATCTGACCCTAAGAGTTTTTGTTTGACCTTGCTTAGAAAGGCATTTTTTTTAAATGCTTTATCGATCTGACCTTTGTTTTGAATTTTAATTTGAGAATGACTTTAAACTTTACACCAACTTCCTCAAAACTGACTGTTTGCAAAATAATGATCGACACATTCAAACAGAGTCATCTCTAAATGTTACTTCCTCTGCCAAGTAAAGGAAAAACTTCCAAAAACTCTTCACATACTTGTAGTGAGGATGACGGTAGCAGTAAATTGGTCAAATTGTTAGTCTAAAAGATGGTGAAAAGGTATTACTTAAGAACAAGTAATTAAAATGCATGCTATTCTGTTTAACTCAAGAGTGATGATGTTTTTATGTCATTTCTGAAGTTGAAAAAGTTTTGAATTAATCCATGTTGAAGCCCACACTCACAGCTCAATGACAAACTATTAACAGGTGGACTTACACTGGGTCTAGAAACTGTACCTGGGTTACTATATTTGCTAATAGGTGGCCTGAGCTGAATGTTTGACGGGGATAGCAACAATAACTAAGGGCAGCAGGCAGGCCCAGTCAGGTGGTCATTAACTGGAGCAATAGCCCACCAAGCAATCATCATGTGCCACTTAACCTAGTAGCTTTTATATGTTCTTTTTACAGCAGCACTCTGAACTAACTGCATTTTAGAGATGCAGTGCATGTTGTAGGAAGATAAATTAGCGGGTTTTTGGGGATTTGCAGTAAATATTGCTCTCCTGTTGTTTCACTACTGAATGGATGGCTCCTTTTGACAGACCTACCTTACATTCTTCCCTCTGAGCCCATGACTGACAAAGAAATCAAGTGGTATGAGTACAAGCGTACAACAAATCATGCATCACATATCATGAGAGAGATAGATAGCGATATGTATATGTATTTATATATATATATATAAAGGACAAAGTATGAGTGAAGAATTTGGAGCTGCTAGAAATCTTCCTGGAACATCCCTGCTTAGCGGCTATAATCTGGCTGTTGGTTTCGACGGCTGTGAAAGGGGAGCTGTGTGCTGACAATGAAAAAGCGGACGTGCTGTCCTGTAAACAGACGAGTCATTATGAGCGCGGTGCCTGGCAGATGAAGTGGGAGCATCCGATAGGATTAATCAGCTTTCATACACACTCATGTCACACTCACACAGAGTCGCTCATTAGAGGACAGCAGTGAAGTCACACACACATACACACACACAGACACCCACTGACAGCATCTCAGAGATCCTGTTAGTGGAGGATAATTAGGCGGGTACACACCTTACACTAACTGCTCATCATATGCCTGCTTTTCCACTGTATGATGCTAATGACTTTATGGAGGCAGGAAGCAGATTGCCATGCTATATATAATTTTTTATTTATTTATTTATTTTAGCTCTATGTGTGTTCAACATTTGGCACTAATGGGTTCCCACGTTTGGTACACAAAGACTTATTTGTGAGATAGAACAATAGAACAACACACTCATTTTTCGCATTGCCACTGTGCTTTTATTAACAGATAGCCGAGCACAACCTAACGCATTTTGTTTTTTGTTTTTTTGGGGGTTTTTTGCTGAATAATTCTAATGGTAGTTGAGCAAGATTATAATTTTTTTATACAAGCAAACTCTTCTATAAATGAAAACACAATGCAGCTAAAATCAAAAAGCAAATATTACAACTTACCCCATAGGCAGGGTTAATTGAAACAGGCTAAGGGCCTAGTCTGAAAAAATCGATTCAAAATGCAATTAACTCAGTAGAGTTCTATACTGTGCAACATAAATACATTAATATATTTGTTTAAAACTAAATATGATTACTGACGGGAGGCTTAGACGAATCTGTGCATATAAATTTCCAAAAAGTTGACTGTTTTGAATATTGAGGAATATGGACTTCTTTCATTGTTTATTGGGGAGGTTTATTTGTCATACTGTTTTATAGCTAACCCTGGCATGTGGAGGCTATACTTTAGCCCTGCTAGCTTTCACTGTGAGTTGTTTACATGCTTCAAAGTGGTGCTATATTACAGTCAACAGGAGGGTCGTTGCAATAATATAGTGAGTTGAACACACAAATCAGTTCTTTTTTCATGAAAGAAGCTGCTTTCAGAGTGTCTTAGATAGAATCTCAAGAAATGTCTGACCAATTGCTGTGAAAATTAATTGCTATTTAAACACGAAAAAGTGACTAAAAACACATTTCACTATATAAAATATTAAATAATATTATAAAATATTATGTCACATTTTATCTTGTGTTAGATTGCGCCCCACTCTCTTTTCGTCATATGAACACAACAGATGTAAAACAGTAAGAGATTCTGATGATTTCAGTTTGCATTTATTTATGGAATTTAGTCAGTTTAGTAGCGGCAGGGCTATTTTGGATTTTTTTTTTAATATGTTCCAGCATACTGTTTACCCATTTGGAAGTTCATTCTAACATTCATTATTTTATTGATGTATAAACTAGGCAGATAATGACCAATTTACATGGAAATTAGCTTACAAAAAACATCCTGACTGATTTTACTACAATACTTATAGTGAATTAAAGGTCCACAAACTCATATTGTACATTCTCTGGACTGAGATGAGTAGCTGAGGCAAGTAATTATGAACATCCGTTCCGTGAGGGAGAAGTACATGCCTCATATGTTCCAGATTGACGGAACATTTGTCTGAATGTTCCACATAAGGGATTTCCACCCAGAGAGTTAGCTATGCTCTACACAGGGCCTGAGAAGGCCAGCTGACTCTGGTCTAAAGAGTGCTGGGAGTCACAAGACACATTTAATGATGAGTGATATTTACAACTCCTCTGAATGCTCCATTAGTTCTCAACCTAATCTTTATCTGCCATATCTGTGTTGTGCGGTCGAGTGCCACAAACAAAGAACAGAAAACTGCTGACACGTGCTTCAGCTTGCTTCTGACTTTTACAAGTATGTTTTGAGTTAACAGCTTTCCTAAGTTTAGAGAAATGTGACACCATAATTTTCCATGGTAATCAGTTATACAATACAGATGTGGCAGCTTCTGGATGTGAGCATGTTCTCATATTCATGAGAAAGAGGAGATACTCACCATCTTGTGTAATGTTGGAAAGGTCAGTGATTATTTTAGAGGGCTTTTTCCTCTTGTTTGGAGGAGCAGGAGTTCCAGACAGGGGCATCTTCACAGCCTGTGTTAGTGTAAACAGAACCATGTCAGCAGGTTCATAATAAAGAAACTGCCATACTTTACTTCATACTCATTTTTTTCTTTGGAGACATCTATTAGACAATTGATATCTACAATATTTGGTTATTATACACAAAACTATTGCAAATATTTTGGCTCTTTTAAAGGCAATGGCTTAACACCTTTAAACAGTCCTTCTAAATTAATTGTGAGAATTTACAGGGTGTGATAGACAGAGAGTCATTTAGACTACAGGGCTAGTAACTCAATCATCACCAGTTATTTTTGGCTACACTTGAACAGCAGGTACAGTTACTGATCCTGAAAATTTCTTCTCCTAAAAAAGTACCTCCACAAAAAGCTCAATAAGACTCATGTTTTTATCTGCATCCTGTTTTTCAATGCAAACATTTTAACATAATTCTTAGAGAGGAAAGCATTAGAAGTAGCATAAACAAGTCTCTTGTTGCAGTGAGGATATTTCTGTTTGAGCAAACTAAATCAATCCACCGCCAGCAGAGGAGTGCGCCCGGCTCAGCAAATTCCTCAAATGTCCTGCGCGTCCACACCAGGGCATCTGCAAAATTACTGTGCACTATTTAAAAAAAGGCCTTACTACAAAATCCCTTGCTGCTATTTTTTTATATACTGAGTGAATGTGATTCATAAAAGCAGTAAAAATACCAACAGTCATTGAGTGGTCAATGAACGTCCGCCCTTGAGTAGGCCTGGTGTCTGCATGGACAGCCTCGCAATTAATAAGTCATTCATGAGTCATTTGAAGATCAGAAACATTTGTTTGAAAACCTGTTCTTAAAAGGATATGATGCTCTGTGTTCTCTGAAACTCCAAACTTCAGGAGTAACTTTATCTCATAGCAGTGATTTATACTATTAATGCCTGGAAACACTGAAAGCATACCTCAAGCCTCAGTTCAAAAGCAGCAAATCTTGTCCATGTTTTGGGTGGAACAGTGTAAAGAGGAATAAATCAGCCCAAGCCCCTCTCGCGTGTCAGTCAAAGTTAAGATTAAGAGCTCATTACATAACTTTGCCTTTATCACCCCGAGTTTGGCATTCATCCCCTGCAGTTTAAGCACTCCCCTGGCACAAGCCCCCCTTCTTACCTAAGACAACAGAATCCTTTAGGAAGAAAATAAAGTTAAATGAAAGTTTTAACAAAAATCCCAGAAAAGACTGGTTTTGGATAAATCCAAATCCTTGGTTTTGGCACGTCCTGGGTTTCCTCAGCTGTTGCTGCTGCTGCTGTCTTCTACATGCCAAAGAGAACGAAAGCAGAGCAGCGATTGGGGTGGCAGGGGTTTTTGGCCTGGGAGGGGGACTTCCTTCAGTGTGGTACAAAGAGCAAAGGCAAAGAGCAGGGGCAATGGTGAAGGAGATACTTTTCTTGCAGATGCTTCTCGGGCCTATATATGGAACGGTGGAGAGCAAGGAGTTTTGAGAGAGGCCCCACACGAGGACCGATAGAGAGAGAGTGAGAGAGAGAGAGGTTTTCACTCTTAAAGGAGAATTCAAAAGATTTCTGCATAATTAAATGGTTAAGATGTAAACAAAGTCATTAAGAGTGGTTTGGTGTAAAAGGTTAAAGAGCCAGAATTGTTTATAGTGATGGTGATAGGAACCAAATATCTAGAGAGTTTAATGCCTTCAAAAGCTACCTGTAGGTTGTTTTTACATATAGTTACAAATACATTTCCTGATGTTTCCTGTTTAATGGTATGTTCAAGGCCACTGGTTGACCTTTTTTTAATTGTGGAGAGATACATTTAGGGTGTTCTAGCATTTTTCAGATTTATTACTATTTTATCACAAAAACTCAGGAGAAACATGCAGGTTTACAGCTCATCTTTGGATAGTAAATAAAATGCTAAATGTGGGTTGTTGACATTGAGATCCCTGGTTCCTATCACCACCATGGCAAAGAAATCAGTAAGTTTCTCTACAATGAACCATTTCACATCAAACCTCTCAGCATGACTGTTTACATCTCATTGACTGAATTATGCATAAAATGTGATTCATCCATTGAATTCCCTTTGATAATCTTTGGTCACAAACCTTGACTGGATTCTCTTTTGACATTATAGACGTGTCTATATTAAAAATAATATAAAAAGGCAGAAACTCCTGTGATAAAATGCAGCAATCACTGCTGAACTGTATCCTTTTCAAATGATAATACTTTTGCTATTACTCAGATATATACTTATAAGTACTCTGCTTTTTCTTCATTCCCACTCCAGCTTCATATTAAGCTACTAACTCTCTATTTGTGTTTAATTTCATTCTGTTCTGGAGGTTCAGCTCCTAAGCTGCTTTGCTGTTGTTCACACCTCTTACTTTCATGCTTTATTGTTTTACTTTAGACTAATGGACTAAAAATAGAGCAGAATAATGGCTAACAAACTTCACTTCCTACACTGATAGATGCTGGATGTGCCATAAGCTCCACTACAGTTCTTTTGGGAACTCTATTGTTTTTTGCTAGGCTACTTTCTTTTCTTTTCTACCTCAGTCATTATTTCACTGGAGTTACAATACTTATGAGCATGGTTTTAAGCTACTCTACCCACCTCTGGCTAAGCCTGTGTGCAAGAGTGAATTAGGGATAGTCAATATGGGATATAAACATTTGCTCAAGTCAGCAATTTAACTCGTACCTCGGGCAGTAAAGCTGATTTACTCAGTATAATAAGGGAAGGAAATAATTTTCCTTCTTATGTTGAGAGAATGATCTTGTCTTGATTGCACAAGGCATTTACAATGGTGTGAAGCATCTCTATTAGAGATACTCTATATTCAGCGGCCTTCCAGTGGGCGGCTCAAGCAGTGGAGCGTTTGACAGAGCCCCCGAATGAAGACTTATTGCTCTCGGAGAAGAGGCGAGCTTATTTACAGTCGGTGTCCCACCAATTTAGAGCCTGGACAATAAACCCAATACGGTATGCAGAGAGAGTCCTGTCAGTGCTATCCAGCCTAGGACCTTTCAATGTCAATCAGGAAATCGGTTAATCTAGTGTTTTGAAGGAGGAGGTCATGCAAATGTTGATGTAACAAAGTGCCCAGGCATTATTTATCACCTCAGAGGAGAGCGGTGTTTGGTAGAGTAGCATTCTGCTGAAGTTCATTTGTGCATAAAGGAGCCTGCAGTGACATATCCAGTGTCATAAAATGCCTGTCATTATAACTCATCTTTTTATAATGCCATGGACATCTGGTATCAATTATTGGCCTGCATTATTACAATTACAATTGTCGCCATCATCAGATTAAGGATTCATCTTAGGGCTCAATTGTAGGATTTATGATGTCCTGTTTTTGTTTTCATTTTAAAGTCAACCAGCACTTAAAAGATACACATACACTAATAATTTGCCATGAATTTAATTTACTTGATTCAAATTTCCATATCAACAAAATACAATTTTGTCTTTCAGGTGTACATTGATGTAATATACAGCACTCATGAATTTTCATGAACTTTGAATTTTTTATTCAAAATTGTGTACAAGGCCATTGTGTACAAGCTATTCATTTTTTAGCACCGAAAAAAAGACCATTAAACTCTGTATGTACATTCTATACATTCTATATAACATCAAATCTATCAATATTTAATTTATCCATTCTTTACCTTTGTGCACCCTACTGTCACTTAAACTCTTCCATCCTTTCCATCTTTAAAACCAGCTAGAGGTAACAGCTGTGTCCACCCAACAAAAGCTGTTCCCAAAGGAGTCACTGACATTATGTTCTCCTTCAAAAAGTCGCTAACATTAACACAAGCAACTACCCAAACTCACCTCAGCTGCCTTACAAAATCTAAAATAGATGGAAAAGGAGATATTTCTGAGTAGATTAGACAATCCATTTGCATAAGGAAGAGGAAAGTCAGAGGAAAAGAAGCAGAACAAAAACAGGAGTTTCCAAAACTGAAGTTCACAAAACTATCAAAAGTCTTCTAACAACTGTGCAAGACCTTTTAGACCACCGAAACTATTGGTGTCACACAAGCAGTACATTTTAGAAATAGGAGGAAATGAAGCTCCACTCTTGCTTAAGATCTGCAAAAGTCCATAGCTGTTTCCATGTGAAATGTGGAGGTTTTATAGACTGAAGAGTCTAAATTGGAAGCAGTTGGCACAGGTTATAACATAATGGGTGCCCCCATTGCCAACAGGCTAGAGCTCAATTCCTTACCTGGGCAACACTATGCTTAAAACAAGAAGGATCATTGATTGAGACTCTTAACACTTCATTCACCTCCTGAACATTTGAATAAGAGTGTCATGTAAATGTAATTTGGATTACTTGGATCATGAGAGACTTGCAACTAACCTCTAAAACTGAACTTTGGCAATAACAGAATATCTCTGCAGATTTCTTTGAAAAACTGAGAGTCAGTAACTTTTACTGGCCATTTTATGGTCTCTGACATTTGCATACTAGTGTATACTATATGTCTAAAAGTTTTCCGACACCCCTTCTAATTAGTAAATTAAAGTGCATTTATTACACACATAGGCTTTTATTGTGCTCATAATTGTGCCTTGCTCCATACACATGCATTACCAATAGAATAAACACTCTGGAGCAACCACACATGAGCCTAAGGTCAAAATGCCCAGTGCTAAGCATCAGCTAGAGGGATATAAAGCCTGCCTGCATTGACCTGTAGAACAGTGGAATTGCGTTCTCTGAAGAGACAAACTAAATAACTTTGGGATAAACTGCAGTGGCATTTTTGATCCAAGACTAAACATCTAACATCAGTATCTGACCTCACTAATGCTCTTGTGCCTGAATGCAATCAAATCCTCACAGCAATGTTCCAACATCTAGTGTGAAGCCTTCCCAGAAGAGTAAAGGCTGTTACTGCAGCAAAATGTAGACAAACTTGATGTCAGAAGAAACAATTGATGAACAGCTATCAACAAACTTTAGGTCACAAATTGTATTTTATTAATGTGGAAATGATGGACACGTTTGTATTAAGCAATTTCAAAGCAGCACGTTTTCAGTGATTGTATCAGTGACTGAATCACATTGTAAAAATGTGTTGCGTTTAGCTCTCAGCCAAATACTCGCTTATTAACAGGACTATAAATAAGTAGTGGGAGCATGCTAAAGCTGGCAAGATGGCTCCAGCACACTGAAACACAGACCAGAATCAGTACAGTACTGGCCATCACCGCTGAGGAGGCTCCTCACAGAGCTACCAACCTGCCGCTAAAGTTAGCACCTGATACCCTGACATCTGATCACAGGCCTAAGACCTTAGAGGAGGTCAGCAGGCAGTTCACCTTGTAGAGGAGAATCAAATAACCCAGACAAAGTTACAGCACATGTCTCTTGTTAATGCCACATACCTATCTGGACATCTGCCAGAAGCACTCAAAAATTTACTGAAAAGATGAAAAGACATTCAAGTGTCAGTACATGTGAGTGCAGTGTTTATCTTCTGAGGAGTAGCATCAAGGTGAAATGCACTGTAAACTGTGATAAGTCTAATCAAACTTTTTGAGGTAACTCGCTGCCTCAAATGAAGTTTTAAATCTTTTTTTTTTTATGTTTTTTTAACTTAAAATGTAAGTAGACATCACACAGACTATAGTGTTGGGGAAACTTGAGCTTTTAAGTTGGGGTAAATACATTATTACATGATTGACATAATTGTAATGACTACAAACTGTTGTTTGAAAACCACATCTGAAGGAACAATAAGAGCTAATAAACAAAAATCAAATCATTCACTAGGAATTCTGGATGACTCCGCCCCGTACTCTATCACTTGTCTTTTTGAGTTTGTTCTACTCAAGTGTAAATAAGTACACTTGAATTTTCAACAGTATAAACAGCTTGCCTGATAGCAAGTAATTGCAAGAAAATCAGTAATCAAACTAAATTAAATGATAATTTCCATTATTAGTATTAATAGAATAGGAAGAAGGGAGAGAGACTGGTAGACAGAAAAGTGAAAGTGTTGAGAAAAAAGTTTTAAGCTGAGTCTCAAAGTGGGAGAACAGTCGATGAAGTCTTGATGGATGGCATTCCAAAGTATCCGGGCCACAGCACTAAATGATCCACCCCTATTAATGTTATAGTGGTCTTAAGGACCACCAGCAAACTGATATTGGTGGACCTGAGAGTGTGAGATGGTGTATAGAGGCACAGGAGCTATGATAAGCAGGACTTTATACTTAAAGTCAGCATGAATCTGAAATCACAATGTATTTCCAAGTGAACCATGGTATCAGGGAGGGTCTCTGAGCTAGCTGAGACAAGATATAATTGGTTAATAATATTCTAAATTCAATATTAATTACATTTCTGGAAACTAAAACATTTATGTCTTCAATATTTAGTTCTTTTTTTTTAAAATAGACTTATGTCTGTATTGAATCCATGCATGTATTATGGTACTACTCTTGTGTAAATTTTGGTTTAAAACAAAGGGATTAAATTCCTGAATTGGCCAGTGAAAAAGGGGTTCAGTCAGGAATTATGTTTCTCCATAGTATAATTTAGGTAGATATAGCTAGGCAAGCTCTGCTATTGGTCAAGACTTCAAACTCTGAAGGACTAATGCATTAGATTAATTATAAATGTAATTACGAAGTGACGAAGAGAAATCAACCAATCACGTTTTGATTTCCAAAACCTGGGAATTTTCTGAGAAAAAAACATCCTACTAGGGCTTCTGGAAGTCTTAGATACACCAGTGACTGTGAATAGGAACAAAAGCCTAATCAGTGGGTTGTTAGAAATTAAACACAGCAGCATCCGTTCATTACCAGAGCTCACTACAGGATAAACTATATGCTAATATGTCTGTTACAAGCATCAAGTAAAACAGAATATCTCATGGAAGCTTCAAATGTCTGTGCTTAATCTAGAACTGCCAGAAGATTTTCATACTAATTGCCATTACCTTAGTGTTAAAAACTCCTAGAATCCCACAGGGACGCTAGCAGAAGTTAGCGTTATTGTAAAAGTGTTCTTTTGACGCTTGTTTTGACGGAGTTTTTACATTTATGGACCAAATTGAAGGCCTTGCTCTAATAGTCTTGGTTCACCACTCTCAAAAACAGAAGACGTTCAGTCACCACACTTCCAAAGAGAAAACATAAATTTTGTCTTTTTAAATGGTAGGGTATGATTAATTATGCTTAATATGACCAAGGACATGAACTAGGTCGACTTTAAGTAATGTCACTGATGTAAAATGAGTGTAATGTGCAGGGCTTGGTATGAGTGAGGACTCTAGCAGATGAATTTTGAATAAGTTAAAGTCTATTCAGGGTTTTTACCAGAAATGCCAATGAAAAGGTTACTGCAGTGTGTGAGGTTATAAAAGCAGGAACATGGGTATGCTGCTATTTGAGAACGGCATAAACAAGAGTGAGTGCAGATGTTGACCTTGTCCTGAGACAAAGGAACAGACTTTTTAGCATCTTTTCAATGCTAAACCTTTATTTAGTGTTGCTATATCTGAATGAATGACAATTAGTAGAAAGCTCTGGGTGTTGTATATTACAATTAACACCAATGACTCACCATGAATAAATAATGGTTTGCAAGAACAAAAAGGTTAACGTGATGGGACGTGACCTTAAACCATGCTTTCTGAATTGAACACCAGTGCCACCTTGTGTGCTTTTTGGATTACTGCAGTACCGTTTCACACAGCAGCTATGACCACTACTCTGATCCTATATAGCACTGATTCTCAAACCTGGAGACACACTGCCCTGCACTTTTTAGTGTTTTCTGCTCCCAACATACCTGATCCAAGTAATCATCTTATTAACAGTCTGTTATTGAGTTCCCGTGGCTATGTGAAGGCAGGGAAAGCACTAAAATGTGCAGGACAGTGGGCCTCCAGGACCAAGGCTGAAAATCACTGCTATATATGGCACAGAAAACAGTATACAGAAGTGAGAAAGTGGACAAATGTGTAGTTATAGAAGCAGAAAGTAACAGAGAGATGGAATATTTTTATTGCTATAGTTTCAGTGTCTCAAACATTAAAAATTAGTTGTCATATGCCCAGGCTCAGACAACAAGACATTCATAATAACATTTCTCTCAAATAACATGTTGCTTTTTCTTTTTGTGTCTTAATCACACTTAATACCTATTTTTTGAAAGAATATTGCTCACATTGCTGTAATTATAACAAAGCAAATATTTACCATTGGTGCATAGTTTCTAACATACATCTCTATGTAAATTAAGGCATGCATATTAACAAATCTGATAATACAAAATGAACATCTCAGTGTACGACACCTATGTGTCCTACATAAAAAGAAAACAAAGTGATTTCTACTGTGGGTTCTCTTTTCCTTTTTTCCCTTATTTCCTAAACCATCTTATAGTCCATTGGCTCCAGTGCTTAATTTAACTTCCAACAGCCAGCCACCAAACCTCAGAGGAGAAATGGTACCTACCACGGAATCTGTTTTAATTGGTTATGTGTTGCTTAAACTACACAAGAGTGAATATTTTTTCATACATTTACACATTAATGGGATTTAAGGTGGAAAAAGGTCCACTTGCACATGTAATATTTGCGTGTGAGGAAGCAATGCACAAGACTGAAATAGAACTCATGTTTGTTTTGCAAAAGCATCATCCACAGTGACAGCAGAGGCAATGAAATGTGAAAAGATGTAATGTTCACATGATGAAGCGGCATGAGCCATGCACTGAGAAATGACACAGGTGCTTTTCCAATCTGTCATGCAGTCATCTCCCGCATAACTCTCCGCACTGGGAGCCACATGCATTGCCGAAAGTAGCGTAGGACAGCTATGAGGGATCAGCATCATCTTCTGTAGTCTGAAGCAGCATCTGAATGAAATAAGCACATGCATCAAGCAGCCAAAATGATTCATATCCAGATATGTAGAAGTTTGCCTGCAGGTTCAGAGATTAGGGTGCTGTGTAGTGTGGTTTGTACCATCTCTCCTGAGGATACCAGTCTTGTTTCTTTCCACACAGATACCATATTCCTTGAGCACCTCTCCCATCTCTCTTTGTCAGAATCACTGGGCCTCACTGTCCATCGCTGCTTCAAATAACCCAGTTTCTTTATAACATCCTGTGGCAATTTTGACACATGTATAAAACCCTCTAGAGTTCTTGGGTATCACACCAGTTAAAGACAGTCCATAACTCTCTGCAGTGGAATGAGCTGCAAATCTTCATTCATCATCTTTGATCTTTCTCTCACCTTGATCTGTTGAAAGTTTTTTTTTTCCTCACCTCACTCTCTCCCTCTCTTTTCACTCCACAATAATCTTTTTAGTCTGTCACCTTTGTGTGCTGTCACCTTTGATGGCTTAAGTCATGTCTCTGGTGGTTCCTATGTATGGCCCCAGTTGGTAAATTAATCTTACATTTGATTATCACTATGTTGAAAAACTTCTTTCATTTCTGTGTGACGTATAGTGCTGTACAAAAGTCAGAGACCGCCCTTCATTTCTTTGATTTCCAGTCAGAACAGCCATTACATACAAGTTATTACATTTTTTAGCATCAGGAAAAAAGCAGAAAACATATATTTGACAGAAAATAAAACAGAAGCCTCAATAACTAAACATAATATTCAAGTCTTCAGTATTTTCAGTGTCTAGCCTTCGCCTTTATTCCAGATTCTGTTCTATTTGGGAGACTTCTCAAGATCCAAGTAATCGCAAAAACACATTCAATCTTATATCTAATCTCCTCAGAAATATCTCCTTAAAAATTCATTTCTCCTCCTTGATGGCTATTTTGACTGGAAATTAAATAAATGAAGGATGGCCTCTGACTTTTGCACAATACTGTACATTTTCTGGATTTTCTGCATGACACATTAATATCATAGCAATTATGCGAAATTGCAAGAAATCTGTAAATCAACTACTTGAATTGACCTGTTGACCAGGGAAAAAATACTGCTTGTGAATAAATCATTTACATGCAATCATATCATCCAGTGACTGTCTTATTACTCAGGCAATAAGACACTAATTCAATACTGATTCACAGCACGAGTACACTGTGAAGTGCTCTGTTTTACTTCATGAAGCTGGTTCTTCATGGTGGAGTGAAATTCAATAGAGCATGGAGCCAGGCCTCCAGACATTGGGCTGCAGGCCCACGCTAGAGGTGCTGAAGCGGGGTCTGGGCACCTGCAGGTTCTGACTGCTTCCAGACATGGCAGAACGCCCCCGGGTGGGAGACAGGGGGCTCAGCTCTGGAGCACTCTGAAACTGCTTGGCTGCCTGGAATGGGCTGTGAACTTGCACAGGAGTGGGTGCTGGGATGGGAACTGCATTGGGCACAGGGGTGGTGGAGAACTTAGGTAATGCTGGTAGGGCTGCTGAGGGGGCAGGAGGTGGGGGAGAGAAAGGTGCAGCAGGTCGAGGAGCGACAGGAGGAGGTGAGGTGATGTCAGAGCGCCACATGGGTTCAGCCAGAGTGGTAGCTGAGCGTGGGACGATCACAGTAGGGCTCAGGGTTGTTGGTGCTGACATTGGGGTTGGGGTGGAGAAGCGCTTGATCTCATATACACGGGGGGATTTCACAGGGACTTGCTTCGGTGGGTTCAGAGTGCCGCCAAAATTGTTGATTCCATTCTGCTGCTGTTGGTAGGTAGAAATGGTCTGAGGGACGCCACCCCCGTAACTGAACAAGTTAGAGTTGAGCTGGTAAGGCTGTCTGCTCATGTAGTCCAAAGCTTTGATGCCTTGCTTGTGTTGGCCAGGTGCTGTTTTGGTTCTACCTCTTGCAGCCTCATTTGCTTTACTGCATCGCTGGGCCATTGGAGGGCAGGACGGGGACAACAGTGGGTTATAATTAATCGGAGGAGGGGCACGGACATTGGGAGAGTATTTCCAATGAGCTGGGAGAGAAGGAGTAGGTGAGGGTTCACGAGGTTGGGCTGGAGACTTGGGCTGTTTGTCTACCACATAGCGATCCATGCGACTCTGTCGACGTGCAAATAGTTCTGCTCCCTTCCCTCCCATTTGGGGGATCTCAGGAGTGTTGTGTGCAGGCTTTGGAGCCACTGGTGGAGCTATTCTGCCTCTTTGTGCCTGCATGAAGTTACAAGCTTCAGCACCCAGGTTGAGGGAGTCCTCTTCTGGACCTGACTCAAAGCCGGGCTCTGCCCCAGAGCGGGACCTGTCGTCATGGTTCTGCACTAGAGACAGCAACTCAGGATTATAAGAGACAGGCTTCTTCTCTTCAGGCTTACTAAACATGGGTTTCTTAGTGTTGCGGCGACGGGCCTCCTGCAAAATGCCTGTGCGGGCAGCTGGAACGGAAATCCTCTGCTCTCGAGAAGAAACCCCTGCACTTGAATTAGAGAGGGGATACTGCTGGCCCATGGGGGTCACCGCTGTTCCAGATGAAGTGGTTGCCACTGAGATATATGGGTAGAAAGAAACCTTGTGAGCTTGTGGTTGCTGCATATTTGGACCTTGAGGGACCTGTGCGGGAACTTGAACATGGGCAGGATCTGGGGCAGGGGAAGGGGATAAATAGGACTGTGATGACACAGGAGCTGTCGGTTGAAACTGACATGGATTGCTAGCCATAGTGGGAGGAGGGCTAAAGGGCAAAGTTTGTGCTGGTGGAGAAAAGTAAGGCTGGGCAGCAATAGCAGAGGCTGGATTATAGGGTGAAGCAGGAGCAGATGTCAAAGAGAAAGGTGCAGATGTCACTGAAGCTTGTGGTGGGAAAGGTGGGCCATTTAAGGCAGGGGGAGAAAATGAAGGAGATGTCACTGAAGAGGATGGAGAAAAGACAGATGGAGGGCCACTGACTGTGGCTGGTCTTGGGGGGATGTACAGGGAAGCAGTGGAGATGGCTCTCTTTTGCTCAGAGCTGCCAGGGCCAGATCCAGCAGGAGAAAAAGGAGCTGGTACAGTTGCCACAGATACCCCTTGAGCCGGAAGTGGGGTTTTCTTGGTAGTGTTGGGCCTGAAGACAACTGGGGCTGTGGAGGCTCTATGGCTGACACAGCCAGGGGCAAAAGGTCTGGCAGTTCTGTTGTGGACCGAGCTTCCAGAGGAAGTATCCGATTGCTCTGGTAAGGATCCTGCCACAGAGGCCATGGAAGTTTGGCCTGGAGAAGACAGCACCATGCTGGTTCTGCTAACCACTATAGGCTCCCCATTCACCATGCTGCTACTCTGAGAAGAGAATGGTGTAACTGGAGTAACAGGCGTGTATATCACAGCCGGGTTTGGCTGCTGCTGGGGCATGGAGGCTGGGGTCAGGGTAACCGGTGTGGATGTATGTTTCTCAGTCTTCTTCCTCTGTTGCTCAAAAAGCTCTGCCCCTTTCCCTGAGGTGGCACTTAGGCCTGGGCTGCCCTCTGCGTCCCTGTCAGTTACCACACAGGCTGATGTCCTCCTCTCCAAAACATCCAGATAGCCACTGTCCCAGGTAGGATCTGGTGCTGCTGAAAGACTATCCTCGTCCAGCTCTGACTCACTGCCCAGAAAAAAGCTCTCGTCCTCGGTCTCTCCTTCTGTGTTGCTCAAGCTCTCACCGTCGACACTGCCAAAGCAGGTAAGTGTGTACTTCTTTGCGCGTTGACGGCGCTTTTTAAACATAAGCACACCTTTCGAGTGAGGGTTTGGCGCATCAGTCAGCAGTGAGGCAATAGTCCGGCACTTGGATCGAGCCTCCTTCACCTGTTTGTCCTGCACACTCTCATTCCTGTGCAGCTCTGAGGATGAAAAGAGACAGTTAGAGCTGACTATGTATGAACAGAACTGTATAATATGGTTTCACAGGCTATCATGCCAAACTGACTTCATTATTTCAGAATTAAGACGTCACAGATTCTGTCCTGATTTGATCACTGAAGGTCACTGACTGAGCCGGGCAATGACAAAGAGAGTTATGAATGCTAATGTCCTCCTGTAATCCCACAGGCATTTGTGAAGCTCAAAATCTAAATATCACTCAGGAGGAATGTCAGATCCCCATTACAAGTTTCTGTCACAAGAGCCAATTAACAGTAATTATCAGTCTAGTGTTTAATGACTTGACTGATAAGCATGCAGTCTGAAACAGTAATTTCAGATGCATTTACTATATAAATAGACCAAAGACAAAAACGGACAGTAATTTATACATAGACCATTCACTATTTAACACCACAATTCTATTTTTATATGAGGTTTTTACATCTACATAGACTTTATAGGCATTTTACAAGGCTTTTACATATATTTAGAGACATAAAAGTTCTGAAATAGGACAATGTAATGCTATGAGTAGATACTAAAAGCATGTTTGGCACAGATCTGCCCATGGTAAATCTGTGAGCTCATGCTTCACTACAAATAGCCTAACACATTCTAACAGTAGGAGAGAGTGACCTCTGAAAAGCTGGACACAGTAGGAGACAGTCCAGTCCTTCAACCACAACCACAAAATATCTAAAGTGGGAACATGACAATGTCTTCTGCGAAATGAATCAGGTTTCAACCAAAAAAATCTGCATACAAGTTAATGTGCGTCATCACATTTAAAACCCAAGGCTGAAAAACTGTAAAACAGATGCAAAATCTCAAAAAATGTGAAATACACTTTCACTCTTCTGAAGCAAATATGAATGGTGCTGACATGCCTCTTTACTCACCGAGACATATTCAGCTATTCATTTATCAAAGGCTTCAATCTTTAACATAGATGGCAGTAAAATGGTATAAGTGGTTCAATCCATCACTCAAGCCCAGACATAAGAAAACAATCTAATGAAAAAGTCTACTATGCACAAAAAAATCAACCCAAAACATTACATCAAAAACGGCTCTCAACACCTAGAAAAGCACAAACTTGACTCAAGAACAGTCTGTTACTCTTTTCTCCAGTTTGACGCCTCTCCCAGTGCCAGAATCAACACAGGTTCCCTTCCTAATCCACATCCACACACTTAAAATTATAAAGAAGTCTTCAGTTTTACCTGCGTAGACAGCGGGTGCAACATGTTCCACCTCAGAAGGCAATGTGAGGCTCTTCATGTTGGCCAGTAAAAAGTCTGTTTGGTCCCCCACCTTCACGCTAACATCAAATGGAAGGACACATACTCACATGCTGGTGGAGAACAGCCAGTAATCTCTGGGGACTTTGCCCACGTTGGTCCCGAATCCTCCAGTCCACGGCCCCGGGCGAGACCTTTTAAAGACCTTTTGTCTAACCATGACACCCTGCCACAGGCCCAAAGAAACTCCATTATGTCATTCAAACTATTTCAGTCAGTGAGCAATACTGATGAGCACTGCCCACCTGTCTGGGCACACCACTCCCTGTCTCCCCTGACTACTTGGTAAGACCCCACAGGCTTTAAGCATTGTTGGCATCTCCAGAAACTCCGCAGGGTCGAAGAGAACAAACTGCTCATGGTTACCATCGTCAATCATTACTGCCATCGTCTGTGTCTGTGTTGATGCCTTGCGTCAACTGGCCACACCCAATCAGAAGCCCCCAGACCCATTACGCTGTCTCAATCAGTCTTAAGCTCTGTAAACAAAACTCAGACACAAGCAATAGGAGGACAGTCTTGTGTTTGAAATCGAAAGATAAGAGGCCATCTCTTTTCATCACTATTTAACACACACACACTGTGCGATGTCATATTGTCAGTTGGGTTATTTCTTGAGTTATAGTCAGTCATTATTGTTAACATCATATCTGATATTCTAAATGTTGTCGGTAATTGCTGCAAACAGTTTTGTTAGAGGTCATAAAATACTGAATAAAAAACTAACTAACATGTCGAGAGACACCCCTCTCCCCAGGTTTTCGTTTGAACCAACCATTCCACATGTATTTTTTACATCTCCACCACTGGGGGTAGAAGAGAGTTTGAGTCGTTCGGGCAAGATAGCCTACTTTTAGAAGCTCATCTTTAGTGAAGTGCTTCAATTAAGAATAGTTCGTTTTGAAGCTTAGTAGCCATCAGATCTGTATCAGGTGATTCTCAAGGTTTCAATATCAGTATTAAAAAAGAAAAAGATGTTTGTGCCATATTTTAGTTCAAACTATTAAAACCTGCACTATTTTATTGGATACTAAGGGTGTAAAAATGAGTTAAGAATTAAGTGCGAGACATATGAAGGTAGTCATTTAATTGTATGTCATGATTAGTCAAAATAATAACATTCAATGAAGCTTGTTTTTTGTCCAAAATGTAATTTTAAGGGTATTCTCAAATGGAAAAATCAAACAAAGCTTATTGTGTAAACAGTGTCTCTTGGTCATGTTTGTGCTATCAGTGTATTTTTAATTATAATTCGGAATCATACCAAAATAATCAAATGGAATTTTCATGATATCTTGAATTGTTTTCCTGCAGATGCGTTATCAAATCAAATCATTGTAAGATCAGAGATTTAGTTTTAATATGTCAGAGACAATGTTTCATTCAATATGATGAAGCAACTAAAAAGCCCAGCTGTAATTATGGTGTTGTTATCATGAGGATGCAGCACATCAGCAATATTTCCTATACCAGCCCCTAAGGCAGGGGTGGGGAATCAAGAGCTGGAGTCTAGCACAGTTTGGTAATTTCCTTGCTCTAACACACCAACTAAACCTTGCAATTAGCTGATGAGATGAATCAGGAAAATCACGAAACTGTGCAGGAATCCGGTCCTGTAGTACTGGAGTTCCCCACAGCTGCCCTAAAGTGTGCCTCATACTCCACTGCTTCAAGTGCCGATGTGCATGCTACTCATTTTTTCTTACTCTGTCAACATATAATTGTTGTCGGAATGAAATCTTCTAGCTCTGTTTTCATTGTTGTTTTTTAATCATTAAAACATCAGCTGTCCTTTTGTGTGAATATTTCATTTACATTCATAATGTGAATTTGTTTAATAAATTCATGTTATGTTAAATCAAAAGTTAAGGATTTTTTTATGTATATATATATATAAAATGACCATTTTGGAGATACAGTTTTGTTCAGACAGCCACAAAATGGATGTTCTGGCTTGCTATCCACTACTAACTCTGGCAGCAAAGACAGAACATGTGACTCTTTAAAAGCAGTAATGAGGTCGCACACAAAAAATGACATGAGTCACAAAATGGTTTTCGTGTACGGTACACCTTGTTAGAAAACAAGGAGGCCTGTACTTAAATATGGACACTATGCCATTTACTGAGAGGAGGGCCAGTCCAAACACTTTGGACAGAGCAATTAACACCTCATCAGCCAGAGATACTAGATATGCTGTACAGACTCCAGCATATCTGCTACACTTTTATCACACTATCAGGAAAAAAACATATACAGTACGTCTATATATCTGCTTAAAGGTGTTCTGGCCCTCTATTTTTTCAACAACTGGAGAAAAGCTTTTTTCAGGAAATCCTAAAAACTGAATGTACTAGCACACTGTAAGCATACTACACCTGTTGGAGTCTAATTTCAGGTCGTGCAGGAAACCTGTCCCTATTTTCAGTCAGTCTAAGTGATCTGAACAAACTGCTTTTACTGAAATGTGCACAGCAAAGAGAGAAATACTGAAACTATCTACAGTCAGTAATAAAAAGACTATTAAATAGATGTATAATGTTAAAAAAGGCTGAAAATAATGGGTTGAACAGAAAAATATAGCAAAGAAGATACTTTGTAGGCCAAAACAGAACAAAGTATGAAACCAAATCAGTGGAGGAAGAGATGAAACTCCTAAAACATGCACCAGTGACAGCAAACAGCAACTGGACATGCCTTTCCAGGCATGCTACAGAGGTACTTGTATTAAGGGCCTGACTCAGAGGGGAAAATATAGCTCTGCGCTCTTCCTCTCTCCCTCCCCCCAAGCTGAAATCCTGCCCCCCACCCTCCATGGAGCCTCTTCAACAGCACCATGGAAGAACACTCCACCATCACTCATATGAGCTCATCACCAGCCTATTCCAGTTACAAAGTGACAGCACTAGAATGTCCAGAGCAATCATTTCCAACTGACTCTACATACAGTCATAGACACATTGGCATTATTCATAACTGAAATATAAAAAGTTCACAACCTACAGACATCACATATAATCTACAACAAAGGTTCCTAAATGGTTCTTGGGTATATGTTTCTCTCTTGTACTGGTGAAGCACCTTGGAATTTTAAAAAACGCTCTTCACACTCACACATCTCATTTACAAAAATGACTAATGTATTCAGAAAACATCAGTAAAAATGGCACAAAAAGTGGTTCTTCTATGGCATCACTCTAAAACTTTTCAGTGTTAAGTGCGGTTTTATGTACCAAAAATGTCATAATTAATTTTTACATGACCATTTTCCAGCCTGTCATGGGCCCTTAGTATTAAATTGGCTGTATTTGTTACTGTTACTTTAAGACTGAGCCCTGTTCTGATTGGCTGCACTTTGAGATGAATTAAAATGGGCTGTATTTGCAGCTTAGTTTCCACAAATTGACTGTATGGACTGAGAAGTGAACAGTATGTTAGCAAGATTTATACACTACATTAAAGTGTTTTATATTTTTTAAAAGTGTATATATATATATATATATATATATATATATATATATATATATATATATATATATATATATATATATATATGTATTATATGTTATATTGTTATTCTTGCATAGCTGTCCTATAGCTAATGCTGTTATCATTCAAATGCTCATTGTCCAGTTAGTAATAGTAGTTAGAACATTTTTGTTGACAGAAGATCTCACCACCAATATTACATTTCTATAAAAGCTGATAGCATTGCATGATTGACAATAAATATGTCAGAGTTTTATGTGACAACATTAATTACTTTACAGTCTGAACGCTACCAGCTCCTGATTCATTGCTTCTCTTGGCTCAGTGGCTTGACCTTTCAGTAACTGGCCTCCTGAGGGCAGAGTTAGAAGTCCAATAATAGCGCATGAGCAAGTGAGAGGAAAAGACGCCAAAGCAAAAAAAAAGCAGCCCTCATCTCTGCTCACATATGGCTGTACTCAGAATGGAACTGTAGAGCTTAGATAGACATGGAATTCATATTGCTTGAAATTCCATTCATTTCAGCAGGATTTGTATAACTCCAGTGTCTATGGTCAGGTACTTACTGGCTTGCTTGGCCTTGTCCATGTATGTGACAGTGAGCTCTTCATCCACTGGGTTATCCACAGGTCCCACCATGGGTACCAGCTTTCTGTGGGATGCCAGCATGAGTGCTTCTTTGGCCCTCTCTGGGGACACCAATGGAGGGGGCACTGTTGGAGGCTCTTGGAAACCACTGTCAACTTCTGCTGCCCCTGATGGGCTTTGGTCAGAGTTCTCTGAAGAGTTCTCAGCCTGAAGAGACCACTCTGCCTGGTTGGGTTGGAAGACCACGTCTCTGCGGACCACTCCAGGTAAACTCTGCTGCTGTGAAGATCCTATCCCCTCCACTTCGCCATTAGAAATGATCCAGGTCTTTGTTTGGGGGTATATGCACATATTATCGGTGGCACTCTCATAGCCACTCATCTCTGAGTTTTCCTCCTCATGAGGCCAACCTAGACCATTGGCTTTGGCTGGGGAGCTGCTGGGGCTGCGGCGCTTCTGTCTGCGCTGCTTGTCTTGAGCCATCACATCCGCATCACTATCAGTCTCACCGTAGTATGCCTCACTTTCTGGAGGGGACGTCAAGCACTCTGGGCCACTGGTAGGAGACATGATTGCTCCCCTGTGGTCACATGACAGTTTGGAGGAGGTTGGAGGGGAAAGGGCTCTTAGGGCTGCCCTGTACTCTTTATCAATGCGAGGGGAGGGGGCTCGGTCCAACAGCACTACTGACTGGAATCCCACTGGGGTCCTAAATAGAGCCAGAGAAAATAACATTAAATGTAACTTCCTAAAACCTTATCCTGGGACCACACGTATAAGGTATCTAAAGCCGCAGAAAACTACCTGACAGAAAGTTATATGAAATGAAAATTGCATGAAATGTTTATGGATGTTGCCTGAGGTCTGAAACATTTTTATATGATAGTTTTGAGAGGTTATCAAGATTTTGACCTAAAATGTCATCAGCATTAAATATCAAAACTCAAAAGACATGTAGATTCAATAGTCATTTAAGATAGTAAAACATGACAATATTTGCATTGCATACTTTTGGCAGACACAGATCTTTTCTCACTACCACAAGAAATCTGAGCTGGTACATTTCTTTACAATGCATCAAATGCATCAAACCGCTCTGAATTACTTTGTTTACATGGCAACAATTGAATTATGCAGAGATTTTGAAACATCGGTGGAATTCCCCTGTATCAAGCCACACTGTTTGCTGGAATGATTATTTATCATTATTATTTATTTGGTTATTTACTGAACATTGTATTTTGTTATATTATATTGTGGCGTTCTGCCATTGGCTGCGCTATCATTGGAGCGCTTTAGCAGTATGCCAAATGAGGCTCATGGGAAATGCCAGCCTGCTTAAGAAAAGGACTGTTATTGTTGCTGTTACTGTTGTTGTTGTTGGTTGCTAGGTTGAGAAGTGTTTATGTGTTTGTGTTATTTTGTGGCAGGCTGGGGTTAGTTAGAGTGGGTTTATGATTTTGCTAATGTCAAGAGAAAGAGTAGGAATAGGAGTGACCTGCCTCTGTTTTCAGTTTTCTGCCTTATTCTGCTTATTCTAAATAAAAGAGTATTTTCTGAGCAGAGCATGGCTTTTCCTGACTTTTATTCTGAGCAATGTCTGAGTATTTTGTTACTGTTTTATTGTATTTTTGTAGGATTGTTAATTATAATTTGGCAACTACTATGAATTTCATATGTAAGTTATGTAAGGAACCCACAAACAGGCCCTGGAAACATTAATGGGTTTAAAAATGCCAATCACTACAGTCAACTCAAAATGAGGTCAAGTGAAATCAAATGTAAAGAATGGCAGTTGCTAACACGGGCGAAACTCAGATCTCCTTGTTGTGGCCTCACTCTGACCTCTTAATCCGCAGCTGAAGGGATCCCCGGCCACTGTCGATAAGGTTCATGGCCTCAGCGTGAGACAGCTCTCCACAGGCTACATCATTGACTGAGACCAGTTCATCTGCCTCCCGAAGACCAGCCCGGCAGGCCTTACTGCGCTTCCTCACCTGCAACAGCAGGGGGAGACAATGTAAATACAATTAACACTAAACAGACAAAGGTCATTCTTCTACACAGGTGGTCAATAAAAGGACACTTTTCAAAAGGCAATATTAAAACACAACAACTACTCTATTATTCATGTAAATGTCTGGTTAGTTTATAACTGTCAGCCATTTTCTACACTGTAGCCGCTATTGTTTCTGTGATTCTCAAAGTGATGATAAATACCTCTACATCTAGGTGGAACAGCAGCATTAGAGACGATTTCCAGTTACTGTGTAACTATATTATACAGCAACATTGCACTTGTAAACCTTCCAGTAAACTCAGCAGTGGCCTCAATTGTAGTGGTAGCAATTCACACATGCTACAATCTCTTCAGCAAGTTAAGGCCAATGCTATCAACCATTCATCATCTCTTCTTCGATAAAGCAAAAACAAAAGGTTTATATAGGTTTATAAAAGTAATCCATTACCAACTAAAGTAATACTACTTAAAACTAGCAGCAACTTTATAACATCAAGCTGTTTTGTTATTGACAGTTTGACCTAGAAGCAAGGAGAAAGTGCAGAGGGTGGGTGTTCACTCAGCAATCTCAGTTGTCATGATGTGTTAGAATCACTCTTTAACAGTTACCTGTCAGATATGAGAGTGTTGTTCTAACACCCACTTCACCAGCACATGCAGGTGCTAACAAACTGGGATTCAGTCCATCTTTATCTCCCCTCTCCTACTTTCACCAGCTTCCCACTATAAGAGTTTTCCTTTTTTACACTGGAGCAGTGACGCAAAGTTCACCATCTGCCAGCTAAACGCACAGAAACCATATTTGTGTACAAAAGGATGAGGAAAGTTTCTAGAAGTTTGTCATTTGAAATGGTTGTGTCCCAGATACTTGGCAATTATCTCTTTTGCATTTGACCCCCAGCCATATTCTATGTTTTTTTTTTTGTAGTATATTTTTCCCTGAGGCCCACTTATAATGCTTGTATGGTTTTATGTAACCAAAAATAGTCCTAATTTATTTTTACATGACTACTTTCCAGTCTCTCTTTGTCCTTTGGAATTGAACATTTTTTTATTGTGTCTTCAACATCATGATATACTGTGCTCATATATGTAAATGAGCTCAGTTCTGATTGGCTGCTTGTATTGTGTATTGTATTTAAAAGGCAGTCTTGGGCTAAACCACTCTTTGTAAATTCAGTGTGAATGGTCACGGCTGCACGGTTTTAAGCTCGATCGATGAATATATCATCGCTGTCTAAAGAAAAACAAGTATCTCCAAAACAGTAACTTCACAGGAAAACATTCTTAACTTTTAATGTAAGTCAACGGAAAGAGATTTTTTTTCTAAGGAGTTTTGAAGCATTTCTATTGGTTCATCCATCATGAAATTGTCACACAGTATAAAGAACAGCTCCTATGCTCAAATGATGTAGAAAAGTAAAAATAAAAAAAATGGAGATACATGTTTTTCTTTGGACAGTAACGATATGTGAATGCTTTGGCTTTTGTGACATCCCACAAAAAGTTTACATAGACCTTGTGGACTGGGGAGTGTATATATATATATATATATATATATATATATAAGCCCTTTAAATAACTGTTAGGTCAGAAATTTCTCACTTTCTTGCTCAATTTTAGCTATAAATATCCTGTATTAGATCATTCAGGTGGTCGTTTTTGTCAAAACCCTTGTCTGGCACTGTAATTCTGAAAACACATTTCTGCTTGAAACGTTCATTGACGTTGACTTGTTTTGTTTACTTTTTTTCTTTCTTTTAATTATTGTGCATCAAATGAGCTGAGAATGTGGGCAGATGGAACAACATAGATTGTTGGTGCCAGGGCAGCTGTTGCCTCTATGCTCAGTCCTCAGCCAGGGCATGCTGTAAATTCACCATGTGTTCCCCAGAGAATCTAAATAAAGTCCTCAGCTTTTGTCAGGAGTCAGTTGTCAATCGGCTACAACAGGTTCTGTTTGAAAGTGTATGAGAGCTTTGTGGCCGAGTAAAGCACGAGCTGTAAAGGAATGAAACAAAGTGGTTAAGTGTACATGAGGAGGATACAGTGTATTTTGACTGAAGCTGGCCAATCAGTATTTACAGTGAACATCTCCAAAATATGCCAGGCATCAAAGCTGTGCCAGAAAATCTCAGAGGCTAAATGTTGTTAGCTGAGTAAGTGTCACCGAGTTTGTTCCGTATGTCTGTGTCAAAAGAGGCAATCAGAGCGGCTGGAGGATAAGAATATCTAATTTAAGAGCAGAACTGGCAATAGAAAAAAGCTCACACCACAAATGGAATGGCAGATAAAACCCTGGCGAGGTGACCTTGGGTGTAATGGAAGAGACAGGAGAGGGAGGGGGGTTTCCAGAGAAGGGGGAAAAAAGGAAAAACTTTTTCTTGTTGTCTGAAACAAAATCGTCTTTTTTATGATTGGTGTAGAACTAGGCTCATCAGAGTATTAGTGCAACCTAGCACTCCAGACTAGACAGCACTCAGCTGTGGCTCATCACTTCAAAATAGCTCTTGGATCAGGGAAAATACATTGCACACAGTCATTGCTGAACAAATGTGGCATGGCATATGTATAAATATAAGTCTGAGTCTGTAATTCTACTCAGTCCTGACATAACATCTACATTTAGATGATCCACAGAAAGAGTGATCCTCAGAAAGATTTGGATTCCAGAGGAACCCAAATAAAAAGCTGACAATGTGATAAGAGTGGAGATATGTGGTGTGAAAAGCCTGGTGGGTTTATCTATAGAGCTGGTGAACAAGACCCCTCTGACCTCAAACTATGAGTTTATCGGAAATAGGCCAAAGCAACCTGAGCTAGATATAGAATATAGATGTCAAATCCATATTTTTCTGTGTACACTGCACTTTTGTTATCTTAACAATTCATTATTCATAATAAATGTATTTGATATAAATGATAGGAATTACATGAAAATGACATAAAAAACATCTCAAATGTGATTCTGTATGAAACGTTCTAAAAAATATTACTACCTTAACAGTTTAAAGAGTAAAAATAGCCACTAAGAGCTGCCCTCAAAACACCACACAGTGTTCCAGCAGCTTATCACGTCTTTCATACATTCTTCACTGACACATGTGGAACAAACTCATCAGCTCAGCAGTAGGAAATGTCATACACTGACCAATGAGGATCTACAGGAAAATATGTTTTCCATGTCTTCCCTTTGCTTAAGGCCTAAAACATAACCTAGCACAAGACTATTTATATCATACCTGACATGTCTGCTAGAAGGTGGTGGATGATGGCTTCATGACCATCACACATACAAACTAAAAGCTAAAGCAAGATTCCAAGCAAGATCTAAACTCAGTGGAAATGGAAATTCTGAACGGCCTCAATGTCTCCACCATCCCATGCTCTCTTCTTACCTTAGCCACTTGAAGGGGTTTCTGTTGCTCTGCTCCCCCCTGCAGTCGGAACCCCCATGGTGCTCCACCTGAGAGGGTGACCACTACTTCTTCTGCCACCATCGTACCTGTCTATTGTATGTCTGTGAGTTTGTCTGGCTGTCCCTGGTCACCCTCAGTCACCTCCTCCCATCCCTTAGCCTGGAGCCTTCAGTGGCCCTGTGTGCTGAGCTCCTGCCAGTTCTGGGAGACGCATGCAGAGAGAGTGGGCAGAGTGAGGGGGGGATCAGGGGCAATGAAGTGTTTCCACAACTGCTCTCTCTCTCTCTCTCTCTCTCTCTCTCTCAGGAATGTCATGTTGGGTGGTGGGGGGTTTTCATGGTGCAGATCCTGGCCCTCCTTCTCTCAACCCACTGGCCACACTTGTCCTGTCAATCCACAGCCAGAGGATGCTGATAGACACTCTAAAAATAGCCCAGAAGCCACCCTGGGGTTTATCTACAAAAGCCCTCAAAACCTGAAAGGCCGGAAAAGAAGTCTATGGAAATTCCAAAAGACAATGGAGTGCAACATATACACTGCTTAATAAATGAATAAATAAATAAATAAATAAATAAATATCTCTCATAGTACACTACAAGCGAGGCATTTCTTGTACCTGATTAAACTAAAATTTAAAATACCAATGCTGTGGTAATTTTTTAATCTTTAAGGACATTTTAAAAATGTATTTACAGGTAGATGAAGATAAAAGCAATCTCTCGATTCCAAAAAAAAAAATGTACCAAATTTAAACTTTAAAATTCCAGTCCCTTTTTAAACGCACTGCTACAGCGGCGACGATACTAACTGTACAGTTTTCTGCAAAGACATAAGACATGAATTTAAATAGATATTCAACTTCATTACATTAATGAAACTGCTCTGCAGATCCTCTAATCTGCACAGTCATACACGAGCAAACAATTTCAGCAAATAATAATCTGAAGATCAGAAATCCACAGATGTATACACAACGTTTTTGGAAGTCTTATTTTACTGAATAATCCCAAACTGCTGTTTTCCCATACTGGGCTTCAAATGAACAATCTCACAATTAGCATGACCTTCAAAACAAAAACAAACAAAAAAATGTATCTAAAAATTGACCAGGAGGTTAAAATGAATTGGAGAAGACGTATTGAGTGAAACTTAACCGATAGCGGATCATTAATTAAAAAATGAAAAAAGGACTGTCTACTAATTTCATACAAAATCAAAACTTCTCTGATCAGTCCACGTTAACAGATTATGTTTTTTCTTTTTTTTTTCTGGAATGACCAATGATATGCTTTCTTGGAGAACAGTCAGCATCTGCCAACTATTTCTTTCATGCTAGTGACCTGACAACTATTTTAGTATTTCCAAGGTCGTGATATAGTTCCAATCCACAGTTTTAGAACATCAAAGACACATAGTCAGTCCGACATGGGCTTTCACATACCAAAATATAGCCTGGATCAATTCAAAGTATTTGGAGTTTCCAGGAAACCTTGTTCCATGGTTTCACTGTATTTTTGTGTCAAGTTTATTTAAAAAAAAACTTTATTTTTTTATGTATCAAAGCTGTGTTACACTCTCTTTGCATGTAATTAAAAATACATTGAAAATTGTAGACATCACTGTTTTTTGCCATCAACACATTTTGCAGCATTATAAACTGATCAAGATCTTTAGATCATTTTCTCCTTATATAATGTCAAAAAATACTAATTTATCTCAAATGTTTGTGGCATAGAAATATAATACTTTGGTATCTTACTTTTGGGATTTGTCTGGCATCTTCACTAATCCTGTGTAAAACATTTGGTCCATATTCTCTGAAATCTGAATCTTCAACTGCCTCATTCTTTTGCATGACTAACAAATCACTGTTCTACTGAATGTGTCTTTTTATATGCTTCACTTTCTTATCTCTCTGTTCCTCCACCACATTATTCTCTCTACACACATACTGTACATGCTACTTGGTTTAAAGGGCCCATATCACGGAAAACTACACATTCCAATTTCCCTTTTTTAATAAAACAGTTTGACTTGGTCTGTAAACACAGTTGAAATTTCAAAACATACCTTTCACTCCCAGTTCATACAGTGCATATATGGAAACTAAGGCACAAGAACAGTCCATTTTGAATGAATAGGTTTGGTGATGTCATGAAATGCACCACATTTAAATACATCCACCTATTCAACTTAGTGCATTTACTCCTGCCCATTCATGCTGAAGTTGTAAGGAGTGTTTGGACTGGTTTTTGAAAAGGCACAGAGCAGAGCAGCCAATCAATGCAAAGATAATTTATAAATATCAGCATGCATAAAATAATACAAATGTTACAAGTTGACCTCAGCTGAAAAAATAAAGTCCGAAAAAAATAATATACAAATTCAAAAAATGTTGGGACAGTAGGTAAAATGCAAATACAAAAAGAAAGCAGCGATTTATAAATTTACTTTGACCTTTATTTAAATGACAGCTTAAAGACAATATTTGTAATTTTTTATCTTTCAAACCTCTTAATTGTTTGTAAATATATGCTTATTCTGAAACTGATGCCTGCTACATGTTCCAAAAAGTCGGGATAAGGGCAATTTAAGACTAGGAACATTGTGAAATGTTCCAAACAACATCTTAAACGTGATGCAATTATGCTTAAATATCTAAGGGGCATCCAGGAAAGGCTGAGTCTGTTATGAGCAAGGATGGGTCCAGGCTCGCCACTTTACCAAAAACTACATCAACAAGGTTCTTCAACAAATATTGGCAAGGACTGTAGGTATTTCACCCTCTCTGGCACAAAAGTATCATCAAAACATTCAGGGAATCTGATAAAATCTCTGTGTGTAATGGGCAAGGCCGAAAACCAATGCATTTATATATAAATATTTATTCAGTCTACAGCAATTTAGCACCGGCAATTCACACTGAAGTTATAAAAAGTGTTTCGGCACTGCTTTTCGAATGAGGCACAACACATGGCAGCCAATCAGTACAGAGGTCAATTACAAAAAAAAAACATACTTATATAATGTAGGTTATGGGCCCTTTAGGCCACAAATATTGTCCAAATCAGACAGCCTTCTTAAGCTTCTTATATGTTAGTTTGTAGCTAATATGAGTTCAGAAAATAGTGTTAGGTATTACTCATACCTAGACCCACTCTTTTTTACCCCTCAGCATGTTTTACTCATCCATTCCTTGAACAAAACATTAAAAGCAGTGGACACCATGTGATTGATGTTTATTTTACAAGGTCTAATGAAATGTTCTTGGCTTTGGTATTTTTCTGTTTTACAGCACTAAAGCTCTGTCTTGCATATAAGTATCTAAGCAGCCTAACTGCTTCCTCATGGCTGATATATACAATAAAAATATAAAAGTGCATTGTTCATATGCAGCATTCCTACTACACTGTAAAAAATGGCTCGTCAGATCTACCTAAAAAATACTTCATGTGGTAACAAGTAGTTTTATTTAACCTAAATAAATACTTTGAATGAACGATTCTTTCAATCAAAGTAAGTTTTTGAGTTGAATAAAACTAGGTCAATTACTTGTTACCACATATTTTTTTTAGATTTTTGGTAGATCTGACGAGCCATTTTTACAGCGTACATCAACCTCAGCAGATGAACTGTTCTTCTTATTAGACCTAATCACTCTCTTTCTGTGCTTTGAATGAGCTCAGACGTCCACCCTGCCATTACCAGTATCAAAACCCACTTAATCTTGTTTGTGGCCTGCTGTCCCACAAGATCCAATGCTGACATCATCTGCCTGCCATCCACTGTAGTCCTTAGTGGAGATCTTGTCAAAGCACATAAGGACATACTGTATGTTTGACTTGATCTGAGAAAAAAATCGATGACTGGGAGAAAGATTACTAGGAGGCTGTTGACTATTATAAGGAGTACTAAAATGATGATTTTTCTTTTTTCACTTTAGTAGAATTTATTAATGAAATTCATGCTTCATTAGAAATCTGTTTCAGTACTTAAGTACTTAGCATTTGCTATAATACAAGTCTCTGTCATAACTTCTTTTAGAATACAAACGTAAAATTGTTGTAATCAAATTTGATACTATTATCTACTAATCCCTGTAGGCATATTTGTACTTAAAGGGGAAACTTTAACTTTTCAGTTGTTGAGATGTAAACAAAGTCATTTTGAGTGGTTTGAATCAAAATGATGCATTGTAGAGAAACCTACTAACTGAGATTTCTTTACAGTGGTAGAGTGATAAAATAATGGTAAATCTGAAAAATAAGTTTTCTTTGGATTCTATTTTGCCTTACAACCATCTGCAGGTATTTATTTAAAAAAAAAACATTTAACTCAAATCTATCATAAAACAATGTCTCAGGCATCAGGCCATGTATTTGTAACAATTCTATGTAATAACTTTCTGTTAGGGAGCTTTTAGAGGCATTAAACACTTTGGATGTCTGGTTTCTATCACCACCAATATGAATACTCAGTAGCATCTTTTCCTAATATGTTGCTGGGTTTTATAACTGTGCATCACCCATGTCCTTATCCAATCACCAGGTCTTTACTACATGCACCATTACTTGTTTCTCTGAAGCTTTCACTGTGCAACACAAGCAGCACAAAACGTGAGAAGTGACCCTACTTTACTACTCACAAAAGCCTTGTAACTGAGGGGGTGTGACCCTGTTGCTCAGTCAGGACTCCACCAACACTCACTTTACTAAAACAGGCACTCAGTCAAAGAAGATTTGCTCTTTAAGTCCTTGGACATATTACATTAGCTTTAAGTAAACAAGTCTAAAAGCCGCTCAAAGATCACCCTTTTTTATAAAACATTTTTCAGGAGGGCTATATCCCCCCCTTAACATGAACTGCTACCTCTGCCCTGAGACATTTCCGCCAGAGTCCTTATGAGGTTAATTTTCCTGTTCCATTCTAGTTTATTGCTCAACTCCGCTGTTGTTGCTGGTGGAGTCATCTACTAACCTTTTGGCCTCTCAGAATACTTCCTCTTCTATTGTATGGGTGTGCTTGCAACTAGGGTCCTTTTCTATGGGTTTTAAAACTATCCTGGCAACACTGTAACATTAGAATAAATACAAACATGAATACAGTTATATCTAGTAATAGTAATATCTAGGTTAGAAGAATACAGTTAGAAGAACATACATTTGGTTCCTGACTTGTTGTTTCACTCCAGTCATTACATGAATTTGTTAAATCCCATCAAAAACACCTGATTTAATGAAGGATTGATTAGGATTAAAGCAGTTATTTGGATAATTGTAAATACTAACTTTTTCTTAATATTATTTTATTTACTTACCAGATTTACATATACTTTTTTCAGATGCCTAATTTTTTTGGTAGTACTGTATGTGGTATCTTCAGTTCTCATGTTCTTCATAAAAGTCTCTATCTGCCTCTTAAAACACAGTCTGTTTTACTCTTGTTTTTTGTTCCCCTGTGCTACTGAATCCAGCTTCTGAATCCACATCAGGTTTTTTTTTTAATGTCTGTCCTTAATCTGTTTGTGAAATCAGCTCCCAATGACAAGTTGTTGAGCTTTCTCGAATAGTTTATGACTTATTTGATTTATTACATGCATTTTCGTCACAATATTTTGAGCTGCCTAATGTTACAGTGAATGATTAATGTCAAAAAGTGTATCAGATTTACTGTACAGCATTTTAGAGTGTACTTTACTCTCTGTGCTCTTCCAAGTGAAAGTGATCATCTAGGCCACCAGAGGGAAGAAAAGAACCACAGCTGTGCATCAGACACAAAAACTGTGTACTTATATGGGCAATAACTCTGAAGCATGCACACTTACATAGAGACAAAGTTGCACACCCCAGGTCAAAATGTAAGGTTTGTTGTTTTTCTAGGTAAGAATAAGTTAACACACCCTCTACAGAGAAGACATTTTGGTTATTGGTGGAGTCATCTGGTAACCTTTTGACCTCTCAGAAAGCTTCCTCATTACTGTACTGGTGAACGTATAACTAAGGTTAGTTTCCGGGGTTTCTGCTTTTGTGGTTTAAACGTTTGTTTCCAAGTGTGTGCAGTATTGTGCAAATGATTCACAAGAAAATGGTTTCATATCTTGGAAACACTTTTAAGAACAGAATAAATACAAACATTAATACAGTAAAAAGTCATGTTTTGGTTAGAAGAATACTGTTAAAAGAACACAGGTTTGGTTCCTGTCTTCACACTAGTCTACTACTCCAGTCATTATATGAATTTGTTAAGTCTCATCAGCAGCACTGTGCATAGTTTCAAAGTGTACTATATTCTCTGTGCTCTTCCAAGTGAAAGCGGTCACCTATGCCACCAGAGGGAGAAAATAAACCATAGCTGTGTGAACTTATATGGGCAACAACTCTGAAACATGCATACATACATAGAGTCATAAGCAAGTTATATGCTTGCTTACGACCCAGGTCAAGTTACATGTTTTGCTGATTTTCTAGGTGAAAATAAGCACACAATGAACACATCCTCTACAGAGAATACATGTTTGGCTGTTAGTGGAGTCGTCTGGAAAATCAACTAAAAAAATTGCCTAGAAAAACAGTAATTGCATGTTTTAATGCACAATTACTGTGTATTTGCTGAATTTAACATATTAGGGGGAAAATAAAAGATAAAACGTGGCTTGTGTAGAAGTTATCGTTTTATGTGTTTTCCCAATATGTAAAGCTCAGAAAATAAAGAGAAATAGTGTACTACAACCAGCAGAAAAAAGACATATTTAAGTGTGTTCTCTGTAGAGAATGTGTTAACTTATTTTTACTTAAACAAAACGTAATTTGTCTGGGGTGTGCAAATTTTGAACACTACTGTACATACATACATACATACATACATATTTACATACATACATAAATATTTACATACATACATACAAATGTAAATGATAACTCCTGAAAACATACAGTGTAACACACCTGCAGAAGGCTTTAAAGTCATTTTTGGCTTTTTTCTGAAAAAAGCTGGGATTAACCATTTCAGTCGCTCGTGAGCAGCTATTTAAACTCAGATATTCCCTCCATATGTGACTGAGGCAGTGTGTGTGTGTGTGTGTGTGTGTGTGTGTTTGCAGTGATGTGATGCAGTGTGTAAGTACATGTCCCACCCATAAGGTCCCACCTCTCTGTCCGGCGGTGCTGTCCGTCCTCTGAGAGGGGCGGGGCAGCGTTTGGGTCACGTGATAAACGCGCGCGTCTGAGGAGCGTCGATTTTCCTCAAGCCGAGCAAGATGCGACGTCTGCTCTCCTCACATTTGTGGATTTATTTTCTCCTCTTGTTGCTAATAAACAATACTTTCGGTGAGTCTTTCATTTTTTACACTTTGTTTTGGAATCTAAACTCTCCCCATTTGACCTGAACAAGTTTGTGAATTGAGAAGTCGTAGTTTTATAGTTAATTAGTGAGGAGTCTGGGTTTAAAAGGCTGCTGGAGAAGTGAAGATGCTGAATGCACAGACAGCAAGACCCATTTGATGTAGCCTAGATCACTGTAGTGCTGCGTACACGCCTAAAACTCCTGCCTCTGAGGAGAGAGCTGAGTACCCGCCTGGAAACAGTGAGATGCGCCTGTGACTGGGCATTTTCTGGATTTTAATCTGCTTGACCACACAGAACAACGACTCTCTTCCAAGCTCGTCCAATCAGGATTGCGGGTTGTTGCTGATAAAACTTGGTTATATAGCAGTACACACTTTAACGGTTCCTCAAGGGTTCTTTAACCAAGACAGTTGTTCTACATTGAACCATGAACACTTAAGGAACAATTTGCATGCTTGAAGCGTTCTCTGCATGGTGAAATGGTTCTTCAGATTGATGGAGAATGTGTTGTATATGGTTCTATATAGAACCTTTTTGAAAATGGATCTATATAGCACCAAAAGGGTTCTTGTACTGTTACTTGCTTGACATTGTAACAAAGAAAAACTCAGTGTTTTATTGAACCATTTTCAAAAAGGTTCTATATAGAACCATATGCAACAAAGAACCATTTAAGCATGAAATGGTTCTATATAGAACTCATGGTTCTAAATAGAATCATTGCCTTTACTAAAGGACCTGTGAAAAGTCATCTTTTTTAAATGTGTGCATGAATGCAGTTATAACAAGAAGAAATGTTGTTTCCGTGGTGTTATTTTTACTTAGTATATTGTATATGATCAATATCTAGTATAAACGCTCAATATAGGTGACACAACTTTTGGTTTCCATAAGAACCATGTTTAAGAAGAGATTTGTGAGTGGGAAGAACCTTAACACAATGTAAAGGTTCTGTACCTACTTAAACATTCTTTCTACAAGCTTTACATCATGTGGAGGTTCACTCCCACTCACCATCTAAAGGTATTTTGGGGAACCAAAAGTGGTTCTTCTCTTATGGCATTGCACAAAGAACTGTTTTAGGTACTCTTATTTTCTAAGAGAATACGTTTATACTGATATTCATTTTTACATAAAGCTTCTAGACCAGTGTTAGAGCCTTTGAGTATAAACACATTGTTTTGGGAATCCCTTACAAAGCACAGTATATCCACCCACCCAGACACCACTAAACCACTGCCCTACATGTAGCTTGCCATTCAGCCTTTTTAAACATTCTTAACATTCTGCTTTTTTTCCCAAACATAAGCAAGAGACTTTCACTCATCATTGCCTTTTCAGTGGATTTCCTCACTTGCTTTAGTTTGTACAACAACACAGTCTTGGCAGCCACAGGCAGCGCATTTAATCATCCTTATCGTGCATCTGAAATATCAGTTCTCAGAGAAGTCAAACAAATGCATGCAGAATGTTAGGCTTTTCGGCGTGTGTTTTTGTCTTGTCGAGTTACTCAGAAAGATTTGCTGACTGGAAAATGTTTGGGTTGGCATGCTTCTGCAGCATTTTTAGAGTGAAGCCATTTAAAAATCATTAATCTACGTAATATGTATAGAGCAGAGAATATGCAGTGCACAGCGCATGGAAACTACATCCAATGTTCTCTCATCTTTTAGCCTCCAATATCTGCACGTCCCGAGGAGCCAGCACATGCCAGCAGTGTTTAGCAGTGCACCGTTCCTGTGCGTGGTGCGCCCAAGAGGTGTGGTACACTCCCTTTGCCAAGCCATATCATATCTGATCTCGTGTTTACTTTGCTTCTTGAAATATAAAGTGAAAGAGAAAATGTGATCAGTTCCTGTGTAGACTAAGAAAGTTCTTCAGTGCCTGTCAGGTATATATTTTGGATATGGCTTACAGTGCTTGCATATTGTTGCATAACAAAACTTTGTATCCTTGAAGGAACTTTATAGGAGAAGGAAAAAACCTGTACTTGAACCCTGCTATATCAATATAACTATGCCATATATGTCATGGAAGATGTCAAATGCAGTTATGAGTTATCATAGCCAATTTAATTCCATAATAACTGTCATGTTACCATTACCTGTGATTGTCATGATAGATTCCATAATGTTTGACATCATGACAGTGTGTCACATGCTAAATGTACTATAGTCTAGCCTTCATGACATTAAACAGTATGACATCTGTTGTCATAACAGATGTCATACTGTTTAATGTCATGAAGGCTAGACTATAGTACATTTAGCATGTGACACACTGCCATGATGTCAACAGTAATGGTAATGTGACACTGTTATAGTACTTGACAAAATCTGTCAATACTCATAACAGCATATCATGTCTGCGATGATATGCTTATATTATGGATATGTCAATGATATGTAACTGGGTTTAAGTAAAGTAAAACATTTTATTCCAATATTTTATGTAGCTGGTATTATAAAATGTGTAAAAAGTGGGTCATGAAGTTTTGATTTACTAGCAACAATTAATTAAATCACTAGTTTGATATTATTACATATTTTGGTCATTTAAACACTTTCAGTCAATTGCTTCAGGAAGCTTATTAAAGCTTGTTCAGGTTGTCTCCTGATAAAACATGAAACATTACTTTTTAATACAATATGATTTTCTCTGCTACTTGGTAAGAAGCCTTCAATAGAGAAAGGAGTTTTGCAACACTGAGTGAAGAAAGCAATGACTGATATTCAGCAGACTCAGTGTTCAGTGTCTGTTCCTGTGTGGTACTGATGACATTTCAGGATTTTGGGCTGAATGTGCCTGGCGCCTCCCGCTGTGACCTCAAGAAGAACCTTCTAGATGCAGGATGCAGGAGAGGAGCACTGGAGTATCCCACCAGCCAGTTGTATGTTACAGAGAATAAAACTCTCAGTGATAAGGCCTCTGGGTCCACCACTGATGTCACACAGATCCAGCCCCAGAAACTACAGATTACCCTGAGACCTGGTGAGTCCACAACAGAGCTAAGTGAAACACTGATATTAATGTATATCATGACAGCCATCAACAAAAAAGCCCATAAAAAGTGCAAAAATAAATGAAAACATAAGTGGCTTCAGAAAGCCTAGTCATTTGACCATGGCTATGGGCAGAGCATAAGTTCCTTCCTCACTTTACTTTGATAGGATGCACCCATTTGCCTAGTCATTGATGGTGGTTTCCACAAAAGAGAGCAAATGACAGACCCTCAGAAAATTTCTTGGAGATACAGTTTTCAATTTCAGTTCTCTGTCCTTGGAACAAAAATATAACATTGCGATACTTTAGGTTTGATAAACTGGAACAGACAAAAAAGAACCAACACTATTACAAATCTATCACAAATACCATCAAATTCTATGAATGCAGGGATTTTTATTCAATCTTCTGCATACAGCACTGCACTAAATAAATAAAGCAGGCCACATTATGCAGTTGGTCAGTGTTCATTAAGTACTAACGATATAATGCTCAGAAAAGCATATTATGACGTGATGTGATGGAATTTATCACAATAACACTAAATATCATCATATTGCCTACCCTTCTCTGTTCAACACTGTATTGTAGGGATGGGCGATAAGGCAAAAATACAGTATCATAATACTTTAAGATTTTTTCACAATGCATCATATGCCACAGTATTTATTTTTTCTAAAACCTGATAAATTGGAACAGACAAAAAAGAACCACTTTTAAAAGTCACATTTAAAATACTATCAAAATATATATATATATATATATATATATATATATATACACCACATTTTACCTACTGGACCATGCTAAATCTACTTAAACGGGACTAATTGTGTGCTCTCTGTAGTGAAAAATGCAACTGGTGTGTGTGCTACAAGTACTAATGATATCCACATTATGCACAGAAAAGCATATTATGACAATTACAACAATAACAATAAATGTTTTTACATTGCCTAGCCCTACTGTGTCAAAATTCTGATTGTGTTTGAAGTGATAGAGGACCAGAAAAACATTACATCACACAGACCGTGCCTTGTGCTGCTGATATGTATTTATTTGCAAGATGTTGTATTACAGTATGTAGTTGATTGTGTCACAGACTAGCTTCCAGTTGTTTTGTGCTTTGTCTTGTAGATGACTCCCAGCGGTTCACGCTGCAGGTTCGGCAAGTGGAGGACTACCCTGTTGACCTGTACTATCTGATGGACCTGTCCTACTCCATGAACGATGACCTGTCACAGCTGCGGAAGCTTGGAAAAGGTCTGGCAGAGGAGATGAGTAAAACCACCAGTAATCTGCGTATGGGCTTCGGTGCTTTCGTGGATAAACCTGTGTCTCCGTACATGTACATTTCTCCACCAGAAGCCGTGCAGAACCCATGCTACTCGTGAGTAATCAACAAGACCAAGGGAGCATGTGCATAACATTCTTGTCAGAGATGACAGACAGTGTTTTTTTTTATGCTTTGTTTGCTTGCAGATATTTGAACTTTGTCATACTTCCATGACCATGCTCACAGGTCATTCTCTGTGAGGTGTTACTGGAGGTGCTAATCCAAAGAGCATTAGAAACATAATGATGTTCTGCTTTTTCTCTAAAAATAATGACCATTTCCCTGTTCCTAGAACATCTCAACATTGCTAGTCCATCACTCCTTTAACACCAAATTCTATAAAATTATAGTACATGTGTATATACAGGACAATTCCTTCACTTCATAAATAGAACATTTCATAATTTTATATAATACTTAGTAACTTTTTTGGGCTGTGGTATTGCCAGGATTCAAACATACGATATCCTGACAACGCAGCAAAAAGTAAGTAAAGTACATAAGTGTATCCAAAGTAGGCTTTACCATGGGGGCACCATAGTTGTAACAAAACTATAAAGAAAAATAAGAAAATAAGAGGTCATTAAGAGAAACAAGACCCAAATAACTATCAAAGAATTATGGGTAACCCTGCCCTTCAGGGGTACAATAAAAATAGACTACATGAGCTAACATCTCCAATCTGTGGATGAATACAATGCAAAATAAAATTCATTACCACTAAATGTGTTTCATGTGTTTCTAAATTCATCATTTGCCCCTATGTATCTGCCATGTTTTAAAGCATTCTACTTCTTTGTTCTACAAGAAATATTCAATATTTTTCTATTAGGCTAAATAGCCAATGCTAATTAACATTAGCTAACTTAGCTAACTAGCTTTTATACACTTCAGCTCCTTTCTTATGCTTCCTATCTTATGTTCACAACTTAAAAAAAAAACATGTTTACATATATTGTTATGCTTTCTTGACTTTTAAAGAACATGACTCTTAAATGCTGTTGACTGAGACAAAATGATTCATTGAATCTATGTTATTTAAATGTGTACATCAATTCCATATTAATAAAACATTCTACATCAGTACAATTGTTGTCAAAAAGTAAGTAAATAGTGTAAAATGTAAGTAGAGGAAGTAAACAAAACTGTGTTGAAGTAATATATTTATTCATGTGGAAATTATGTGCACATTTGAATCAAGTGCAGGTTTGAGCTACTCACAGAGAGTGACCTTGCAGTGGACACAGTAGCAGTGTTTAACTATGACAAAGTTTAAACATTTAGACATATAAGAGAAAAGAACATAAAGAATCTTTTAAATGTAGTAGAATGTCTGTATGAATCCCTGTTGATACAATGTTTTGGATTAAATAGTCTCTATATTTGCCATTCGTTGGGTGACGTGGCCAAAATGCATGTAACCATGTGTGTCACCACTGAACATACAAGGTACGATTAAAGTTTTACTTGAACATGGTCATTTAGGTGACGCATAAGTCATGAGCCAATGGCTTCATTAAAGGCTCAGTGGATGACTGGCACTCTTGCCCAGACTGAGTTCATCCACAAAATGCCCCTTTCTTTCCCATGGGCCGTCTCTCCATGTTGTCAACATCATCAACTCCTAAACACATCTTAAATCTTTCTATATTAGTAACCCTCACTGTAATTACTGACTTTGTGCCTTGGAGTCAAAGCCATTTCTTTTCTGACGGTGATAGGATCCCATACAAATGCCAACCGCAGTTCGGCTACAGACACGTCCTGTCTCTGACAGAGGAAGTGAGCCGATTCACAGAGGAGGTGAAGAAACAGAAGGTCTCTCGGAACAGGGACGCTCCAGAGGGAGGTTTCGATGCCATTATACAGGCAGCCGTGTGCAAGGTGATCCAGTACAAGTTACCTTCTTATTCAGTATGCTGTTCATAAACCTATGACACAATCAAAAAACAACACCATAGTGCACTGTTTGCTTGTCTTATGACACAAGTGTGTTTTTTACCACATCTTTTGTACTCTTTTCTAGGAGGTCTCTGATTTTTGGCACTTGTCTCATTTTGTCTCACCTTTTTTTCAGGAGAAAATTGGTTGGCGGCCAGATGCTTCTCACCTGCTGGTGTTCACCACAGATGCTAAGACTCATGTAGCACTGGATGGTCGCTTGGCAGGCATTGTGCGGCCAAATGATGGCCAGTGCCACGTGGGCGCAGACAACATCTACAACATGTCAACTACAATGGTACTTTTTTTTTTCTAATCTGAGTTTATTAGGTAGAGGAGAACGAGGCGCAACCTAATACATTTTGCTTTTGCTACATGTTTTAAAAGTATTTGAGTAATATATATTTTGTTTTTTATGCAAGCAATCTACAGGTCTCAGATAAAAATGAAAAAATCAGTGTTGTTCCCAGCACCCACCATTTATGAACAGTTCTTCTAAAGCAACATGAAGGCAAACATTACAAGTTGTAACTGTTATAACAGTGGCTAAAAGTCTGGTAAATCACTGAAAAACCCAATTAAGTCAGTATGTTGACTGAACCAGACAAGCTGTCCAACCTAAACACATACAATTACATGTACCAAAATGGTTATGATTAGTAAAAAAAAAAAAGAGGTTGTATGGGAACGTGGCAAAATTATTTTTGAATGATTATTGAATTATTGTTGAAGTGCAACCGCAAATGTCAACACTTTTTTATGTGGATATTTTTATGGTTCTATGGATATAAACTTAAAAAAACAACTTTTAAATGTATATAAGGGAATATTGTTTAACTGTTTAATTTTAAAGGCTTAATTTGCAATGCTTATTTGTAACACTGTGTTACAACTAACCACATTATGTGGAGGCTGTACTTTAGCCTGGCTAGCTCTGGCTAGCTCTGAGTTGTTTACACCTAGAAACAATGCTATATTACAGCCACCAAGAAGGAAATTAAATAATATAGGAGTGAATTCTGTGAATTATACACACTGTTACCCCCTTACACACTTCTATAACCTAGGAAAAGCTCCTTTAGTTTGCTTTGAAGTCCCTGCAGTTAATGAATAATAAGCCTTAGTATGTAATAAGCCTGGAATGTTAAGGGGTTAAACTTAATAGAAAGAAAACCCATGATAAAACTTGGCCTGGCACCTGGCACACAACTAGTACACTCTTCGAAGTGGATCTCAAGAAGCATCTGACTGGTGGCTGTGAAAATTCTGAGAATATGAGATGACGAAACGCATGTTCTACTTGAATCTAACTACATGAAATATCTATGTTAAATTTTACCTCATGTTAGGTTGTGCCCTGCTCTCCCTGCCTACCTTATATGTACACTCATTGGTCATTTTATCAGGCATACCTACGATATATATGCACTTTGTAGGTTTGCAGTTACTGATTCCCGGCCATGTGTTGCTGCACAGTTTATCAGCCCCCTCTACTCTGTTCCTCAATAAAAAAGCAACACCACAGGGCCAGCACTGACCACATTTTTCTTGAATAGTGGACCATTCTTAACACAACAATGGCACCAACATAGTAGTGGCATCTTCTGACACTTCATCAGAAGTCAGTTTCTGGCCACAGGATGCTGTTGGCTGTATATTTTTGGCTGGTGCACTACTCTCAACCCAGCAGTGACAGTGAGGTATTTTTAATCTCCACTGTGCCTGATACACTCATACCAGCGCAGCACACGCTAACATGCCACTACCATTTTAATGCCACGGTAGCATCAGTTGTGCATGACAACAGATTGGCTACAGTCAGTAACTGCATATCTATGAAGTGCATCTACAGTAATGTGTAAAAGAGACCACCCTTCATTTCCAGTCAAAAGTCAGAGTAAATTTTTTTTCTGAAAACAAGCTTAATGAAATGAATGTAGGCTAGTGAACCCCCCCAAGAAAATGTATGATATATTCAAAAATATGAAAATGTGTGATATATTCAAAAATATGAAAATGTATGATATATTCAGTTGGTGAGGCTTACATAATGGACATTTTGGCTGGAAATTAAATGAACGAAGGGTCTCTGACTTTTGCACTGCACTATATACAGTAAGTATCTTATCTATAAATGACCAGTGAGCTTTATGTAATAAACTTGCAACTTAGTGTACATGACAGCTACTAACCACATAGGTGCAAGTAAACAATTTGATTCAATTTAGGAAATTCCAGTAGACTCTCTGTTTTATAAGCATTTATATATAATCCTACAGGACTACCCATCCCTCGCCCTGATCACAGAGAAAATGTCAGAGAACAATATAAATCTAATCTTTGCTGTGACCAATCCTGTAGTACAACTTTACAAGGTAAGGCTCACATTAAACACAGAGTGAGTAAAAATGATTTTATTTATTTATTTATTTATTTATTTAGGCATATTCACTATGCTTCCTCTCCTTTTATTCTCACAGAACTACAGTGATCTGATCCCTGGTACTGCAGTGGGGACTCTGTCTGAGGACTCACGCAATGTGATCCAGCTGATCCAAGATGCCTACGCTGTAAGTGCACAGGACACTTTTTTGTCTGTCTTCTCGTGACATTTCTTACACATTTTTGCCACATTATAATAACCTGAATGTTGCACAAGTAGATGTGAAATCTAACCGAGTTGTCTTTGACATACGGTGCTGAATCACAGAAAATTCGCTCTAAAGTTGAACTAGAGCTCCTGAATGTCCCAGAGGAGTTGAGTTTGTCCTTCAATGCCACATGTCTGAACGGAGAGGTCATCCCTGGACTCAGGTCTTGCTCTGGGCTCAAGAGAGGAGACACGGTTAGAGCCTTTTCATATTCCTTTCTGATCTTCCTTTTCTATACGTGGTTCATTATGCATCACAGACGCTCTCTGACGTTCATTCTCTCTCCCTCTCTCTCTCTATGGCTGCAGTGTTTCAGTTTGAAATACTCACTCCAGAGGTCTCTGAAAGTTTTTTTTTTTTTTTTCATCTTGTCATCCTTTTACATCTTTCCTCTTGCTTGTTCCGTTATTCTGGTTTGTGGAATTTGTTCTCACCCAATCCAAATAAGGAAGAACACAAGTGAACAGGAAAAGACCTTTCTGATGTGCACTCACCCTGATAAATGACTTTGTGGTTTATAGCGGCTTCAGTCCGTCATCCCAGTAAATGATTAAATTCACAAACACACACGCACTCTCACAGGATGGGAGGTGGTGGTGGTGGGGGTGTCGTTAGTCAATTTGCTTAGTATGTCTGGACATCAGCCGTGCCTGTTTCCTGTTTTTCTGACTCACTGTGTCCAGTTAACTCAGCCTGCCTGTCAGAATATCCATTTGTACCATTCAGACTCTGAAGAATATGCAGCCTCAGGATGGGAAGATAAAACTCACTCAAAGCATGAGCATTATGATGGATGGCTACTGAACACGCAGAACAAAGTTTTTTCCATGCTGGGTCAGAAGTTTCTCACAGTATCTTTATGTATTTATTTGAACTATTTCCCAAATCTTATCTTGGAGTACCTCTGCCCTGCACTACTTGGTGTTTCCCTGCTCTAACACATCTAGCTTCAGGAATGGCTTGAATAGGTGCATAAGCTGTTTTAAAGCATAGAAGCACAAAAATGTGCAGGGCGTAAGGCACTTCAGGACCAGAGTTGGTAACCATAGTGTTATAGCATCCACTCCAGCTTTGTGTGAGGGATGCATTAAAACTACGGGGGTAAAAATTATGATACAGCAATACAACATACTATATTGGTATTGGTACAGACACTAGCCCTATTAAATGAACCGATTATTGGTCAGATGTAACTAATCCACATTTGATACTGTTTTACAGTTGTGGGCATTATTATGTTCAAGTAATTATGAAATTTTATAGACCTTTTAGAACAATATAATTAAAAAAATGCACAATTTTACAAAGAATGTTGATGTATGAACATGTCCGCCATGGTACTATTTATGTTTACTTTGCTAAGGAAAAACACAAATGCCTTAACATAGCACTGGTTATAAATCAGTACTCAACTGCAATAGTATCATGCATCACTAGTAAAAATACATTGATCTGAAGGTATAATTCAACTGTTTCATGTTAAAACCAACTATAATTACAATTAAATTATAATTAAGTTTATTAAAAATGCTTTAGTTTTTTGCCCCAAGTAAGTTATCTGGCTATTTTCAAAAGGACATCTGCTTTTATTTTTCACTTTCACCCACTGTCCATTTTCATTTTTACAGTTTTATTGAAATATTTCACTTTTTGAACAACATTTTTATTGTCTGTATCCCACTAAAGTACTTATTTGTATTTATGTGTTTCGTGTATTTGTTGCAATAATTCTGAGTGATGCTAAAAATAATCTAACTGGATCATAATTGTATTGTTGTGAGATCAGAAATGCACACCACTGATGTAAGCCTTTTACAGGTGTCTTTCAGTGTTGAGGCTCGTGCGAGGGGCTGCCCTAAAGAGAAGCGCAAGACATTTACCATCAAACCTGTGGGCTTCAAAGATGCGCTTCAGATCACCGTCAATTTTGAGTGTGAGTGCAAGTGCCAGGCTCAGGGTGAGCCCAACAGTTCTGCGTGTCATCACGGCAATGGCACTTACGAGTGCGGCATCTGCCAGTGTCACCCGGGCCGGCTGGGCCCCAGGTGTGAGTGTGCGGAGGGAGACTACAGCTCCAGTGAGCAGGGCTCATGCAGCGGGCCCAACAAAGTGGTGTGCAGTGGCCGCGGAGATTGCGTGTGTGGCCAGTGTGTGTGTCACAACAACGACTTCGGCAAGGTGTGGGGGAAGAGGTGTGAGTGTGATGACTTCAGCTGTCTGCGCTACAAAGGAGAGCTGTGCTCAGGTAAAAGCTGTTATAGTATGACTCTAATTGAGCTGCGTTAGTTTTACCAGGGAAAGTGATCACTGAACACATTGTCTGTTCAATCAATGCAACGGCCATAGTTTTTAGAAGCAATCTGCGATGTCAGTAGTTTTTAGAAGTCTGAAAGTAATAATTGCAAAACACATAGTCTTCTGTAACTTGAAGATTCCTCAGTAATAGCAGTCCTGTTGCAATTAGCCTCACATCAGTGTAATAACACAATCAAATAGACAAAACATTTCTTTTTGGCAGCCGAAAGACTATATACCACTAAAATAGCTTCAGTGTTCTTGGTGAAGGACTAATTAGAAGGAGGATATCTTGAAAGTACCACTTTACTTCACGGGTTAACTGGAAGTTAGCCTGTTTCTGTTTGTACCAGGTTAATTTTAATCGCAAGTGTAAAATGTCTTTCAGTCTGGGATAGCTGCGTTAATTTGGAGAAAATTCCATATACTTTATCCCCTATGAAATAACTAGTCTAATTCATTACCAATTATAACAAAGAAATTTATTTGGCTTGGTTAAACTAACCAACCTCAAACAGTGCTTAAAACTAATGTTTCTTTGTTGTAATGCAGTATTTTACAACAAATCCTGGCTGCTAGACTAGCCTCTGATCTATTGGCTAATAAATAATAAAGAAATCTATGATTTTATCTTTGTTCATCACAGAATGGATGCCAGAGACAAGGGTAAGTTTTGTTACCCTTTCAGATAGATAGAAGAAACCAAGCTCAACTTAGATATGTAGATAGGTAGCTTTCGCTTGCTAACTTTAGCTTTTCAGCTTGTTATCCTCCTCATCTGAAGAGTCATTTCTGTTGTTAAAGTAATCCATTCTATTCACTCTAATGATAAGGCTTATTATTCAGTAACCACAGGGACATTCTGAGGATATTCTGAGGTTATAGAAGTGTGTAATAAAACTTTGGGCCTGCTGGTGGCCCCTCACTATTTAAGGAATTAAATGGTAAAATCTCATTCTCTCCATTTTTCATTTTGGTAAGGTACACAAAAAGGTACACAGTCTGTTCACTGTATGAGGGTGTAATTTTTTTAGGTGAAGATGCGTGGCTTTGTGTATTTTGTTGCTTATGTCATACTTAACTTTATGCATTTAATCTTGACTGGTGAGGATACCATCACCCTCCTTTCAACAACATCAGCCACAGTGGAAATCCTGTATCCGCCTATTTTGATAACTTTTTGTCTTCAACATCATTCTTCTGTTTATGGAGTCTCAAACTCTTTTTCTCAGAGTCGCTGTAACTCAGTGCCCTGCTGCTCTTCTTGAAGACCTCATACGGGAAAAATTACTCACAAAAATACTGGATGTACCTTGGCTTTATGCAACAAAATGCAGGCTGCTTTTCTGAAATAAACATGCGCTGTGGAGCTGTGTGAGCTCAGACGTGGGCCGGTCTCTGTGAGTGTTTGTGTTACGGGCAGTGGAGCTCACTCAGGGAGGAGTGGGCCAAAAATTCTTGTAGTAGAACTTCTCAGCAGTGACCACTCACTCTGCCACTGGGCAGAAACAACACAGTGTTGCACCTCACATCCCTGTCTGGTATTAACAGCTGTACTGTAGCTCTAAATACAGAGCTGTCTGTGTTTCGCTGGAGTAACTTAGTGTTTCACTGTGTTTTCATTACAAACAGGCTTAGCACCATTACCACTCAGCAGTAAGTAAGTAAAGCATTACTTACCATATTCCCTAAAGCCTGGTGATTATTGCGCAAATGCCTTTCCGCATTGTCACGCACTGATGATGTCACAGCACTAAAATAGCCTGGCACAGCAAGGGATGTGAGTGATGTCTGGTTTGGTGGAGCTGGAATTGTATTGGGGATTTTTTTCTGTGGGATGAGTGATTATAGGCAGTGTGATGTTTGTCCTTGAGAACAGGCTGGTTTTATAGTCTCTGCCCATTGTGTTCAGTGTTATTGTTTCTGGTTTCTTGTTCATCTGGGTGTTTTGTGCAATCATCCCAAACATTAATCTTTTTAAAAGAGTACATTGTCATTACGGCCACTTAAAAACATCTATCCAAATCAGGTCCAAATCAGGTCTGCCTAAAGTCTGGGCTGTGGGCCAAAGTTAGCATGTGAGGACATTTGATTTAGCCCACTCCCTCACTAAATAAAAATGATATATATATTTACTGTATTCTTTAAATACAATAGATTGCTGTACAGAATGGTGCATCCTCAGGCTTCTTATCAAAGAAGTTCAACTGTTCGATTTTACAGTAATTAGCTGTTATTTGCAAAGCATGTTGGTGACCGGTACTTTGTGCAGTCTTGAGCAGCCTGTTTCTGAATATTGTAGTGAGAGGGTGAAGCTTCCCAGCATTAATTGTGGTTTTGTTTTTTTCTTCCACTGTTAATTTCACCAGTTATTTGATTTTAACGTTATTCCTACCACAGATATAAGCTTGACTGTATTTTATATGTTTTAGTATTACAACCTTGATTGTCTTTTATGTTTTAGTAGTTCATCCCATAATGTTATATCTTTATGACTATATCTTTACATGCTGTACTTCATAACATAGCAAAACTGAGGGTCCTCAGACAGCTGTGGGCTCACATTAGACCACAAATGAGCTGTACATTAGAAATACAGGAATGCATAGACTATTGTAGTTGTATAATACATTATGAATGCCCTAAATACATGTTAAATTTCTGCCAGTAAGTTACTGTAATTTTACAGTTTTTCACAGTTTATCTCCCTTCTTTAATTGTATGTTGTCCTTTTGGCCCTTATCCCACCACGAACATTATACCTTCGACCCCCAAGACAAAACATTTGGGCACCCTTGGTCTACATGGACATGGACTAACAGGCTCATGCATGGACTACATCTCAGTGTTGAATTTAGCTCAAGTGAAGCATCAAAAAAGAGGCTTATTACTGGGCTTCTGCACATTGTATAAAATTCCACAGATTCCACAACAGCCAGATTTTATTTTTAGGAGACCATGTGATATATAGGAAGATTAAAGCATTTTGACAAGGGCTGAAAGGAGTAACTCTGGGATTTCATTTTGTGAACTACATCAAGCCTCAGAGGTCTACTGGGAAATGAGCTTTGTTTCCGTGCATGTGTGGAATGCACACTCCTCACGAGATGTATTTTTATGGGCAAACCTGTAACTAAACAGAACGAAACATGGTGTGCTTTCACAGAAAACATGTTCGTCCATAATCACCCCGGGTATTAGATGGAGCTAAGGCTATCAGTAAATCTTCAACAGGAGGCTTTTACAGCATTTACCTCTGGCAGAAAAGCACTTTCTTTGATTCACTTCAAAGATATCTATTACCTCAGCTTCTCAGAATCTGCTTGTTCGTTCCCTGGATCACACCCCTGTTGATTCTGTGCTCTTACATGCTGCCTTTTATAGGTCATGGCACATGCTCGTGTGGTTTCTGCCAGTGTGACCCAGACTGGTCGGGTGAAAACTGTAACTGTTCCACGCGCACGGACACCTGCATGTCCAGCATAGGCTTGTTGTGTAGCGGCCGTGGCCAGTGCGTGTGTGGTAGCTGTGAGTGCACCCAGCCTGGGGCCTATGGCTCCACCTGTGATAAATGCCCCACCTGCCCGGACGCCTGCACCATGAAGAAGTGAGTCACTAGCCACCTTTACCCTTTATACATTACCTGATGTTTAACTATGCAGCATTGAGTCTTACGTTGAGTCTGAAAACTTAGCTTTTAGAAGAGTTATTATCGAGTTATTGTTTCAAATAGTGAATATACAATTACAGCATGCTTTTATTATTGCTGACAAAATGTATATGTATTAATATATGTCTGTATTTCTGTATGTATTTGGAATGTATTTCTTTAGGGACTGTGTGGAGTGTAAGCATTTTAAGCGTGGAAGGCTCTTTGAGGACGAAACTTGTGCTCGGATCTGCAGAGATGAAATTACACTGGTTGATGATCTGAGTAAGTTCGGTGGTTCTGATCTGACACTAATCATGAAAGTCTTATAGTTGAATAGACACTACAGTTTTCTCTCTGTGCCGTTCTACAGTTTTCCATGATAAGAATGCGGTGAACTGCACCTACAAAGATGAAGACGACTGTGTACAGAGGTTTCAGTACTTTGAGGATAACAGTGGGAAGTCCATTCTGTATGTGGTAAAAGAGCCAGGTAACGCTCCACCCGCACTCAGACCTGTACTTAAGCAAGCACAAAACACTCAGCCTTAGCAAGATAAGTGTTTTCAGCAGAGTGTGTTGTGGTGCGACCTCACAAAAGAGGAATTCGTTCATACGTGTGTGACTGAATGTGATGTGATAGTTCAGACTGAAGTTTTCTTTAAAGAGCTAAGGTTGCCCGTCTGTGCACCCAAGTTGATGGTGTTTGGGGGTGGCGGACGAGTGCTTGTATGTGCGTGCGTGTTTCTGCTTCTTAAAGAGGCCATGGTGAGAGTGTGTGTTGTTAAGGAGGTAATGGCTGGAGCCTGCAGTGAGAGTTGAGTCTACCCCTTTGCTTTAACAGACCCACATGTGGAACATGGGCTTAATTAAGTACTCAGAAACACTCAGACCTAGAGCACAGAGAGGAGCCCATGTAGTAAAGCAAGGCAATAAACATCAGCATCCAAGCTACCGGGGAACGCGCTGACATGGCACAACGCATAACATGTAATCAGACAGGAAGGATAAAGTGGCAGACGCAGAGAGAGATAGACAGTACATATGAGAGAAAGTGTAAAACTGAAGTTGTTGATCATACAGAGGCCAAAGAAACTGCTATGCAATGTCTGGTAAAGGTCACCAACAAACTCAGCCTATATCCTATTTTTTTTGTAGTTTATTTTTCTCCATGCTGTCCACTTATGACATTGGTATGTGTATGTGTACCAAAACAGTCATAATTAATTTTTTACATGACCATTTTCTGAACCTTTGTGTAACACTGTTTTTGGTACTGTTATATATGAAAATGTTTCCTATTCATATTGTGTTTTATTTAAAAAAACAAGCTGAAACACACTTTAGTCCTACACGTGACTGGGCGTAGCTAGCTAGCTAGGCTGAATTAGCAGATATATTTACAGGTGTTGGTTTTTGTGACATCACAGAAACAATGAATTCAAAATAGACTATTTTTGCAGTTTAGTTTATATATATATATATATAAATATATATATGTATGTGTGTGTGTGTGTGTGTGTGTGTGTGTATATATATGGACTAGAGAGTGAACAGTATGTCTGGAAACTTTAACTGAGGAAATTGAGGAAAAATCTTTTTCTATGATATGGGCCCTTTAAATTCAGATGAACATTAATTATGATTGCAGGTGAAACGGCTTTATACATCATGATCAGGGAAACGTCACACTACTGGTGGGAGTAGTGGACCTACTAAAGAGTTTTCATACATAGAGAAAGTCCTGTCTTTTGCCACTCCATATTACTTTTTTATTTTTTTCTTGGTTGCAAAGATCACTGTTAACAGTTTGACTGTTTACCTATATATATTAAACATAAATAACATATATATCACTTACTTTTGAATATTTAAGACTTTAAGATTTAAATTTTTTTATTGTTTTTAACTATTACTTGAATAATTGTCCACAAAGGTATCTTTACTTTAACGTAAGTATGACTATTAGATACTTTATACAACACTGTTTTCAATACTTTTTCATGTTAGATTAGTTTCACCTTATGGTTATGTATTGAGTGCTGAGCTGAGTTGCTCTTTTTCTGCTTTCTTGTTTCATGTTGTTATGGGTGTTTTGTGCAGTCACCCTAAACATTAACCTTTTTAGTAACCAAATGTTTTATTTCCACACCCTCAACCAGACAGTACAGTGTCAGACAGTCCCAAAAAGTAGATACAAGAAAGCAAAATACAAATCATGTGACAAGAAAAGTAGGTCTTAAGAGAAGCGGGGTCAAGTTGAAAATTCAACATTCACAGATCTAGTTTCCCAGAATATTGTCACTGTCCAAAAAAAAAACCTCCATTTTTTGGGTACAGAGTCTGCCATTTGTGTGAAAATTTCATGATTGGACCAATAGAAATGGTCAAAAATTGCTTGGAATATAATATTTTTAAAATTATTTCCTTTTAAATAACATGTTTGCCTTCTCCTGAAAAGTTATCATTTTGGAGATACCTGCATTTCTTTGGACAGTGATGATATGCAATACTTACTCCCAAAAAAGTAGTAAAAATGTACACTCTTATATGGAATATAAAACATACTCCCTTTATTTTGGCATTTCCAACATTATCTGTAAACAATTTTATAAAGTACAACCCTGGTCAGTTTACATTTTGTTGTTTTTCTCAGTGAAAATAACACATCCTCTATAGGAAACACACTTATATATTGCATTTTCTGCAAATTTTAGCTCACGACTTCCTATTTATTTGTTGAGTTTAACATATTGGGGAAAAAATCATTCAATATAAAATGTGACATAACTTTTATACAGGCCACATTTTATGTTTTCTTTTTTCCAATCTGTTCAATTCACCAAACAGTAATTGTGCCTTAAAATGTGCAGAAGTGCATTCTCAGTAGAGAATGTGTACTTATTTTCACTTAGAGCATCAACTTAAAGTAATTTGACCAGGGTTGCACTAACTTTTCCATAGGACTATACCTAGAAAACACATCCACATGGACATGGACTAATGTGCAATGTCTCAAAGTCCAAAAAAAATTACAAAACAGAAGAGGTCTTATTGCCCTATTTCATGCTTTATTACTGTTTTTGAGGACATTTCAATGTTCAATGTGCTGAGTCTATGAGCAGAATTAAGTGTCACGACTGTAGACTTTGGTGCAGATGCTCTTGGTTGACTTTTTGGCCACCCCCTGCTGTGTCTTAGACTGTCCTAAAGGCCCTGACATCCTGGTAGTGCTGCTGTCTGTTGCTGGGGCTATACTGTTCCTGGGTCTCGCCGCCTTGCTCATCTGGAAGCTGCTGGTGACAATCCACGACCGCCGCGAGTTTGCCAAGTTTGAAGAGGAGCGGGCAAAAGCCAAGTGGGACACGGTGAGCCTGGCACATCATCCACACACACACATAGACGCATGCCACAATAGGCTCATAATTACTCAAATTTGCCTGTTATAGTTAGAGTCTTATGTGCAAACACATGTCATCCGACCACAAATAGCAAATATAAGCTCAGCAAATGTGCCACCACATGTAAGCCTCCACGTCCACCCCTGTTTACTGTATTGTAAAAGCTGGTATTACTATTTGAAAGTTGCCTGGTAAGACGCAGGGTAAATCATAGATGTGGGCGGGATGATTTTATTGTCTCTGTGGCATGCTGTTTTCCCTACAGAACAAAGGAACGCCTCCGTTCCCTAGGGCATGTTTTGCTTTAAATTATGCTTTGCTAATTAGGCTTTCCTGGCATGGTCTGTAGTCTCACACTCACACAAGGTTATTCCAGCCACATCTGGACTCTGACTCCTCCTGCACTCTTCTTGCAACAGACTCAGTTTGCAGTGCTTAGAAGCACAAATGAAAGGGTTATCAGAGTTGGTATAAGCGCACAGATTGCTTACTGAAGTAAAAGCACACGTACAAACTCGATGATTTGCATAATGGGGAATTCCACCAATTTTTCAAAATTTCAGCATAATTCATTGAGGCGTTAAGTTATGGTGGTTCCAGTGGTTTGATCTGGAATAGTGCATTTCAGAGAGGACATGCAAGCTCCACACAGAAAGGACCCTGGTCGCCCGGCTGGGAAATGAACCCAGGCCCTTCTTGCCGACAGCTCTACCCACTGCGCCACCGTGCCACCCCTATGCAAGCACATCAATTTCAAAATTAAAATGAAAATGTAATGTCTAAAATGGCAATGTATTTGTATGTTTGCATTTAAATAACCCACTCATATATGCAATGTTGAGCTCAAAATGAAATCAGTATTATTAAATTCAAATTTAATACAACCATTTCAATATTGAATAATAAGTCAGGAAATGTAAGAGGTTAAATGAAAGGACTCAAGTACAGATACTTAAAAACCATGTCTTATTTTCTGAACTTTGAGTGAGTTTTTGTGCAGACTGTTTTTGCGCACTTTGAAGTAATGCTTTCCATTCTGCCCTGTGTCATCATTCTAGAGCCACAATCCTCTCTACAAAGGTGCCACCACCACTTTCACCAACATCACCTATCGAGGCAAGGAGTAACAGTCCTACACCTCAGTCACTGGAGCGACAGCGAGACGGGACCACAGGAGGACATGTTCTTCTTTTTTTTCTCTGTTACATTTTCTTACAGTTGTAAAAATAATGTTAGCCTTTTATATTTGGAGGATGTACATTTTTGTCTGTAAATATGATTGATTGGTTTAATGAAGTAACGTGTTTAATCATCACGATTGTTTTGCAAGCACTCATTAAATGTACAGTGTCATAGGGTGGAGTATTAAGAGCCTCATTGTTTGTTTTCATGTCTGTGTCTTTGGAGATAGCTAATCACCGTGACACATACTCTGCCTCTTCCTCAGTGCCCTTCTCTGGTTTCCTGTCTAGAGTTATGCATTTATGATAAAAGCTTGAGCAATTTTTTTACTTGTTCTGTGACAGTGGGAACAGTGCTGCACTGGACTGTATGTTTGACCTTCTAATTTTTGTACATTATAAGTTTGCACTGTAAAAATGGTTCGTCAGTTCAACCTGAAAAAATAAATATTTGGGTGGTTACAAGTAGGGCTGAGCAATTAATAGTTTTTATATCGAAATCACGATTTGAGAGTATGCAGTTTTTAGATTTCAAGAGCTACAACTTTAATTACATGCTACATTTTTCAATATTGTCTATTTTTAAGTGGAGAAATTTAACCTAATAATGCAGAGCTTTACTACAGTGCAATACTACATTTAGCGTTCAAACCTCAAGCCCAAAAAAACTGATATGCTGGTTTTCCTGTCAAAAATTCATAGAAAATAATCACATTTAAATCGCAATCACAATATCGCTCAGTAAAAAAACTCAAATTGTTGAACGCTGTATTCAAGCAGTTTACCCACTTTTATTCAACTTGAATAAATACTTTTAATGAATACTTTTAATGAGTGTAAAGCTGATTTGTAGTTCAACGAAATGTTTTTCATCAGCTTTTGTCTCATTCTAATTATCTTAACAGCTTTAGACTTTTATGAAAAATATACCAAAAACCTGATATATACATTTATGATTGCCTCATTTTTCAGAATGATATAGTTTGCTACAAATGAAGTAGGCTACAAATCATTCATATTTTTATATGATAATTGTTTTATAAATACAAATACATATGATTAAATGGTATAAAATTATTGTTTCCATTTTAAAATATGTTGCTAATATTTTATGCAAACTCAATACGTTTTCTTTTAGTCAGCAGTACAAAGTGACTGTCACTTTGTGTTACTTCATTTTCTTTAGCTTTATTTGTGTGCTTCATGTTTAAAAGCCAGTGCTTGTGCTTCTAGAGTGTAGCCGGTGTCCAGAAGGCCTCAGTTTGTTTTGCTTCCACACCCTCAATTTTAATGTCACAAGGTCTATATATTTTCTATCTGCTTTAACAGGAACAGGCGTGCATTATAAGTGAACTTGACCCAGTTTTCAAAGACTGTTAATTTTCCTTGTGACACATCTGATTGTGCCAGTGTCTTCATCCATGAGCTGGCAAATTGTTTTTCAGTAGCATGAATAGCATATTTTAAGAAATGGACATCTTACACTGTCTTTCCAATAACAAATGGGATTGAATGAAAAGCTACTCAGGACCGTCAGTAGACTATATTATTATGGAAGAAGCCAAATGCAGATCATTTTGTTTCATTGTATTTACAGTTTGACATGTCAAACAGATTCTTTTGGGCAAGCATTTTAGGTTAAGGAACGTTATTCATCACTTACATAGATTTTGTAGTGATTATAATACACAGCACTCAGTTACCTCAAATGTCTGACTTGTGGTGGATAAATGTGATGAATAAATATATAATACTGAATCTGAGAGAACTGCACATTTGTAAGTTGTGTATAATGATTGTAATGCAAGAGAAAAAAGGTAGTGGAGAGTGAATATTCCACCCCCCACACCCAAAAAATATCTCTCTGGTAAATGCTGTTCTTACAATCATATGCTCCACTACGCTATCAAATTCTAAATCAAAATCTTTGTTGTACACACACACATACACACACACACACACACACATATATATATATATATATATATATATATGTATATACGTGGCATGTTAGTATGTGGTGCATGCTGCTGTAGTACACGCTATTAGACATACCTGCTGTCCACTCTATTAGACATACCAACCTTGATGTAAAGTCAGAGACAGTTCGTGCTGGTCAAACTGGGTACAAGGGGGCTAACAAAGTATTCAGAGAATCAGATAGACTACAGTCTGTAACTGTAGAACTACAAAGTGCACCTATATGATGAGCTGAGCTTAATTTGAAACTTTTTTCACTTCAAAAAAATCAGCAAAATTCATTTGACCTAGGGTGTCCAAACTTTAGCACACAACCGTATATATATATGACCTTTTTCTATCTCTTTTTTCAGTAGCTTTTCACTAGTATACGTTTTTCCTGCTCATGATTCACTGTGGTTTGACTAGATGATTATTAGTTTGCATCTGAGAGATAAGCTTCAATGTAATGGCCGGGTCTGCTTCGCTAAACCAGTCATTTACATATGTTCTGTGTTAAGTGAACCACTTATTTACTGAAATATGTGTAGTTATATCATTTGCCAAAGCAAAACAAGGAAGTTTTTTCATCACATTCAACATTTGTCAGAAATCTCTTTTCTGTTTACAGAATATTTTCTGTACTAATATTTTTAAACCTCTTTTTTAATGCTCTACAAAATAAATAAAGTCATTCTAATGTGGTTATTGCCGGTCAAGTAAGGATTATACAGATCAGCGTGAATACAAACATAATGGTATGTGCAGTAATATGGTGAAGTACTGAAAGCAGTGTGATACTCCTGCTCTCACAAGAGCAATGGTGTCATCTTGTGAGCATAACATGAACTTCAGAATATTCAGCTGTCTCTCAATGAGAATTTTTCAACCACATATTTTTGATATCACATATTTGCACATTTGACACTGGAGTAATTCAGCTACAGTGGAGCTTCACTGCCATTGATGTGAGACACACGTGGACCATTCTAAAATATGCAGCATATAATTCTAGAATATAGTTACAGCTCTTTTCTGTAGTTATACTGGTTATATTGATTAATATAATAGAAAGTTATTATACTAATATTAAACTAATTAGTGTTGGAACTCATGGTAGCAGTATGGCTTTCTAAAGGTCTCAGGCCACACCAATTTGATTTGATGTTACGCTTTAAATGAATGAAGAACAAAAGACAAGGAAAACATCTTGTTATTTCTGATGTTTCTACAGGTTGAAGTGCTATTTTCTTGTTCCATAATACTGTAATATCACTATACTTAATTTACTGTGTGCCTGGGATGATTGACAGCATGGTTTTGGTAGATTCCACAGATTCTAATGGAAAAGCAGTGTATAAATGCAGTGTATAAAGTCTGTGTATAAATAAGTCAAATGACCTCAAGAGAAAAATGTTACTTTGGTGTGAAATAGTAGCTTAAGTAGAACAGTAGACCGTCAGCAGGAGTGAAAAGTATCCACAAACTCCTCAAGTAAACTACTCTCTGCATAGTACTTCTTAGTACACCCAACATCTATCCAGCATCTATGACCTATAGCACAGGATCACAGTATACTCATTTGTTAAGGGTGATTCTTCATTTTGAGAAATAAAATGTAAAAAATAAAGTGATGTAAAATAAAATGATAAAACTTGAAATGAAGTGTGAGCAACAGCAAAACAGTCCAGGGGTGTTTTTTCCAATATTTTGTAGGCCAGTATAGAAAAAGCTGTTCAGGGAATGCTGACTGTTTTTCTAACAGCCTCACAGAGCACAAACAATTTTCTATCAATTTTCAATTTTATTTTTTGCACTTTGCATAGAGAATTGTGCCTTTGTAATTTTGCACTGAAATTTGCATGCTTAAAAGAGAGGTTAGTTAGATTTCTGTCATTTAATCATAATTACTTTAATCATTATATATAATTTCTCACATTGTCATTACAGAAACCAACAACTGTGCATTTTATGTCCATATTGTGCATCCCTGCTTTAAACAAGCATTTTTGTTACTGTGCATTTAAGACTAGTATGGGTCAGTTGTGTTCTGATTAGCTGCTCAGACTGAAATACCCCTTGTGACTTCAGTGTTAATGGGTGGATTAAATTGCTGTAGGCTGAATAGTTGAATATATGTAAATAAATTGGGTGTCCTGCCCTGCGATGGACTGGCAGCCTGTCCAGGGTATATCCTGCCTTCCACCCAATGACTGCTGGGATAGGCTCCAGCACCCCCCCATGACCCAGAAGGATAGGCAGTTTAGAAAATGTGTGTGTGTGGGAGACAGAGTTGGGTGTCGTGACATCACAAAAATACTGAATTAAAAACTGGACATTTTTGTCGCTTGGTGTCCATACATGTACTGTATGGACTGGGGAGTGAATAAAAAGGTTTTGAAATTGAATGATATTTTCATACTACACCAAACTCTTTTATTTAAAAACAATATTTTTTCGGTGATATTGGCCCTTTAATTGATGTCTAATGCGAGCATTCTGGACAACAGGGGGCACCATTGGAACATGTTAAATTACCATCATTTATTTAAAAGATTTTTTTCTCAAAAATCTCAAATCTATAGTTATTACACCTTCAAATATTATTCCTCTTTCTTAAAAAAAAATTGAAACAGGTAAGATACAGCCTAAGGATGAAGAACACAAGGGTGTCTGTCCGCCTCCATCCCTCTGTCTGCTCAGTGTGAGATGTAGAGCAGTGTGAGGGAGGGAGATCATGCCAGCACTACGTCATCGGAAAAACGGGAAAGGAAGGGATATGATGCCTCTCTGGACTGTTTTTGCATAGACACTTCAACTGTCTAGCATTGAAGACAAGAGCTGGACATGCCAAGGTAAGTTTGATAAAACAGGCTTCACCTCTCGGCCTGCTAACGAAACGTTACGACGCGTTTGTTTACATCTAGCTCGCTAGCAGGCTGGCTAACGTTAACGTTAGCTAATGTTGTGGGGAACAAGCGGAGAGCGGTGAGAGTGATAATGATGGAAACATCCAGCTTGGATAGAGAAAGAAACGGCATTCATGAAAACAACCAAAACGCTTCCGTCAGAACATTTAACTTACTTACATCCACTTACTTACTGGGGTGTAAACAGACGCCTGTAGAATTATTTCTGTGGCTGACCTGCTATTTTCGGTGACCCAGCTAACCCAGCAGCTACGGAGCTGCCCAGAAATGAACAGTCAGCCCGCTCTGGGAGGGAAAAGGGTGAGCAGGGCGTTAGCTTGTGTGGTGACATTTCGTTTTTCATCGACTGGATTCATTGTTAAATATGTACTGAAAACTGGATCATTTAGCTGTATCAGCCTCAGCGTATGTGTGAGGTTCGTGTTGACAGCAGGGCCTTCAGTGGAGAACATCCATAAAGTATTATAGGAGCCTGTGGGTGCACTGTCATCCTGCTGAAGTTAACAAGTTTGTTTCCTAAGGCCTAAACAGTGGGCTAAGTGGTGATTTTATTAAATTATTAGGCTGTACTATTGTTCTTTTGTTTCTTCTTCTTTTTATTCTTCTTACTGTTTGGTTATTTTTCTTTTTCCTCGTTTTTCTTCTTATTATTGAAACTATAATGTTGTTATTAGTGGTAGTAGCAGTAGTGGAAGTGCTAGTAACGTTAAGTACTTAGTACAGTAATCTGGAGACAAAACACCGACTATTTTCTCAGTCTCAAAGTAAGGAAAGCTTGCATGATGACAGGCATGTAACGATACACATATTTTCGGTTTGAATACAATTTCAGATTCCGAGGTCAAGATTTTATTCGATTTTTGGTATTTTATGGATTAAGTATGTTTTGTTTCTGAAGAGCTCCACTTATACAGTCCTACTAACTAACACAGAATGATTTAACTCTGAAAAATACAAACGGTTGCAAAGTTGCGTGTTCTCTGTGCAAAACAGTGATCTTGTAAAACAATTATTCAGTTGTCGATGCTGTATTGAATCGCCCTTAATCCTGACCATCAGCTTGTTGACATGCCTTGTCCTCATTTAGCTCTGTGCTGCTTTGTGTTGTCTTGATGAGACTTGTGTCCTGATCAGAACACAAACCCAATGACCCAGTATACGGGCAGTGCTTAAAGCTGTAGACAGTACATTTTTGTCATTCCACATTTTGTAGGTGTGTACACTTGTGAAAATATGGCTACCCTTGGGTTGTGACAGCAACTATGAATGGTCATCTCTCTCTTAACCTACAGTAATATAGACCAAGTAACAGGTTTCTGAATTACTGCACTGACTAGTTAGTTGATCATCTGATTTATGAAAGATTGCTTATACTGCAGCTCAGGGATGTGTAGTATATCTGTTTTGATCTGTAGTTGAAGGGCAGAGGACGTGTGATTGTAGCTGGGTGTGTGCATGTTGGGCACACGCAGCTTAATATAGCCTTGGTCTGGCCAGAGGGAGGTCACATTCAGTACAATTGATTGTGAAGAGACTGGCACTGCAGTGCGAATGTAAGCTGAGCTTGGCATCAAATGACCCACTGTTGCCTCCCACAGTTGTGCAAATTAATTTTAGGGCAGAAACAAAAATTATTAACAAATTATTGTTCAGTTTTGAACACAATGTCACTATAAGGCCCTTTATTTTCTTCCAAGGGTCACTTATTTGCAGTCTTTCTTGGAACCACCGTTAATGATCAAAAGGCATCTAGGCATCCAATTGTTGATTTAGAAATTTTAGGGGCTGTAAATAAAACATGTTTAACATACAAAATATCATTTCATTTCACCCCTAATAATCAGTGTAGGGAACTTTTACCTATTACTATTCATGTTAACATGTAGCCAAGATGGAAGCCCAGCTTTACTGTAATTTTAACTGGCTACTTCAGTTGAGTTATTTTCATTGTCATGCTTTAATTATTGTCACATTATTTCTTCCTTATTAACAGATCTTGAGCATTATTATTATTATTATTATTATTATTATTATTAATGCAACTTTAACCTTTTTACAGGTTTATCTGTCATGGACACAAATGTGATACCCAAGTTTTCCTCCAAAGATGAGGAAATTGACTTTTGGAAGGCACTTTCTCTGAAGTACAAGAAAAGGTAGGCCGTAATATGGATAACTGTACTATGTGCATATTTATAGCTGCTGACAGATAAGATATTCCTATCACTATCTCTATCACATAAGAGTCACACCCTTTCCTTTCATCCTGACAAACCACATTTTCATTAGACTTAAAGCAATGTGGCCACTTGTATGACATGCTTGTGAAGAGAACCCACCTTCAGAACGCATTTTGTTTTTTCAGACTTCTTCCTCATGCTTAATGTCCTGTGTAGGGCTGCGTTGCTGGGAAATGGTGCTTTACCTGTAACTTAAAGCCGTACTTTTTGTGTCAACTTTGCTCAGCATTGAGTAAAAGCCAGGTGGATAGGATTACTAGAGGATGCAGACAAAACACAGCAGTGAAAGAGGATCTTTAGGATTCAGTCGAGGTATAGATACTGTGGAGCTTTGAGTTGGAAGAACTTAAACAACATAGATTAACGTTCACACAGTTTAACATTTATAGACACACTCACAAAAATGCTGGTGTTACATTCTTATATCTAATGTGTTTTATGCAGTCAACTATATCAGCAACTTCCTGCAGTAGCATTTTGTTGTACACTATGGGCTCCTTTTGCGATTTTAAAGAGAACCTCTTAAAAGCACTCTTGTCTGGAAGAGATTACATAACCAGAGGTGAGATTACGAAGAGAAAAGATGTAGGCAACTTCTTTCTAGTTAAAGTGCGGTACACGGTTTTACTTCTCTATTTTCTCCTGGGCTTTCTCTGTACCCTCATTCACGACTCACGAATTCAGGGTATTGAGAGGAACAGAGGTGGCTGATAATATCAGAGTGGTGATTTAGCTTTGTGTAAACAAGCCTAGTGTTACACTTAAGTTACGTAAGAAGCCCCTGGTTTACAGTCCCCCAGGTTTACAGAGCATAGTCACACCTGTTAATCTGAAGATGATTCATTAGGGTTTTTAGGGCTGCAAAAAACTAATATTTTGATAGCAGTTAATCATGCAAATTAATCAACTAATCAATTAAGCAGCCTAAGTGTGGCCTGTGAACGTGAAAAACTATAACAACAAACTGTTTCTGTCCAAGAGTTAAATTAATACCATAGAAGAAAAAACATGTGGCACTTTGTTTAAGCCTTCCCTTAATTTGAGCTACAGAAAATAATAAGCAGTTTCTTCAGGTTGCAGCATAATTTGACTGGTTTGAAATTTTAGTGTGCTAGTATACTAGACAAGTGTGAATAGGCTTCCAGAACGAACAAAGAGGATTTTTTTAACGTGTTTACAAAATGAGTTGTATTGTAAGCTAAATGTGTGCAGTAACAGTTGTATGTAGTTAGCTAGCTAATGTATGTAACACTGACAGGATGAAGTGTTCAGTACTGTTTTGAAGTAGTCTGCCAAATACTTCTAATAAAAAGAAATGTATACAGCTTATTCCAGTACGTTCCAGTGACTGATGTTAGTAATGTTACATGATGAGCTTTAGTGATTTTTGTAAGGGTAATGTTAGTTCATTCAGTGCAAACTGCACGTCCTCAGGGAGTAGCTGGGTTTGTCAAACACCATCATGGAGGGAAAACTGCCAATAACTAACAGATCTGCTGCTTCAGAATCAACACCAGCATGCTTTCTTTTCTGGTGGTCAATGGTAACGTTGTTCTTTTGTAGATAGCTACGTCAGACTTGCATATGATGTTTGTGACCACTTTATGCTTCATTGCTGTAGCTGTTCTTTTTCTTTCGCTATCTGCTCACAGACGTACAACACAAGTGAATTTATGCCCTCCTTAGGTGAAGTCTTTAACTCACTCTAGGTTGGGCATTAGTTTGAAAATGTAAACAAAATTTACATTTATTAATGATTTTTATTGTTGGCATTATCAATAATGTCGATCAACAATGTCAGCCCTAGATTTATTGTTAGAGTCAGGGCCTAATTTACTTTGATGTGTCACTTAGCCAGTTAACTATCAATATTTTGATGTTGAAAAGTGTTTTTGAGAGTGTCAGTAGTGAGTTAATGAATGTAAAGTTTGTAAAATAGCTTGCTAAATGCTTCTAATTGACAGAAACTGATACGACTTGGAATATTTCAGTGACTAATATTAGTGATGTAACATGAGCTTTAGTGATGTTTGTAAGGGTAATGTTATTCATTCTGACAGATCACTTGCATTATTTCCTCAGAGCTTCAGTTTGTCAAAACCCCAACATGGGAATTCCATAATATTTACTTTAATTTAAGACACCAAAGCGATCCTTTGGCAGGAAATGAACATTTGCTATGGTCTGAACACCCAATGTATATTAAATTAAACACAGAAAAATATTCTAATTGCTTTAGCTTAAATAAGAGCTTAATTATAATTTTCATTATCAATACAGGGGAAGACTAGCTGTATATCAGTGCAACGAAAACATTTTGGTAGCTCATGTTTGCTAGTGGTTTAAAACTCTGTATGAGGTACTCCACTTAGAGGCTCCACTTGGTCTTTGAAGGCACATGATTTGGACCTCTTCTATCCTCTAAGTACACCACTCCACTCAGCAGTTTAAAGGCCAAGAGGCTGCTGTGCAAAAATGAGTCACAGATGTTAAATAACACTGCCCTGCTCTAAAGGCTTGTGCCAGCCACGTTAGTGTAGCTTTTCAGACAAGCTGCATTTCCTGTGCGGCTCCAGACGGATGGACAGGTTGTCCCACCCTGTCCTCTCTCTCACATGCCTGTAGCGTGACTAGCTGGAGAGTATCGTTTAGTTGCCATTTTTAGATCACTCCACAGTTATGACGCTGGAGCATGATTACATAGGCAGCCCTGAAGAGGTGCCCTTCTCCAGCCACTTCATAAATGGAGGAATCATCTGTTCTTGTGCAGAAGACTACAAAATAATGCATGAGCGTCAGAAGCTGGAAAGCAAAAAGGAAAAGTCAATGAAAAGACACCTAATCTGTGTGCCTGACATTCTTAGAAAACTAGGACAAGTGCAGACACAGGAGCTTTGTGCGTGTGCATATTTGCTTCGTTCACCCAATCCATCCTGAACAGATAGCGTTTATCAGTTATCCTAATGGGGATAAATATTATGGTCAGCACCTTATCTTTTTTCAGCAGAATTAAATCCACCCTGTGCCTCAGTAAACAACAGAATGATGTTTGAGGTCACTGGCTCCAGGCAGCCAGGAATCTTACTCAGAAACTCATTTCCACTTTGATTATTAAAAAAAAAAGAAGTTATGTTTTTTTTCTACAGTGCTGTGAAAAAGTATTTGCTCCTAAATCTAATAACTGGTTATGCCACCCTTGGCAGTAACAACTGCAATCAGACGATTGCGACAACTTGTGGTGAGTCTTTTACATCATTGTAAGGGCATTTTGGCCCACTTTTCTTTGCTGAATTGTTTTTAATTTGACTACAATGGAGGGTTTTCAAGCATGAACTGACCATTTGAGGTCTTGAAATGCGAATCAAGTCAGGACATTGACCCGGCTACTCCAAAACCTTAATTTTGTTTGTTTTGAGCCTTTGAGAGGTGGACTTGCTTGTGTGCTTCAGATCATTGTCCTGCTGCATAACCCAAATGTGCTTGAGCTTTAAGTCACAAACTGATAGACATTCTCCTTCAGCATTTTCTGATAGAAAGTAGAATTTATGGTTCCATCAAATATGAGTCTTCCAGGTCCTGCAGAAGCAAAGCAGCCCCAGACCATCACACTACCACTACCATGTTTGACTGTTGGTATGATGTTCTTATGGCAGAACGCAGTGTTAGCTTTATGCCAGATGTAACGGGACCCATGCCGTGCGAAACAAGCCTTTGTGATCTTTTGGTCAGGAGTGATTCGCGTCTTGCAACTCTCCCATGGATGCCATTTTCGCCCTCTGTTTTTTTTTTGTTGTGGAATCATGTACATTGACCATAATTGAGGCAAGTGAGGACTGCAGCTCTTTAGGTGTTCATATGTGTCCTTTTGAGTCGTTGATGCCCTTTCCTGGGAAGGTTTACCACTGTTTTAAGTTTTCTTCATTTGTGGATAATGGCTCTCACTGTGGTTTGCTGGAGTCCCAGAGCCTTAGCAATGGCTTTGCAACCTTTTCCAGATTGGTCAATATCAATGACTTTGTTTTGCATCTGTATTTGAATCTCTTTAGAATGTGACATCATGTGCTGCTTTTTTGAGACCTTCTAGCTGCTTCACATTGCCAGACAGGTTCTGTTTTAAGGGATGTTTCGATTCAACAGGTCTGCCTGGGTGTGGGCAGTGAAGCTGAACCCAGTAGTCAGTTGAAGTTGGATAACTACTTGATTTAGTAGCTAAGAAATACATACTAAGAAAAGAAAGCACATTTAAGCAAGTTGCCGTCAACCATACACAGGTGCAGACCATTATTAATTACCCACTGGTTCACAGATACAGTGGATGTGTTTGAAACAGCCTGTTACTTACTGCTCATGTACTGATCCTGCCCAAAAGTAGTAAGTAGTATGCAGCATGTGAACAACATGAAATTCTCCAGTACGCCAAAAATACTCAGATGACGTACTTCTCTGGCAGATTTTTCCAGTTTGCTGCCAGAGCTATCTCTGTGATGTATTGCAATCCAAAATGCAACCCAGCCATTCTGGGAGGACGTAACCACTGACGTAACTGCCTGGATATTTTTAATAGCTCTGTATTCAGCCTTTTTTCTTTTCTTACATTAAAAAATGAAAGAAATTTGACCAAATGCAGCTGCACTTAGTGTAACAATAAAGCCACACTAGCTTTCTCTGCTGCTCTTGAGGTGGGTTTGCTTACTTGGTCTGTTCAAAAGTTAACTTTCTGCACAACATGGATAAAACAGTAACTCAACTGAATAGTCCGTTCAGCATCGGCTTCTCAGGCTCCCGTGTGGAGTCACACTGCATATTATATATTCAGCTAGCTCATATTTTTTCAAATTTGTTTGTAGCTTTGAAGGCGGGTAGAAAGCAATGCCCTGCCCTCGGTCATGGTATGGAGTGTGTTTTAAAAGTCACAGGCACGTCTCTCGACAAAAATACAAACGTACATGCTGAAAGGCAGCTAGCAGTGGTTGCTAAGCAGTGATTGGAGGGTTGAAGAAATTGGGTTGAGTCTTGAGATGGTCTGATTGGCGCAGTCCCTGATGTTGGCAGGCTAGTCGCGCCCTTTTCCTGTACCACGGCACACAGCTTGTGCCCTATACTGTACAGTATTCTACTGATGAAGAGTAGCATGCAGTATGCTGTATATTCTGATGCAGTATGCAGTATACAGTACACAGTATGGTATTTTGAACACAGACTATTTCTCCATCCTGCATCCAGTGGTCAACTACACTCCCACTGCCATAGATATTCAGTTGTGCACAAACAGCTTGTATAATCTCCGTAGAAATGCATTCACAAATTGTATTGGACACTCTGTTGTCTCCATGCTCAATGCCAAGTGTCGGTCAGAGAGGTATTAAGCTCCCCAGCATAGGGCTGTGGAGCAGTGAAACTGTGCTCTCTGGGATAAAGAAGCTCAATCCAATACCTTTAAGATGAGTTTAAGTTAGTGGCATTTGTTATCTAGAACTGATCATCCAACATCAGTATGTAACCTAACCAAAGCTCTTGTGCCTGAATGCAATTAAGTCTTAAGAGCAGTGTTGCAACGTCTAGTGTAAAGCCTTCCCAGACAAGCAGGGGCTGTTAGTGGAGCATAGTGGACATGAACTCCCTTTTAATACCTTTGATTTCAGAAGAATGTGGTGTCTACAAACTTTTGGACATATTGATACATTACAAGGCATGTGACAATCGCAATGTGTAGCATCTTAATCACAGTAAACATATTTTGTCCATATTTTGCAGCTGCACTAACAAATCTGAACTTGTTTGAACTTTTAGCCTGTCTCATGGGGATAAATAACATTACATTTATTCAAAAGCAATATATAAACTTGTGTGTTGGGGTTTATTTATTTATTTATTTATTTTTTGTGTGTGTGTGTGTGATATACTCAGCTGTAAGGAGGCACAGGAGGAGCTTCTGGAGTTTCAGGAGGGCAGTCGTGAGTTGGAAGCTGAGCTGGAGACTCAGCTGGGCCAGGCTGAAAACCGCCTCAGAGACCTGCAGGCAGACAACCAGAGACTGCAGCACGAACTTGACACGCTAAAGGTAACAGAAGTGACGCAAGCCTAGAGACAGACAGAAGCCAAGCTAAATCTCCCACCTCCTTAAATAAAGGAAGAAAGTTTAAGCCTGTTCAAATGAGGTGAATTAATGTGGCCCATGTCTGCTAAGCGCTCTTGATCCTAATCGTCCATATGCCAGTGTACAGTTTTTTCTCTGGCGTCTCTTCTGAACATTAGACTGACATGAAATGAGTGATAACTAAGATGCAATATCATATCCCATCCTTCTGGAAGTACCAGCACTGGAAGTAACAGCTCTTTCCTGGCAGTGCTACAGGATATCCTGTTCTGGAAGTTATAGTCATGTGCCCTATTACACAAGCACATGGCACTATTTTCAAAACATTATGCTATTCTCATTTCAAAAGTCCCCACTGTCTGCACTTTTCTAGAGTGTTTTAGCTCTAAAAATGCTATGTGGCATACTGGTAATAATGCCAAGCCACATATTCTGTAGAGGTTTGGATTTCCTTAATTGAATGTTGCAGTAGTTTGTCAGGGAGAAATTGATCAAGGTTAAATTAGCTTTACTTAGAAATTCATGTTGTTTAGACATCCTTGTTGTTTCAGCTTCCTTTGTTTGCAGTCATGTTATGCATAAAATATGCTCCTTTAATGCAAGAACTGTCTGCATAGTTCCTATTGCACACTCTCCTTGGATATGCTCTGGCATAGACTACTCTTGAGAGATGAAGGTCGGATGGTACTGGGCTATTCACTAGCATATTTTTAGTGATTAAACACTGTGCAAAAGTTGAGAGATCAACCTTAATTTATTTAATATCGTGTGTTGTAATTCCTATAAACGATTCAGCTGATTTAATTGGATACTATTTAATGCTTTATCGTGCTGAATCTTAAAAATTTTGTACAGTCAGGTACACTACATACAGGTCAGTGAATGAATGGTGAATTGGTGCGTGTAAAGTATATGCTTATTTGATTATTTGGCATTGTGGCCTTTAGGCTTGTCTGCCATAAATATTTTTTTTTATTAGCAAATTCTTATGTGAACAAATTGCAGTGCTGTGAAACCAGAATTGCTTTCTTAACAAGAGCCTGTGTGTAGAAATTTAGGTCAGACACACGGACCATTAAGCTGAGCCTGAGAAAGCGGTGGATGTGGGTCACATACAGTGAGCATGATGAATCACCCTAGCACAGAGAGCACCCTGAAAAATAGATGATTTGTGTAGTAGTGAGTGGGGGTAAAATTTTTATTTTTTTTTCCTTCTGTGTCTCTGTGTTTAGGAGAAGTTGGAACAGCAGTATGCTCAGAGTTATAAGCAAATCTCAATGCTGGAGGATGACCTGGGCCAGACCCGGAGCATTAAGGAGCAACTGCTCAAATATGTCAGAGAGCTGGAGCAGGCCAACGATGACTTGGAGAGAGCCAAGAGGTAAGGCTTCACAATGTATATTGTTTCTAAGCCCATATCATGCATTTTTCTTGTATTTTAGTTTTTCAGTTAGGTCTACTTATAACATTTGTTTGGTTTTATGTACCAAAAATGATCATGCGTCATTTTCCAACCTCTCTTTATTCCGTGGAATAAAACAGACTTTTAATAAAAAGTGTAATTAAACAGTTTTTTTACTGTACATGTTAAGACTGGTTAAGTAAACAAGATCTGTTCTGATTGGCTGCACTGTATTGTGGCTTACAAAACAGCAAATAGTCCAAGCTGAAACGCTCCTTGCAACTTCAGAGTGAGTGGAGCTAAACTGCTGCAGGCCATATGGGCAGATGTATGTAAATGAAGTAGTTGTCATGGCATCACAAAAACACTGAAATCAAAATATTTTGTATTTGCAGCTTAGCTTCCGTGTATGGAGTGTATGGATTTGAACGTTAAAAAAGTTTACATAATATATTACACTTTTGAATTTTGAAAAAGCAAGAAATATTTGTTTTCCATGAAATGGGCTCTTTAAACAGCATCACATCATCAGCCTTGGCAACACTAATATCACACGGCCTTAATTTCTCATCTAAATGCACCTTTCCCAGTGCTAGAGTGATTACATCTGGGAAATTTTCTATCTGAATTTTAAACTCTACTTGTTTTTCAAATTTACGGTATTAACAAAAAAAAACTAAAATCATAAAATGACTTTTCCTCCAATATTATTCAGCCCAGCTAAGAGGTCATCACATGGCCTGACATATGAGCTTTTACATAAATATGTAATCCATTCTGACCCCAATGTTTTGGTGGCCTACTTTGTTTATTGGAAATTAGTCTTTTTGCATCCCTTTGACTTTTCCCTTGAAAGACATCACTGACATGTTATACATACTTGTAGACACACATAAGGAGGTCATAGTACATGGTCAGCTGCTGTGCAGTTCGTCTGGAGATGGTGGGGATGTAAGGCTGTTGCTCAAGAGTTCAGTAGGACAGTGAGGACAGCCATCCTCTAACAGCTGACTCAGTGGGATGGCGTCTCCACCAGTCATGAAAGTCTCCCTTTGATTAAAAATTTAATCATACTGTCTCTTCCATTCAGATTGATGCCTTAAATAGCCTCAGTGTTTATTTCAGTGTGTTTGTGGTTGAATTCAGTCAGCTTTGCTCCATGATAATTCTGATATTAACATCTCAGCAATTTTCATTCCCTGCAGAGCTACAATTACTTCTCTGGAGGATTTTGAGCAGAGACTGAACCAGGCCATAGAGAGGAATGCCTTTCTGGAGAGTGAACTGGATGAAAAGGAGTCTCTCCTGGTGTCTGTGCAGAGATTAAAGGATGAGGCTAGAGGTGCTAAGTGACTTTGCTCATTCATTAATTCATTCAACCATCCAGCGTCACAGTGTATCTGTCTCTTTATTTCTCTCTCTCTTTCTGTCTAAAGCCTCTTTTCTACTTTTTGGCCCATTACCACAGCTACAGCAAACTGTTCTGCATTAGTGTATACCCGTGTGACTGGTTACAGTGTCAGATAGTTGTGCTGCACTAAGCATATTTAGCTAACCATGTCTGGAAATCGGTGCTCAGCACAGTTTGTAAGCATTCCATCTTCTAGTGGAAATGCCATTGGAATGGTTACACTTTGTGCTTGGCCACATTCAACCACAAATTGCTCAACCCTACATTGAAAAATAGTGCCTGTCTTTCTAACTCTGACTTTCCTAACTGTCTTCTTGTTGTTTGTATATAAGAAAACTTTTACAACGGGTTCTGTTTCTGTTCCCTCAACTTCACTCCAGTTTTGAGTTTTTAAACTGTTCTTGAAACTGCAGAAACTGTTTGATTTTGCATTGTCATAATTTTATAAGAAGGCTTTTCAGCTTTAAGGGGAGATGAAATTATTCGTCACAGAGGTTAGGGTCACTGTATTTTAAAAACATTTTGTTTGTGTGTGCCTTAGACCTGCGGCAGGAGCTTGCTGTGCGTGAGAGACAGCCTGATGTAACTCGGATGTCTGCTCCCAGCTCTCCCACTCCAGACAATGAGAAAATGGACTCTGCTGTACAGGCCTCGCTCTCCCTGCCTGCTACACCGCTTAGCCAGAGCCTGGACAATGCTTTCAGCAACCAAAAAGGTTAAAAGGTTTTCCATCTCCTCACCTGCTGTCCAGGACCTGATTATGACTAAATCAAGACAAATTAGTGGAAAACAAATATGAATACTAAATTAGTGTGTCAACAAGAAATGCTTACTTTCATAATAAATAATTTTCTAGAAACTTCTTGGTCAGATAATTTAGCACCACAGCAGTTTTCACTTTCTTCAAAAGAATACTGAAGCGAAGAAATGTTATAGCTTACAGAAGGAGAATACAATTTTTCATTTATCATTGAAGAAAGAAGAAAAATAAGTCAAAATTTAAAGATTACCAGAAAGCATGCACAGGCAAGTATGTGTGCCAAAGACCCAGACTTTCTAAACGAAATGCTAAACCTACTCACTATTTTGCTTTCTTAGGTTGTAAAGCCGATCAGTGTTTGTTTTACTTGATTCTATCATAACCGGCTTAGCTTGTCAGTTAAATTGATTGTGATTATATGAGCGTAGTACTGACACAGATTATTCTTTTGTTTAGCATTGGCCAACGGCTGTAATAGTTCAGCCCTGACTCCAGCTGCCAGAATATCAGCTCTCAATATTGTAGGTGATTTACTACGCAAAGTCGGGGTGAGTACACACGGCAAAGTGTTTATCTGAACTTAAATGTTCGCCACCTTAACAAATGGATAAAATCCAGAACAAATTTGTGGCATTTTTGAATGTAAGATTGTAGTGTAAAGCTTTTACGGTTCATTAATAATTTTGCCATTTTCAGTCAACTTTCTGCTGTAATTTTATGTTTTAAGTTGTCCTACTATGTTATTTTCCTTGTGTTATTTTTCTCGTGTTTTGTTTTCTCTCAGTTTCTTTTTTGTTTTTATTTTTATTTTTTACCTGTATTTTGTGTGACTTGTTTCGCTGAGTGTCATTGTAAATATTTTTTACCTGTAAATATTTAGAACTTGTGTACACTCATTCAAAAGATTACTTTTTTGGTTCTTTTGCAGGCTTTAGAGTCTAAGCTTGCAGCTTGTAGAAATTTTGCTAAAGACCAGGCAGCTAGAAAGAACTATGTCATCAATGCTAATGGAAACCTGATAAATGGGGACATCACGCAGTATTCTCACTCGCTGCACACGTCATACTTCGACAAAGCGTGAGTATGCCATAACGTTGCTCAGGAGTTACCCAGCCACCTAGAAGAGGTTAGGAATTAGAATTTGTTTGATTGTATGTCTGATCAAGTTACTGTCTGTGTCGTGCACAAACAGAAATACCTCAGTATGGTTCAGTTTTGATACATTACTTAATGAGGGCTGCATTACATACCATAGATTTGGAGCAAATTAACTACATTACATACCATAGATTTGGAGCAAATTAACTACGTTAATTTGTAGTTTTCTTCACTTAGAAGTATTCAATATTAAAGGTTATAAGATGACTGCCACGATATACACTCAGCAGCCACTTTAGGGACCCTTGCCTTATAGGTGTGGCCAACAGGCTGCAATACCCTGTATGACCAATAGTGAGTTGAGATATGCTTCTCTGGCAGTTATACTCAGAGGTCAGTTGACTGACTGACCTACAGTGTTTGTTCATTTGGTAGATTATTTGGCAGTGGAAACTTGTGCACACTGCAAGATGTGCTATACTCAGTCAGTTAACTTCAGAGTACAACAGAGATGACAACAAATGAATGGATTACAGCTAGTGCTGGACAGTGTCATCTGTACCAGTATGCCACACAGCAATATAAATTTTTAGTTCTAGTGGTGTTGACAGATTGAATTTACTTAACTGTGATGGATGTCATTTGCTGGGTGTTTCAGATTGTTTTGGAAAAACAGAAGACATTAAAAAATGTTTCTGTTTGCTTAACATTTGCAATGCAGTGTAAAGTTGGTGTACGTTTAAAGAAAATCATGAGAAAATAAAGCAGTCCAATTAAATCTTTGTAAGGCACTCTTTTAGCATAGAGCACTAGCACAAATACAGTGTGATAGTGATATATTTGGAAAATATTGTGATAATGAATTTAATCACTACTGCCCAGTTCTAATTACAACTCACAATTGATTGTACAAGATGTGGCAGCATGTTAGATACATCTATAACGTAGATTGAATGGATCTTAATTGTTCATAGGTAAAAGTCCAGAACCCTTTGTCTCAGACCGTCCTGTATGTGTTTTCTCCCCAGCAGAAGAGAGAGGGTCATTTTCCCTGCATTGCTCCTCGGTAAATGAGCATAGTAGAAGCTGTGTGTGGGGTCCCTGCATGCTGGTTAACCAAACCTCCCTTTAACCCATTTAGATGCTCTGATACTTTAGGACTTGATCATATCATTTCCATTAACTGCTTGGTGGTGGTGTAGCTCTTTTGCAGTATCAAGGTGCACTCCACAAGTGTGCTCTGAATGTATATTCAATTGTATTTAACTTGCTAAAACAGTAGCACTGGGGAAATGTTTTTAGTCACCAGCCTGAACTTACTGCATGGCCTTTAGGTATGAGGGAAAATGCTGTTGTAATGCTTTTAGATGAGGCTGATGACCTTAAACATGAGAGCCATGAACAAGAGGGGCCTTATGGAGTTCACAGTCAATGCTGAACTGAAACAGTAGTTTCTTTCATTGTCTGTCTGTCTGTTTGTGTGGGGCCTTTTGGCTTGAGTTTTCGGGGATAAAAAGAGACACTATACTAGCATAGTGAAAGGTACAGTTGGTGGAGTTTCCCATTTTTCTACTTCTGTTTTTATTGCAGGCTTTAGATTCTAAACTCATAACACGTAGAAATTTTTGAAGACCAGGCCAGGAAGAACTGTGTCATCAACACTGATGGAAACCTGATAAATAGGGACACCACACAGTATTCTAAATACATGGCTTTGTGGTGCCTCTGTAGTGTTGTATACATTACATGGCCAGAGGTATGAGAACACCCATCCATATGTGTTTTTTAAACGTATTCCAAAAGTCTAGGTATTAATATTGAATTGGTTCCTCCTTTCCTGCTAGATTTTGGGCCATGGATACAGGGATTTGCTTCTGTTCAACCACGAAAGTATCAGTGCAGTCCAGACCAGATGTTGGTCGATAAAGCCTAGCTTGTTATTTTGGCGTTCCAGTTCATCTCAAAGCTGTTCAGTGGGTTAAGTTCATCCACACCAGACTCTGCAAACCATGTCTTTATGGACCTCAACTTGTGGATGCGGACGTTGTCATGCTGAAACGGATAAGGGTCTTCCTCAAACTGTTGCCACAAGTCAGAAGCTCACAGTTCTCTAGAATGTAGAGAAGGCTGTAGCTCTAAGATTTCGCTTCACTAAAACAAAAGGGTCCAGCACAAACTCCATAGAATGTTTCCACTGCTCCAGACCCAAATGGTGGTGTGCTTCGCACCACTCCAGCTGACGCTTGGCATTGCATATGGTGATCTAATGCTTGTGTGCGGCTGCTCAGCCATGGGAACCAATCCCCTGACGTTGCTTCCAGATACAGTTTGGAACTAGGTAGAGACTGCTGGAATTGAGGGTAGGTGATTTTTAAGCACTTCACCCCGTTCTGTAAGCTTTTGTGTCCTACCACTTCTTGGCTAAGCTGTTGTTGCTTCTAGACATTTCCACTCCACAATAACTGCACTTTCTCTAGACCAGGGTAGCTCTAACAGGGCAGAAATTTGATGAACTGACTTGTTGGAAAGGTGGCATTCTATGACACTGCCCACTGAAAGTTATTGAGCTGTTCACTATGACCTGCCAGTGTGATGGAGGTTGCAGCAATGGATGTGGCTGAAGTAGCCAAACCCAGTAATTAGAATTACGGTGTCCACAGGCCATGTAGTGTAGGACTGCCGTGCTGACACTGCCAGTACTGCAACTTGAGGACATTAAGAGGTCGAAAGTGGGATTAAGTGTCTGCTGTGTGTCAGCTTTTGCTGTAAAGATCATATTACAGAATCTATGCAACACAGAGGGGAAAATAAATGTTGTAGCCTCTAGCGGTGGAGCCACTTTAAAATGAGAACCTTTCTTTGTTAAAGGTACTGTCTTAAAAGGTAGAGTGGTCAGTGTGTCTTGTTTATTGGTCTCCTGACTACTTGCAGTTTAAAGTTACTCAATTGCCTTGATATTGATTCCTGGAATGTATTGAGTGCAATAGTATTGAGTGTCATGTGAAACACCTTTTTTAAAGATTGCTGGCCATATTTAAAGTCTCAATTTAGACTTGTTACTCATGACTCACCCAATTGATTCTGTACTATACAATTCTTTCAATTTGGGTTTTGGAAAAATCAAAACGTAATTGTGGGACAATATTTTTTTTTTCTAATTCAGCTAATTTACTTACACTCTTAAAATGTTACAGTAATCTGTCCAACTGGCTTGAATTCTGCTGTTTGAAATATGCCATATCTAAAAAGCATGATAAATGTAGAATATTAGTGAAAATGTTGTTACCAAGGCGCATGGCCATAATAGCATGTAGGTGTATCAAAGTTATTTACAGTACTGCGCAAAAGTCAGACTACAATTCATTCATTTGATTTCTAGACAAAACAGCCATTAAGTATGTTATTAATTTTTCTAAGGAGATTAGATACAAAAAAATGCACTTGCATAAGGAAAAGGAAAGTCAAAATAAGTGAAAAAAGTATCAAAAGATATAGAGAAAATCAGACTCCTAACAACCATACAAGACCTGGTAGACCACCAAAATTATCACCGTCAGATAAACAGATCAGAAACATCAGATAAGCTTTCATCTTTGAGAAATAGGAGAAAAAAATCAAGCTCCATTCTCAGTTCAAATCAGAAAAAATCCACAGGTGTTTCTGTTCTGTGAATTGCTGAGTCTGAAAGGATGTGTAGCCGTCAAAAAGCTGGTACTGAGAAAAATAAATAGACAAAAACATTTGCAAATCAAAAAGAAGCTGCTGGTGTTCTTAAAACAATGGACTGACCGCCCCAGACCTCAGACATGGTTACTTGGATTGTTTTTCAGTTTTTGACGTGATTTGAAAATGCTTGTTGCCCTTTACATTGCGTGTAAATTTCACAGTGAATGCACCAAAAGACCATTGCTCAAAATGACTTGGGGAGGGCTCTAGTTACATTGACTTAGTAAAGTAAAGTAGTTTTTTTCCTTCTCCTGTAAAGTTATCATTTTGGACATATAAGGTTTTGTTCTGACAACAACTAATTATATATATATATTCTGTTCTTTTTCCTGATGCTGAAAAATTAATAACTTAAGGGCCATTTTGACTGGACATAAAACAGATGAAGGGTGGTCTCTGACTTTTGCACAGTACTGTATACTTTTATACACAGTATACTATATTTAGCAGGACACTAGCAAAAAACAAGTAATCAATGGATTTTAATCAAGATGAAGCCTCTAATCTGGAAAACTCTGTTTTGTGCATGCAGGAGGACGGTAAATGGGCTGGACCCTGGTGCCGTGACGAACATCACTCCTCCGTGTGCCGCCTCTCCATCCGGCCTCGTTCCCTTCAGTGTGTGATGGTCTCACATGCACGCTGACTCGCACATAGTGAAACATACTTCCCTCAGTCACTTGCACACAAACGAATCTTCCAAAACACTATTAAGAACCATCAGACTACACTACCTACCCTGTCCAAAGGTGTCTAGATTGTACTTGTGTCCAGTGGGGGGGGCAGTGAAAAGATCTATTGGCTGCAGTAGGGCTGCAACAGGGTTCACTATGCAACCAGTGGCAGTCTAACAGTAGCACCACAGTCTGTCTAAAATTCTGCGTTTTATCTGGACAGGGTCTGGACTCCTGCAGTCTTTCTTGACTTGTACATGTTAATAGTTTATTATGTGTTTGTACATTTAATATTTGTTTAATGTTTGTACATAGATAAGAGCGCATAAGTGTATTGAATATTTAACTGACCCCTCTGTATTATTTACTATTCTTTTTTCCATTAGAAAATGAGCAAGTATTGCAAAAATGTATGTATTTATTATTAAACCTGTGGATGAAATAATTTGTGATGCTCACAAAAAGGGAACCCAGCCCACATTCAGAGTATCCTTATCTATACCAGACTTTGCTATGGATATAAAGGCTAGTGAGGGAAAACCCTTGTTTACCCTTGAGTTAGCTTCTTAGCCCACAAGTCTAGTATAATTGTATACACCTCTACAGAAAGACAAACATATAAGCTTAACCACCAATGAAGGAGTTATTGTGCAATGAGAATTACATACTTGTATGCACATGCACTTGTTGTGGCTTTCTTTGACCTCTGAGGCCAACAGGTACTTGATCCAACCCTAGACAGACAGCTAAGCATTTTTCTGGCGGCCACATGCAGGGGACAGCTCACGCGACGTCTATTCTGTCTACTCAATGTGCTCCTTGTTTATCTGTGTCACTAAACACGTGAGCATGTGTGAAGTTGTAACCGTTCCAATGTTTGAGAGTGCACTTGTTGAAAATATGATGTTACAAGCTGCAGTGTTAGAATTTGAGCAGAATGTTGGTTATATTCATAGTTATACTGACAACCACCCATATGTCTAAACTCCTATGGTCACTTTATTATAAATGTGTTTGGTCCAAGTTTCTAATTGATTGAAATGAAGGATAAAGTTTATTGTTAAAGCACTTGTGTAATACTGTATTTCATTTGCTCCCCAAATAAAAGAATGGCAACTGAATGGCAAGTATGTTTGTTCTACTGTTGTCTGACCGGAGTTGTATTCCCTTTCATATAGAATAACACCCTATGCTTTTGACACAGGGTTATTCACTTATGGTCCCAGAGCACTGCATTCCAGCACAGTTTGGTGATTTCTCTGCTCAAACACACTGTCTAAAGCTGACAATTAAAAGAATAATAGTGAATTTTACCAAGTTTTCAATATTTATGCATAATTAATCCATTGTCCTTAACTGTCCTTCAGAGTGATTTGATGTGACTTCTACCACCAAACCACAAAGTAAGAATTTTTTTGCAGTAACTGGATATCTGACATTTGATGCCTGTAACCTCACACAAAATTATTACATTATTTTAAATAATAAAATTATTCAGAACTTGAGTTAGATAGAATTGTTTTAATTTTAAAAAATCCTGGCGTATACTTAACATCTCCAATTGTTTTAAACTTCATAATTATTGCTCTGATACTGAAAATTTTCAACTGATTAGATATTGTAGCCTTTTCCGGATCTGTGCAGCTCAACCTTTTGTCACATATCACTGCTGTTTTCTCGGGTCTTTTCCATAGTGGTGAATGACTGAGGGCATTTGGCTTGTGTTGTGTCTCATATATATTCTCCAGTGAATCAGGAACTCACGGCTGATCATTTAAGTGTTCCTATTTGCTCAGATGAACTTAAAAACATACAATATAAATGAGAATATATTTCAGTTAGATTTCACTATCGAGAATTTTCAGAGGTGCCAATAATTCTGGCACATACAAATTTATTACTATTATTTTTTTGTCATGACAAGATTTAGTTTTTTTCTTTCAATCATTATACCATTATATATAAATAAAGGTTAGGTTTTTGCCAATATTTTCAGTGAAAGATCAAAAGGATAAGTGATAAAAATATTTTTTACAGCCCACTTTGCTCATGATTAACAGGGGGGCAATATTTGTGGAGGGCTCTCCATGTGCGTGCACACACACACATCTGGATCTTCTCTACTTCCGTGCACGCTGGAAAGAATATGTCGACAAATTTCTTTTGGTCTATATACATTAAATATATGTTTACAGGTTTGAACACCCCGGTCGTATTACGTTCGTTCATTGTTTTTCTAACTCAAATATGACATTTTCCTCTAAATATTAGCGCACAGTTTCTGTTTTCATAGTCTGTTTTTAACAGATTAGAGAAATGTGTCCGAACTTTTGCACAGGACACACTTTCACATGTGTTAAACTCAGAACATAAACAGTAATTGTGCATTAAAGGTGCAGAAGTTCTCTGTAGCGGATATGTATTTATATACATCTACAGCTTTAGCGTGCGTCTGTAGGTGAAGTCAGGCGACCCCTCGCGGTCACCGCAGGCTAATGCAGGCTGGGGCTTTTTCACGCGCATATTGATGACGTCCGATCCGGTGCGCTTTGAGAGGTCGGTGAGTTTTGCATCCGTTAAATCAAAACACTGGTTCAGTTTCAGTATTTACACTGACAGCGTGACGTACTGAGCGTTTAACAGTATGATATGAACAGATCTGATTCCAAGTGATACATAAAAAACTTGCTCCTCGGTTGTATTCGCTGTTGGCAGCAGGTAAGGGCTCTGAATCCTCTATGACAGATGAAATGCTCGGTATGAGATGAGAAGTGTTCAGTTATTCTGACAAAGATTTTCTTTTCGTCTAGACTCTGAACGATGAGAATAAATGAAAACACGTTACTAGAGGGGAAGCATGTTGTGCTGGTTCCCTACAACGCGGAGCATGTACCCAGGTATCAGTTCTACACTCTCTCTCAGTCGCTCACACACACACACACAAACAAATCTGTGACCATCTTACTCACTCCATATGGAGCGTAACTAAAATGATACCAATTTCAGATATCACCAATGGATGGCCTCTCCAGAACTGCAGAAGCTGACCGCATCTGAGCCTCTGACTCTGGAGGAGGAGTATGAAATGCAGAGAAGCTGGAGAGAAGACAATGACAGTGAGTCCTTCGTACATACTCTGTCCTGAAGTATCCAGACACCCCTTGTAATCAGTGAATCCAGCCACTTTAACTTGCCCTCATTGCTGACACAGCCATTCACCTGCGCACACAGCTTATATAATGTCCATAGAAAAGCATTGCCAATAGAATGAGACGCCAGGGACCACCTTGAGGGGTATTGGGCTGTGGTGCAATGGAACTGCATTCTCTGAAGTGATGGAGCTCCAGACAGTACCTTTGGATCCAGAACTAATCTTCCAACATCAGTACCTGACCTCACTAATGCTCTTGTGGCTGAATGCAATCAAATTCTCACAGCAAGTTCCAACATCTAGTGTAAAGCCTTCTCAAAGCCATAGATGCTGTTACTGCAGTAACAGGGGCACATTTTCTATGAATACCCTTCAAAAAAAAAAAAAGAAAAGAGAAAAGTGGGATGACCAGGTGTGTACAAACATTTGGACATGCTGGGGCCCTTTTTTTCATTACGCATCTCTTACTATGTCCTTTGTGTTCATCTTGGCTTCTCAGAGTGCACATTCATCATCCTGGATAAGCAACGATGGGCAGATCCCAGCTTTCCAGAGGAGGAGTGCATGGTGGGAGATGTCAACATCTTCTTGACAGACCCCAGTGACCCATCCCTGGCAGAACTGGAGCTCATGATTGCAGGTGGTCATTGTAATGGTTAACTAGAATTTCTGTAACTTTATTTTATGCAAAGACTTTTAAGTGACTAGAGAACTTTTTCCCCAGAGTCCAGCTACAGAGGTAAAGGACTTGGCAAAGAAGTGGCACGCATGATGATATGCTACGGTAAGCTGGAGATGAAAAACTCAATAAGGCCAGGGGTGTCCTGTCATATCTGTAAAGGGCCGGTGTGGCTGCAGGTTTTCGTTCCAAACAAGCAGGAGCACTCACTGTCAATCTGACCAACTGATTAAATAAGTAGAATCAGGTGTGCTCTTGCTTGAAAACCTGAAGCCACACTAGCCCTTTGTGGATAAGATGGACATTCCTGATCCAAGCCTTCATGCTCTATGAATTGTATGTTTAGTCTGTGATTTATGTACCTCCACAGGAATCAACAAACTTGGAGTCAAAAAATTTGAAGTCAAGATTGGTTTGGAGAACAAAGTCAGCATAGCTATGTTCAAGAAAATCCACTTTCATGTGGTAAGAGATAAATGAACTCTAAGAATTAATCGGTCCCATAATTTGAAATAAGAATGCCTATTTAAACCACAAGACCATACCTTACATTTTTCTCCTCTCTAGCTTTCCAGCAGTGAGGTGTTCAAGGAAGTCACTCTCGGTTTGACCGTGAATGAGGCATTACAGCAAGAGCTGCTGGCCACCCTGGACTGTATGCAGGAGAGAGAGTATCAAAAACTGAAGAACTACAGGCATGAGGGAAAACACTCTTTAACCATGGCGGCTCATCAAAGCTAAGGTCAGGTTTTAGAGTGAGTTTTAAAATATACTGGTCATGGTACCACACCTACAATTCCACAAAAGCCACAGAGCAACTGGAGTAAAATTAAAAAAAGTTTCATGCATTCAGTGTAATACTAAAGGCAACTAAAAATGTATTGTGATGTACAGACTATATTAGGGTCTATCATGCTGAATGATTTGCACATCTCCTGTTTCCCTCTCTTTGTAAATGTATGTTTTGAAGATTGCCTCAACATTGTTTTTAGCACATATTTTTGCAAAATCACCAGTGCAATGATGGATTCCACCGATTATTGAATATTTCTGCATAATTCAGTTGTTAAGATAAAAATAGTCATTGAAAGTGATGTAAACTGGTGCACTATAGAGGAACTTACCAATTAGGATTTCTTTATAATGGGGATGATCTAAGGTTCACATTGTCTACAACACAAATATAACCATTTGATTTATTAGACAAAACCACCAGTGAACATGCAAACAGTGAACAGGCAAAAAGTGGTAAATCTCAAAAACTTTGGGTGCTACTAGGTACTATTTGGCTGTACAATGCCCTGCATGTTTTGAAAAAGTACATTTTAAGCCCAAACTTCATCTAAAAACTATAGTTAAACAAAGTCTCAGCCATCAGGCAATGTGTTCATAGCCATTTTCTGTGAGGGAGATTTTAGAGGCATTAGATGCTTCAGATATCTAGTTCCTATCGCCACCACTGTAAAGGATTCTGGCATAGTAATTTATTTAAAACAGAGCATTTTACATCAAACCACTATGAACAACTTTCTTTAAATCTTAATAATTTGGTTATGTGGAAAATTTTAAAAGTTGGTGGAATTTGCCTTTAATGAATTTTAAAAAGAGGGATTACTTAAAACAGAAACTAAACTGTAAAAGGTAGTTAATCTCACCTGTTGTGTTGTTATTGTGATTGTGTTTTTAATTACAAAGGTAATGCAAAAAGAGAACATGCATATGAAGCTCTGATGTTAAATATGAATACATACGAATTAATTTATTTAAACAGTTGGTGTTCACAGTTATAAGATCCCTGAATTTCAACCAAAATCAATAAAACTACCACTGTGCACTAAGTAACATGCAAGCATTGAGAAAATCCATATACATCACGTTTCATCATGGTGACATTTATTCATGCTGTTAATCTCCCTGAATGAAAACACCGTTTCCAGAACAACATTTAAGATTCCTTTTTTTAAAAAAATTTACAAATGTATACAAATACATACATTTGGTTATACCCTTTTGTGGAAGACGATTCCTGGATAACCAGGCTTCCTGACGCTCTGAGGTTCTAGATTACAGCACAAATGTCATATTAGATACAACATAATTAACTCGAGATTCAGCAAGGTATATTTAATTTGGAGCAGTTTAAGCTGGTGCGTTGTGTTGTCCAGAGTGAGATGGAACAGAAAATGGCATGTTTCATACATGCTGCATGTACATTTAAATTCCATCTGGTCAGGCTTGGTCAAAGTTTGCTGATGCCTTGATTAATTCAAAGGACTTTTCCTACACAACTATAAATATATAGGCATGCTTCAAATTAAGCGACTGGTTTTGTTTTATTATAAGACTTTTATGCATGATATTATATAAGGCGCCAAAGGTCACATTTCAAGGCAGGATATACAAATCTCATTGTTCAGTAGCAAAGCAGCCACTTAGACGTGAAGTCTACTTTCCCTGTTCTGTTTTGGCAATTTGACTCATTAGACAGTAGAGCAGGACTCAACCCATTGGCCCATTCAGGCAAATCATGCCAAGTTTTATAAAAGAGACACAGAAACAGTGGAACAACAATTCCGTAGAATATCCACGAGAAGGGTCCTGCCTCAGCCTCATATTTCCCTTTCCAAGTTGAACGGAGGCGGGTGCCTAGGTCTGACAAACCAGGTTCTCATGCTTGGAGGTCAGAGATTTTCTGAATGACTTGCTGCACTACCTCCAGGCCTTGAGCCCAGCTCACCGTATCATGCACGTACAGATTGATGGGCGTACAGAATGGTTCCTTCCTCAACTCGGTCACCTGACAAACTGTAATTACTCCTGCAGCTCCTACGATGAGCAGCAGCAGAAGCCGGAGAAGCCAAGAGAAGAGCCGAGAACATAAAGAACGCTTGGATGGAGGCACGCTCACTGTGGGCTTCTTTTTATCTGCAGGAAGGAGAATCAGAGCATCAACCATGAGACAGACAAACTGTGATAGATTCATTAATATATTGTGTTATTGTACGAAAACCTCTTAGCTCCAAATGGTAACTTTCATTAGAGAAGGAAACAATGTTCTTATTCTTAACTTCAAAGTGGCTCTCCAGACAAAATGAAAAATGTAACAATCACTTCATCTGTTGTAAACATGCCCACTCGCCTCCTACAGTACTACCTACAGTAGCCTCTAGCAGTGGTCATCAATCCTACTCTTTTCTGACAAGTTCCAAACTGCATCTAACATGCTGCCCCTCCCTGACCAACACCAATGCTTCTGATATAGCCAATCACATTTTTAAAAATACATGAATTAGCTGAAGCAGGTGTAGCTGTGTTGTGGTTAGAACTAGACTCTGCAGGAAGGGAGATCCTCAGGACCAGGGTTGGTGACCACTGCTCTAGAGTGATGCTGCATTCGAGTGGTGTCAGAAACCTGGAAATACCAGTTTTTGCACTTGTAAACTGCACTTGAATGGCTGACAAATTCGTATTTACAAGTTCATGAGATATAATGCAAACTTTCACCTTCACCACTATGCCCAATGCACTTCTATGAGATCTGTGTTCTATTTAATATAGCAAAGAAAAAGCAAGATATATATATTCTCCAGACCACCATGCTTTATTTTCCTGTGTGTGGAGCAAATCTTTGAACAAGCACCCAAACGGGGTGAAGCTGTATTTACTAGTAAACCATCTGATATCTACAACTTTCCGACCTGTTGATTAGCACCTGAAGTCAGCATGAGATTTTCTGGTTTAAAGACTAGAAAAACCCCTTTCTGATGAAGTATCTTAAAGTTGGGAAATATTTCAGAAAAGTAAAATATGTACTTTGTGGCAGATTCTTAAAGGCAGGTTGTTTGGAGTTGACTTTTGCTAATGCAAAAGGAAGGCAGATAGCTAATGTACTGCTAGGGAGCCAAATATCACATCTGTATTTGTTACTATGCTAGCAGTCGGCATTTCTTAATCCCCATAGGATTCTCAGTTGTATGAAAACTGTATTGGTATACTGTAGTGGTATTTGCATAAGGCATTCTGAGTATTTTACTAACACTGACAGCCGAGAACACAAAATTGTGAGTGGCGTTAAACCAATGCGGCTGAGGGATCCATTGCTGCACTACAGAATACTACGTAACATGACAAAGTTTAGTTTTAACATTTACTGGAATTGGAATTAGGGCTGGGCAATATGACAACACTGACTCAAATTATGTCACAATATGTCCTAATATGCTTTTCTGAACTTATCATGGATATGGAGAGCACTTGCCAATTGCATGTTTGTCTACAAAGCAAAGATAATTAGTCCTGTTTTGAATCTAGTGTATCACAGTATGTGAAATGTTCAATTTAAATCACTGTATTCATAGTTTTGATAGTGTGTTGTAAATGTGGCACTACTACTAATTTTTCCAACTTAGCAGACATCAGAAAAAATATATACAGTGAAATATCATGTATTGTGAAAACGTCTTAAGGTATTATTTCTATTATATGTAATGCAATATATATGTGCAACATGGGATGAGACAGATGGATTAAACACACCTTGATTTTGACTGGCTTTCTTTTTCTTCTCCTCCTTCTTCTTCTTCTGTTGTTCTTGTGCAGCCAGAGCAGCCATCTGTGCCTGGTACTCCTTCCTTTTCCTCTCCTTCTCTTCAGCCTTTTTCTTTTTTTGTGCTTCTCTTTCCTTGGCTTCCTTCTCCCTTTGCTTAGCTTCTCTCTTCTTTTCTAGTTCTAAAGGAAAGAAATGAACAAAAAGGATAAGTGAAATGTGACAGTTCAAATGTAATACTAGATGTACATTCTGTGAACATGTACATTCTGTTGATTACACATCAGTATCTTGCATTCCAAGAGTCGCACCCATGTAATATTTTTGGGTACTGCTATTTTTGGCATCCCACCTACCCTTCTCCCTCAACAGCCGGCGCTCTCGTTCTTTGTCTGCTTCTTCTTGCAGAACCTTCATGTGTTGGAGAACCTGGAACAGAATGGATATGAAAAACACTATTTAAGCAAAGCTAAATCATAGTTTTAGTTGTACTGTAATTCAGTGAAAAGTAGTCTGGACTACTTTGAGGTTTCCCTTTTGACTGCATTTTATTTTAGTATCTGAATACCCATTTTACCTCTAGGTTTCTGTTTAGAGCTTAATTAGTACTCAAATGTTACACAAATTACACAACCCCTCATCTTCAGTGCAGAAATATGTATGTATTAGCTCACCCTTGCCGCGCACTGCTTGCACTGTTTCTCATCCAGGCAGTCTCCTGCGGCCTTGGCCAGCGACTGTTCCAAGGGGTTGTCTTTGAGATCCAGCCATCTGAGAGTCTACCAACAGAGACATTCACAAGAACATCGCCATAAACTCAGGGGAAGAGGTCACCAGGGATCAAGGTGATGTGTTTCATAAACATGATACAGCCTGAATGAAAAGAGCTCCTGGACGTACCCTAAGTTGTGAGAAACTGAGAGGCAGCATGGTCAGCTTGTTGTTGTAGAGATCCAGATGCTGTAGACTGCTTAGTCGACCCATTTCCTCTGGCAGGCTTATTAGCTGATTCTTGCTCAGGTCAACTTTCACCAGGTGTGTCAAGGTACAGAATTCAGGCTGGGCACATATGGAGTCAATTTTACAACACGGTAAATTATTGACTTTTGCACAGTGTAGTCAAAGAGCTTCCATGCCTAAATATGTGACTAGAACGGTAATATGATGCAATGGTCATCTTAAGTAGTAACATTAGGATAGCCTGGCAATATGAACAAATAATAAACATACAAAAATGAGTCACTGACTTACGGGAAGAGTTGTGAGATTATTACAGGAGAGGTCCAAAACAGTTGCTTTAGGAAGTGCAGCCTGAAAAGAGAATCAAGCAAATAATGAAAAGCTTTTGTATTTTTGATACCACCACAATAAATGAATGACTGAGTACTACATATGTTAGTTACACTCTAAAATAGATGGTTCTTTGAGAGTTCTTTAGTAAAGGAAATGGCTCTATTTAGAACCATGAGTTCTACATAGAACCACTTCATGCTTAAATTGGTATGGCATTAAATGGCATGGTGAAGCTGTTCTTCAGATTCTACATAGAACCTTTTTTTTTAAATGGTTATATAGCTATAGCACCAAAAAGGGTTCAGCTATTATTACGATGTCAAGCTTATAACAATAAAAGAACCCTTTTTGGCGCTTTATAGAATTATTTAACCGTTTAAGCGTGAACTGCTTCACACAGAATTCATGGTTCTAAACAGAACCAATTCTCTTTACCAAAGAAACGTTGAAGAACCATCTTACACTTTGCAAGTGCACTACTTGCAGAAATAAGCCTATAATCACACTTTTAAATTCATATTCACACTTACGAGCTCCTTGACCGGTACATCTGTAAGGTTGCTCAGACTGAGATCCAGCTCGTTCCCCTCCACCTTCTCTCGAAGGTTTTCAGTTTTGGCTTTATTCATTCTGTTAAAGCAGAGTAAAGCTAATGAATTTGGGCTGGAAGTCAAAAACAGAAGGCTGTTATAAATACGCTGAACTATGACGAATGGAAATAACCACAGTAACAGTAGGTTAACTGAGTAGCGACCGAGCTCCAAGCTTCTGACAGTTGACTGTCTGAATGAGAAAAGTTAGCCCGCTAGCTCACTTAGCCACACTGCAGTTAAGACCACCAGTCACGAAACGTTAACTAAGCCCTCACCTCTCACTGCTGTGAACACACACTGCTCCCTTATCGAGGGTTCAGTTATGCTGATTAAAACCCAGAAGGAGACTCTGTTGTTTGCAGCTCAGCTCCCCAAATTCACAAGTTGAAATTCAGAGAAAATCCACGTCATTCATTGAGGCTGATGCTGCAGCGGCCGCTACGAGTACCGTTTTGCTGTGAATGTGGCGCCCCCTGCCCGCTGGAGGGGGCACTGCAGAGAGAACTGCATTCATCTTTCTTAACCTTTTTTATTTTATTTTATTGCTAGAGGAATAAGTAATTATCAGAGACAGGGTTTCAGTATTACAACTGCCATCATTCTACTGCGTTCATCCATTCCCTTGATTTAAAGGGCAATTCCACCAACTTTTCAAAAGTTCCACATTATTAAATTATGTGGTTAAAATGTTAACAAAGTCATTTAGAGTGGTTTGGTCTGAAATGTTCCATTCTGAAGAAACTTACCGAGTCAGAATTGTTCACCAGGAACCAGACATCTGAAGTGTTTAACGCCTTTAACAGCTCCCTCACAGAATGTTATTACACAAAATGGTTATGAATACCGTGCCTGATGCCTGAGACATAGTTTTGTAATAAAGTTTTGTCCTAAAACGTCTTGTTAATCCATTTATTTCAATCCATTCATGGTGGAGGGTTACATGCAGGGTTCTGTAAGGCAAAATAGTCCACAAATAAAACATGTTTTTTCAGTTTTTCTACTATTTTATCATCAACATTACATATACAAACTCAGAAGACGTGTAGATTCACTGGTAGTTTTGGATAGTAAACAAAATGGATATATTTGTATTGTATGCTTGGCGACCCCTGGTTCCCATCACCACCGCTGTAAAGAAATCTGAGCCTGTAATTTTCTCTACAATGAAGCATTCCATATCAAGCCACTGTGAATGACTTTGTTTACATCACAACGAAAGACTTATGGAGAAATTTTGAAAAATCAGTGGAATTTCCCTTTAATACGCCTAATTATTAATCAATATGTTGAGTAAATGCTTCCATTTATTTAATACTTCTAATTAGTGATTGTTTAATGTGTTTGATTGTGTATGATTTAATTCTTCTACTCAGTTAATATTTCTCCACTTCAGTAGCAGGAGTGCATGAGTAGTGATTAAGTAGCAGTTCAGATTTTTTCCTGAGCCCTTACTCGATTCTATGTACTTATGTATAGTTTTGACAGATTTGTCCTTTTCTGAGTTTTTCTGAATCAGGTGTGGGGATGCAGTGGCCAGAATTAAGCATAGTTTGAGGATTTTCCTGCTTTAACACACCAACTAAATCTGATAACTAACTGCTGAGTTGAATCAGGTGTGTTTGAGCAGGGAAATCACACAACTGTGCAGCAATCCAGCCCACCCTTGTTCTAAAAGACCCTACCTTTCAGTATGCTTTAGTTTATTTGCGAGGAAAGGAATCTGCTTTTTTACTCAGTCCCTCAAATTCAGGTCTGAATTACTTTTTTGTGCATGTGATGGCACTGGACAGCTTTACAACTTCACTTACTTACTGTCAAGCTTTAATATTTTATTTTACACCAAAACGATACAAAAAAGTGAATAACAAACTTTAGGTCCTATGCTGGTAGACTGACAGACGCTGTATGTATTAAAAAGTTTCCACTTTAGTTCTATGTGGAGCTCAGTCCTTTTTTTCTCCACTTTACTGAGAGCTGCAGTTCTCACTGAAAGCACAATAATTTTACTTCAGGATGGTTTAGGCTGCTGTACCCACCTCTAATAATTATTAATTTTGTATAGATTTACAGGTTATGGCCCTCAGTCCACACTAATACCAATGTGAACCAGTGGTGAGCAACAAAATGAACGTGTTCATAATTTAAGTTCATAATAATTACATAGATAAAATTATTTATTGAGGTTTATGTCAGTATGAGGCTTACACAATGATATTTTAACTAAACATCTTTTCATTTAACCATACCAAAATTCCAGCATATTCAACCACAGACAACTGTGTTCTGTAGCATGCAAATTAAAAGTATACGTTTGCATTTTACCAAGTGAATGAATAGTACACCTTTGTGCTTGATTTGTGAAGTAAAAAAATAAGTACAGCTCTACAGGGAACAAACGTGAATGTGGTGTTTTAGAGCACAACTTCTATTTTTTGCCAAGTTTAACATGGAAAAAATAAAACAAAATATAAAATGTGCCATAACATTTGCTTAGGCCACATTTATTTTCACTTAGAACATCAACAAAACATGTAATCTGACCAGGGGCGCCCAAACTTTTGCATACTACTGTAGGTGAATGTAGGTGTGTTTGGGTGTGTGTGGATCTGCTCAGTAAAGGTGTTGTTCGTAGAAAAAGGTTCTCAAGAACAACTACTTGTATCAGTTCACCGTGTTCTCTCTCTACTGATTGTTTCTTTATCTATCACTAATACCCACTTCATAGACATTCAGCACTGTTACAGAGATATAGAGTTCATGAATAAGAATACACGGTAAAGAGACAGCAGCAGATACTGGTGTGTAAAAGAAAGCCTATTGTTTCTGAAAGGTCATAGTGTGGACTAATACAACCATAGCTTTGCTGTAACGATGAGTCATAGGGTTTAATGACTATCCTATCCATTCCAAACTGATGAGGATGAGAAACAGAAAGATGAAGCAGAAATAGAAAACAAAGAAAGCTGCATTGATGCGTTTGGCCACTTGGCTCCAGTGGCTGTCTCTGCCATGAGTTTTCAGAGCATCCTTAGGTAAATTCTTCCTGAGAGCCTGCAACTGCTCCAGGATCAGCTGCAGCAGGCGCAGATCAGCCGTCGCTCCTGCTGCTCCCAACTCCATCACAGACTCACTGGACGAGTTCACTCCAGAGGAGGTACAGCCATCGCTTCCTTGCTTTCTCTTCCCATCTGAAACACAAGATGATTCAAAGACGTTTCAGGTAAAGTGGCTGACAATAAAAAGATAAATCTGTAAACAGTGTACCGTGACACTAGCTGGATTAAGCAGTTAAAGATGAAAGAATGAATGAATGCAAACAGTGTAAATTGTAAATTTCACCAATTTATAGCTTATGTAGATTCTAAACTATACAAATTTGTACATTGTGTAAACCTTAAATTACACAAATTCATAAGTTGTATAAAATTTGAATTGCACAACTTAATTTGAATTTAATTTGAAATGTAGGAAAATGTAAATTACACTAATTCATCATTTGTGTAAACAGTAAATTGCACAAATTTGTAATTTGTGTAAACAGTAAGTCACAACAATCTGTAAACTGGGTAAACAGTAAATTACACAAATTTGTATGTAAATTATACAAAATTGTATACTGTAAATTACATTTCTGCCAACAGTGTAAACTGTAAACTATATAAATTAGTAAACTGTGTAAACCATACATTACAATTTTGTCAATTGTATAAACTGTAAACTATAAAACTATGTAAGTTGAAAATGTGTAAAACTCGTAAATACAAGGTTTGCAAACTGGGCACCCAAATCATCACACTCTCGCTTTACATTGTTAAGTAATCTCAAATAAACTTGCTCATGTGGTTACACTGTATGACATACTATTATCTGTAACAGCATGTTGACTGATGCACTACATTTGGGATAAAGTGTAAATCTGGTTTACTGAACTATAACTTTAATATTTCTTTTAAGTTGGTAATATGATTTAATTTGATTGGCAGATGGTCAGTGAAAGTCATGCCTACCCTTCTCAGAAGTAGTGTCTCCATTCCTTTTGGTGAAGAGCTCTTCAGGTTTTCAGAAAGTGAAAGGAGCTTCTTGGTCTGTTCTCACTGACTTGCTTTTCAGATGCCAAGTCCAGTTCAATCAGATAGGTCACCAAAATCGTCTCCAGGAGGCTCAATAGCATGAAGGCAAATATGAAGATGACGTAGGTTGCTGCAGGGTGTATAAGCAAAGAACATGTATCTATTAATTATCATTTAAATTATATATAAATTAAAACAATATTTATGTAAATCTTCAGTAAAATAAATATATTTATTTGTTACATGATAAATCTGCAATTATTGATCCTGTCCTTTGAGCCTATATTTCATATATACTTGCTGGTAAGTGAAGTAATTTTTGAACAGTGTCTGAAAGCTGCTCTTACCCATCAGAGGAGATTGGTCAGATTTAGATGGTAGGATATCATTCAGGATGAGAAGTAGAACAGAAATGGCCAACAGCACGGTCACTTTGAAGCTCAGTTTTTCTCCTTTAGTGTCAGGTATTAAGAAAGAGGCCAGATCTAACACAAGCAAGAACAGCACCGGCAACTGGAAATTGAGGATATATAGTAGAGGCATCCTTCTGACTGATATCTAAGAAAAGAGGTGAGAAAAAACTGTAATATGAAAAATTTTAGTTAAGCCTGTTTTCACAGTAGCAATTGCAACTTTTGCCTGTTTTGGAAGTCTCAGAGTTGAACCATACTTTTCTTTGATATAGTTAATGTAATATATTTTAATTTGTATGATATACAACGGCAGGTGGTAAGGATGGGAAGTATCACATCCTCCTCTTTGACCCTCAACATCGGAGCCCCCCAGGGTTGTGTGCTCAGCCCGCTCCTGTACTCCCTGTACACCCATGACTGCACTGCTAGACACAGCTCCAACGTCATCATAAAGTTTGCTGACGACACAACAGTTGTGGGCCTGATCTCCAACAATGATGAATCGGCCTACAGAGAGGAGGTTAAAATCCTGGAAAACTGGTGCCAGGAGAATAACCTCTCTCTAAACGTCAGTAAGACCAAGGAGCTGATCGTGGACTTCAGGAAGCAGGAGACAGTACACCCATCGATTTCCATCAATGGGACTGCGGTAGAGAGGGTCAGCAGCTTTAAGTTTCTCGGTGTTCACATCAGCGAGGACCTGACATGGGCAGTGCACACCTCACAGGTGGTGAAGAAGGCCCACCAGCGCCTCTACTTCCTCAGAAGGCTGAGGAGGTTTGGCCTGAACCCCAGCATCCTTAAGACCTTCTACACCTGCACTGTGGAAAGCATCCTGACGGGCAGCATCACCACCTGGTACGGGAACTGTACTGTTCGTGAGAGGAAATCTCTGCAGAGGGTGGTGCGGACAGCACAGTCCATCACCGGGGTTCAGCTCCCTAACCTATTGGATTTATACACCAGTCGCTGCCTGAGGAAATCCAGAAGGATTATGAAGGACCCCTCCCATCCTAGTCACTGTCTGTTCTCTCAGCTGCCGAGTGGTAGGAGGCTCAGAAGCTTAAAAGCCAGAACCAGTCGGCTCAAAGACAGCTTCTTCCCCCATGCAACCAGGCTATTGAACAGCCAGTAATCACTGCTCTGCCCAGCCCAACCCTTCCCATTACACGTACGTGCACCCACTGTACTCCCGCACTTTACTTGCATAGCTGGACTTTGAATACCTATCCAAAGACAATACTCTCCCCCTGCGCTTCCACTTAACTTCCTGTACCTTGCACTTTACTAAATACTCTGCCACCTACTGTACCATCTTCTACCTCCACACCTAGTGTGATTACTTGCACATCTACATAGCATTGTAATATCCATTACTATATATAGTATATAGTTGATTACACTCACTCTACATTCCCAGTGCAATATTATATGTCTCGGTGCAATATTATTATTTTTAAGTTATTGTGTAAGATTATATGTATATATTTTAGTTTAATTGGTTTTATCTATTCTTCTATCCTATCTATAGTTTTGTTTATCTATGTGTAAATACTGTTCTCTGCATAATTTGTGGAACTCGCACTCAAGTTTTTCACTCACCTGTGTCCCTGTACTCTTGTGATGTGACAATAAATCTGATTTGATTTGATTTGATTTGATTTGACAAAACTAGACATAAGTTGGATTGTCATCTTTGTAGGTAAGCAAGCAGGTCAACATTTATTAAAGTGTAGGCAGAAAGGCCACAAGGGGGCCTGAAGAAAGAGGCCAGTTCAGTTGCACATGAGTAAAAAAAAAGACAAATCATGCAGACAGAAAGCTGAAAAAGAATTATTTACACACAATTTCATAGCATAGTGCAAATGTTTTCTCTCCATTTGGATCAAATATGAGTAACAAACAATTCACAGAGACACCTCATAGTTCTTCTTTTATGGTGGCTTTGACTCTAATCTTTGGCCATTACCGTGTACTTAATGAAATCCCACGTGCTGCTGTCAAAATAAGTTACATTCTCCTCAGCGACAGTCATGCCCAGCAGCTCCCACTCGCCCTGACTGAGTAGAAACTCTCTAGAGTTCTGTGTCACCTTTGAGGAATTGGAGGCAGCAATAAGCTTTATTTCACTATCTGTAAGAAAAGAGGTAGAAAAACACAAAATGAATTACTTTGTTTTCATGATATTCATAAAACGTACTGTAGTAAAGAAAGGGTTCAGGTCTTTACAGTATTCAGTCTCATGTACCATCAAGTGTGAGCTAAGTCAACATATTCCAACAGGAAAGAGTTTTCTGTCAACCTTCTGACAAAAAAATGTCCTTCAAAAGTTCTACACAGTTATTCTGACCTACATTTTACTGCTTGGTTTCAATAGAATTCAGTCTGGCATTCAGTCAGTTTCCTTGCACAGAGAACTCTACTCTCAGAATATAAATTGTTAAATAACTATTTGAGCTTGTTACGGCATCCCTACTGTCCTATTCTCACTGCTCTCCAGTGTTAGTCATGGCACCAAGAACTGTGTGCATCTGAATCTGAGTATTGTAAGTGTGCCACCTGAAAACCTAAAGTCTGTATTAAGACTACTGTGTATCTTCATGAACACTTTTAAGACATTCAGCTTTGTTTCTGGGCAGAAAATAAAAAAATGAACTACAATTATACGCTCAATTCTCTTCTTGAACTGCATCAGGTATGTACAGCAGATGAAATGGAGTAGTTTTAGGCACTCACTTGAATGAATGATGGAGAGAATGGTGATTTGGCAGCTTTGGATATCAAAGGGAAACTTGTGGACATCCATTGTGCAGATAGTGTGGAGTCTCATGTTCTCCTCCATAGTCACTTCTCCCTTATGAGTAACGGACAAATAAGGACTCGGTGGACCGTTCTCCTTTTCTGTTCTAAAAATGTGTTACACATGATATTCTCTTTTAAATATAATTAAAAACAGTTTTACAAACAGAAATTTTGCAATGAAAATTTGACTAACAACTGACTAACTTTCTGATTCTGCTCTAAATTAGCAGCCTAATTTGCGAGAAATGAAAACTACGTTTCATTTCGTTACAAATGCACTGCAAATACAGAAAGTTGTGCTGTGACTGACTGCAGCATTTCTGAAGCTGCATGTAGCGCTGGTTTAGTCATTTAACATAACATAACAGCGTTTTCTGTGTTTGCAGAGTGTCTATGAATGTGCAGGGAGTTTTATTATTTTGCAGAGACTTTGTAAAATCCAGGGCATATGTTATCATTTTGATAAAAGTTTTTACTGCGTTTGCAGCTTGTTTTCTTTTATTTGCAGTTTTTTGGGTGTTCTGAGCCACCGTAGGTCTGACCTTCTAACAAAAATCAGAGGCAGATATTCTCTAATATGGCAAAAGCTGCCCAGAACTCCAGCCCAAGTTCTCAGAGTTCTCTCCCCTCCTACAGTCATATGATCTATTCTCATACTGGAACCATATGTTGAAGGCGTGTTTCAAACTCGCACATTGTAAAATAAAGAGGGACTGCATGTTGTCTGTTCCTTCATCTTTGGTTTGTCTTTCTCTCTGTATTACATGGACAATACCACTTAATAAAGACTGCTTGATAATTTTGTACAATTCCTACCTGAAATCAGAATATTGCTCTCAGAAAATAACAAGGGAGCTTCAGTTAATGAACAACTCTGCATGTAAGAATGTCATTGGGCATGTAAAGAAGATTTTACAACCAACACTTATTTAGACACTCACAACTCGTTGATAGAAAGATCAGGTTTCCAAAGCATCTCCCTTGGCACAGAGACTTGAGTGATCCCACAGAAATCATCAGGATTCCAAGAGATTAGCTCATTGCTCCAAGTCTAAAAAAAGAAACAGATTCAGTTCTTATCTTAACTCTCAGGCTGGCTTTACACAGTGAAATTTTCACACAACTTTAGTTGCTTGAAACCTACATGAAACTAAGTTGCACTAGAGTTGAATAATGTAGCGTCCTGCAACTCATTTGAAACTGAGCCACAATAGCTGCAACGAACGGAACGAGTTTCATGATGCAGCCAAAAAAAAAGAAAAATCATCTGATAGAACGTCATTTGACATGATCATGTGATGCGTTATCTGTGTTTTTTTTTTATTTTATTTTATTAAAATGTTTCACTTGTCATAGAGAGATTTGGTAAAATGCATTACATTCTTCTGATATTAGTAGATCATATAGAGTGCTGAACAGTTTTCTAAAGCTTGTAGCTAACATAGGATGGTCAAAGAAACTTAACTGTAGCTTGGCCCCATTGGCCAATGAAATCTTGCATTTCATTTCATCACTGTCATCGCTTTGGATCCAATAGCCACTGGGAACAATAGCAGTTTTTCAAACTCCCTAATCCTACAGAATATCCTGCAGCAGACTGCAATTGGAGGATTGCAGGTTCTAGTGCCCTTAATAGGCCCCTATAAAAACACCCGTGAAGTCTATGCCAATCCATATACACTGTGATCTGGAAAAACAAGTGTAGGCTCCATTTTTTTAAGACCTTCATAAAACCTTTGGCACTGATATTGTGTTTCAAGAGATTTCACTCTCTGATCTGTCTTATATAATAAAGATCACTAGGCAGTTTCACAAAGAATAACTAGAAATACTTGCTAATTGTAAAAGACCGAGGCATTCTGAGCACTTACCACTGACATCCACAAATATGAAACAAAGATTTGTGACTTTTCAATCTGTAAAGACATAAGAAGAATTGGTACTGAAGAGGTAAACATAGTTCTTTTGTGTACATTAGCCAAACCTTCTCCATGTAAACTAAAACAACCTAAGCATAGCAAATAGTCATTTGTAATCATTTCCTGAAGGATGAAAAATTAAGAATAAGAAAATATATGAGTGAATTTACATAGTAATACATTTTGTAGGAAAGGAAAAAAACGGCATTCATGTTGGATGAGTTTACAGGTGCACTCCTCACCACAGATATGATGGCAGAGAGGTAGACGTCCAAGTACACTACTGTTGGGTGTGTCCAGTCAAGTACAGGACGACAGGTTGTAAATTTCTCGTTGTTTCTGGTCAGATTGAGGTAATCCAGAACATCCTGAGGAGTGCATATTCTTTTGGCAAAAGCCTCTTGAGCTAGAAAAAGTCACAGCCACAACCATTACAAGCTGCACTTCACAGTGAATCTATCAGCACTGTAACAGAAATGCTTCCTATAATAACAGTAATATGTTGTGATAGATAAAAGAATTTAGAATTTATGACAATGTTATAAAGAATGTATAAGGCATTGCAATAACAAAATTAAGTTGCATTTGTGTAGTGTTCATTAATATACAGTTGATGTTAATTGAAAAGCTAAACGTAACCAATCATATAACTGCCAAATTACATTTTTTAGTATAACACTTATTATTAACAGATGATATGACTTACAAAACATCTATTAAATATCTATTACTATGTATTTATATAGAATTTAATACTGATGCTTTTCATAGAAAGCATAGCCCCGCAGTTAGTTCACACACAAATGACCAACTACTTTACATCATAGTAATATTAAGAAATTACTTATTATATGTTATTATCACATAAAAGACATTTTAAAAAGCATTTGACGACCTATTAGTTAAGACTATATAGAATCTTAAAAGTACAGACAGTTGGTTTAGCTTTTAAACGTAATCAGAGCTCTACTCACCTGTTAGAAACAGTAGACAGAGACCATAGATGAGTACAGCAGCCATCTCTGCAGCTGCTGAGTGGAAATGACTCACTTCTTGAGAGCAGCAGCCTTGTATCTGGTACAGTCCCACTCCTGATCCAGATGGGACAGATACTAATGAATGAAGGCATATTGGTGGAGAGGGAATATTTCAATCCCCTTTGGCTCCATATGGCTTTGTCATTGGTAGATGAAGCCTATTGTTTCTCTCTGCTGTAACATTAAGGCCACCATTATTGGTTTATAACAAAAGAACGGGGATCAGGTTCTTGACCAGTGATTGAGTTTGTATTGTTTATTTGATGGATAGGTGTCATAATGGCAGGAAGCAGACAGATTTTCATCCAGTCCCTTAGCCATAGACATACAACATCACAGCTTTATCAATTCAGAGTCAGCTGCTGAGATATTAAACCCTCCAGCTTCAGAAATAATATATTTCTGATTTAATACTGTCAGTGCAGTTTCACTTCCTAAGATTGAGAGTTTTCACAAATGTGTTCCAGCCTATGACTCCTGCAACTCAGCGGAACATATTTGGGATCTTTTTTCATAATACTTCAACAGGTTTCACTGGTTGTTTTGACAGTTTGAAAATGGTTCATTACATTATATTCGATTCGAGTGTCTCTGAGAGGACCTTTAACAAGTGTGGTACACTCTTTTCTTTCTCACAAAAAAAAAAATAATTTCCTCTGCTTTTTTGAAAGGATTTTGAAGTAATATGTAAACACTGGTAAAGTTTCAAAGCATACCCTTCACTGTTCAGCCCTTGCAATCTATATATAATCTACCCTGCAAAAACAGCTGAATTCATTGTTTCTGTGATGAGAATCAATTGAATGTGGTGGAAATATGTGATTGGGTTGGTTCTTGAGATATCACAGAAACTATGACATGTTTTTGCTGCATGGTTTTCATCTATGGACTCAGTAGGAAACTTTTCAGTGTTTACATATTACTTCAAACTCCTTTATTTCATAAAAGTGAGGGACATTGGGTTTTACATTATATGGGCCCTTTAAGAGTGCAGCACTGTAAAATAATTCTGGTCTAAGACTGTTGAGGTGTGGGCAGCTGTAAATGTGAATAAATGTGACTGTAATTTGTTCATTTCAAAATAAAGCAAGGAAAGAAACTGGCCACTTAAGCCAATGAAAGTTTTTAAATAAAGAAATGTTTATTGTTTTTTTGACATTTGTATCTTTCACTCTATAAAAGTGATCAATGTATATTCTCAGTCCATGTTTTATCTTGGAGCAGATCACAGTAATTCTTCCTATTGGTGCAGAGTGAGAACAGTACAGCAGAACAGCAGAACAACAAAAAGTCCTACCAATACCTTCCAGAGCACTCAGACAATGTAACCATGCTCTATAATGCATTTAAGATGGAAGCTGTCTCTAGCATAAGTACCTTCGGAGATAATCTAACCACTGTAATAATTTCACCGCACAGCTGAGTATCTCTCTAGCTTTTAAGGACAAAGAACGCCCATACAGTTCTCTAAATCAGTAAGCCTATAGTATCTGAAACGTATTTTTGTAAGCAGAGTCTGGAGACATAAGGACAGGAGAGGGCTACTGTAAACATCTACTGCAAATGTACATGTATTGTTCCTTTTTTTCTTCAATGGACGTCTACTGACTTGTAGGGACCAGCTGAAACTATCATGCTTGTGTAACACTTGCCACATGCACCACATACTTGTGGTCTAGGGAAAAACAAACAAACAAACAAACCTAATTGTGCACTTGTGAAAGGTGACATTGTATTAGAAATTGTAATTTCACATCATTATTCATACTTCATAGAACACACCCGACAGACTAACATATAACAACAATAACGAGACCTATGCTAACATAAAATAAAAAAGAAAAACATTTCTTTACAAAGGAAAAATGCCCACAGGCATATTGTCTTAACGAGAGATCATAAATATGATTGAACTAGAAATTCTCTCCAGATTTGTTTAGAACAGATATCTGGGAGAACTATGACATCACGACGGGCGGCTCAACTGTACCATCATTAGTCGTAACACACAAGGGAAACCCGAAATGTCCCAAGCAAAAAAAAAAAACAAATCGGTTAAAGATTATTAATTAGTTAACGATCATAAGGTCACTGCTAATACAACAAAAACGTGGAAGCTTATTCGGTCTATTCCCTTTGAAAATAGCATAGCAAAATTCAGTGTTATCAACTGCCTGTTGGCTCAATGAGTGGCACATTTTTACACTCTATGCTGCATTTAAAATGAAGCCAAATTAGTTGGCCGAGAAGCCAAGTAAACACTTTTAATAAGGACAGTGCACTCTTGCCACATGGAATGCATGAAATATCATTTTTCAAAAGACCTGGTCCGCCAGTTACACTGACACTTGGCTTGGCAACCCATATCCCTCATGAAGTATTCTAATACCTGTTCCCTGTACAACAACAAGGGGCACTAGCAGCATTTTAATCCCATGTTCTATTCAACAACAAGCTAACTGTGCTACTCCTCCCTCAAAATATGTTCCACCAACTGTAAACGTAACACATGATTGTAATTCTGTGATATTAAATGTATCATAGCATTGAGACTTGATGCCATTTGTGGACCTCCTTGGCAGGTTTCTGCAGATTCTCCTCATTCACCAGTCTAACACCATCCAGTCTGATGTGGAAGTCAGGTGAGGCAGCTTCGTAGCTTCAGGCTATTGCGTGTCTTTGTGACATGCACAGCTGTAAGATCAGCTCAGTAAGAGTAAGATGCAGCAAAACTGACGAGGACAATACAAGGATGTATTATTGCTCTAAAATTCATCCTGTTAGATGTTGTATCTCACTTTGTGTAGAGCAGGCAAATAGGCGTACTAGGGGTCAATTTTTAAAACCTACCCTTTGTTAGGCTCATTGTCCTTCGTTAGGCTTATTGTTGAGAGTTACAAATCCCTCCATTTGCAGTGTAGCCTTTTTCTCCTTTTGCCAGTTCTTTGTCACAACGCAGGAAGTGCAACATATTAGACATTCAAATACTGAATATTCTGAAAGTCCAAGTGGAGCTAAACAGGATAGGTTTGTAAGAAGATTCTGTGCATGCAAACGTTTACAGGAACTCTTGATGGGTCAGTTGAAAGTCCGCTGAGAGAAATCAAACCAGGTGGTTCTGCTGTAATCATGTTTTGGATGTTATTCATCAATTACTTGTCAGAGGAAGATTTAAGTACATCATGACTCAGATGTTGGATGAGGCATCTTCACCAAATGCTCTAATCAGGTCATTATTAGGGCCTCTTTGGGATTCTTTCCATGTGGGTGGATGAAGGCAGGGGCAGAGTGAAGGTGCTAAGGTAAACATGGGTGTAAACACAACATCTTTTAGCACAATGACGAGGAAAAGCCACAAACTGTTGGGTTTCACCCTAATACTAAGAGTTCAGAAAAAGAAAACAAATGAAGATGAAAAAAAGGTTGTAAATTCTTGCTTTGTTCAGGGTATAGGGGTGAGATGAAGAGTTGGTGTGGTTGCTTGACGACCCTCATGCTGGAACAGGGTCAGGCTGTGCAGCCATATGACAGCAGATGGCCGTATTGGAGGGATGTCTTTCACACAGCTAGTGGTCCACGGCGAGTTTTTGGTGTGTTTTTAGGGCTTGTCCCCATATTGGTGACCCCCTGTTCCTCCAGGTTGATGTTGCTGGTGGAGGCGTGGTGGGGCAGAGGCTCTATAGAACGTTGGTAGGCTTCCAGGTACAGCAGACCTATCAAACACATATGATAGAGAATGCGTTTGTGAGAGAGCTCAGCACAAATATACAGTAAATGAGGGTGCAGAGTGAAAAAGTGAAGGGGAAAAGAAGATTGATATGCAGGAAGAAAACAAGCAAGAAATGACAAAAAGAATTTGAAAAAGCATGTGACCTTTTTTCACCTATTCACATTGTTGAGCATTGAGAATAATAGAAAAAAGGGTGTTATATATTGGTGCCTGGCTTAAAGGACAAATTAAATAATCATTGCTTGAACTGTTTTAGACATGCCTATACGCTTCATACAGCAGTCTCTAAAGGGAGATTTCCATCTGACGATGATGTATCTCGAAGGTGGGAAGAACTTTTGAAAAACCACAACTGCTTTAGGGCAGATACTTGAGTGTGGGTTGTTTGAAATTTTTCTTTTTCCTACTAGCTGGCTAATGCAGAAGGAAGCGAGATATTCAACGTTACTTCTAGGAAGGCAAATATCATGCCTGTACTTATTAGCCTCTACATCAATGGCTACAGTAAAGATTTCTTTATCGCACTGTGGCGGGGTTTCTTAATGGTTGTGTGATATATTTGCATACTGTACTGTGGTGAGAACATTGATGAAAACACATAAAAGATACACAATTGTGAATTCAGTCAAACCAATGAGGCAGAGAAAAATGCAATGATGTCTGTGCCACATATAAAGCCACATGATTTTAAAGTTTTTGTGTTGCAGCACTGGTCTATTATTTACACTGAATTTGTTTACCATTTTATTAAAGCAATAAGTCACTTGAGGCTGTGCATTACAGTGATTTCCCTGATTAAGGGGGTCCTAGGCTTGTTGCTTTACTTATCACAGCAGACTATCACAAAGTGACCAGACAAGACCCTTTTGTCCAATGTTCTCCAAGACTTTGAGCAGTCCAGCTCATCCTCTGAGTGAGGAAATGCTTTTTGGTGACAAAAGTGAAACAAACAAAACAGTCCAATGTGAACACTCTGCAAACTCATTCTCATCAGTGACTGGTCCTTTGCCATGAATCCATACCTATTCCTCAATGTGGACAGGACACGAGTCCTCATCTGTCCATTCCACAGACATCCAGGAAGATAGAGAGAGAGAGAGATGGGGGCGATGGAAGGAAAAATGCAAACAGAGACAGAAAGAGAGAGAGAAAGAGAGAAAGAAAAGAGCACATTTACAGCACAACAGGAGATTCAATAGGACATTCACAGAAAAGAGAGCTGGACTAAGAGAGAGAGGCTGAAATGTACAGAGGTGATGAAAGATTGGTATATTGAGGACTCCATGCATGGGATGGACTGTGTCATAATTAAAGGTTAGTAAGTGATGACAAATCCTTAGAGGTTATCACACGAATGTTACTAAAAGTTTTATTGCTTTATTTTCTACCAGTATATTGTTACTGTCATGTAAAAACCTTGCATTTTCATTTTTACACCATTTGAAAAAGAACTACTGCCCTTTACAATGTTTGAACATGTCATGACAAATAGACCAACAGAAATAGTCCCAAATTATTCACAATCAAATTCTTTGCACTAACATCAACATTGTGAATGTTTTTTCTTCTCCTGTAAAGTTTCAGAGATATCAGGTTTTGTCACGACAGTGATAATATGTAGTTCTCCTCTCAAAAACACAACTAAGGACTGGAATAAGATAACATTTTCGAAAAAGAGCAATTGTTTTGAATAACTAGCATGAACTACAACATAGAAACAAGTTCTTTGTTTTGTAATATGTATGATACTATAATGTAAATAGCAAGATTGTTTCATATCTTGTTGAGATCGAACACAGTGGGGGGAAACAAGTGATCTTTTATTTTTTAATATACTTTAAGTGCATATATCCACTTCGAACTTCCAAACATTATGTCTCTTGACTTTGGACTTTATACAAATATAACCAAAAAGTATGTATTTCTAAGCATTAAAATTGCACTTGGTGCCATTATAAAAGACATTGTTAAACAACACTCGTACAGAAAAAGCTACGGAGCCAGAGCAAAGACCTTCATCACTGTCAGTCCAACTTGTTCTTTAGTATGCAAGTGGAAATTCATGGGACCACAACTAATTGTCCCCAGATAGATGTAAAAGGCAAAATTTCACTACATACTCTCAGACTAAAGACCTCAGCCAGCAGTCCCTCAAAAGATGACCTGAAAGTAGCAGGAACAACAGTTACACAGACAACAATAAGCCATGACCTGCATCGCAATCACCACTGTTTCTATACTCCACACAAAACTCCTTTGCTACAAAAAAGCACAGAGATGCATGTCTACAATTCGCAAACAAGCATTTACAGAAATCAGAAGGGTTGCCTGTATGATCCCAAGAAAAGCATACCCACAGTAAAGTGCGAAGGAGGGAAGATCATGATTTGGTGCTGCTTCTCTGCAAATGATTATACGTCATTGAAGGAAAATGTATTTCGTAAAGCTGTAATTGCCAACAACGGCTTGGCAACAACGTACTAATGTTATTCATTTGTGGTTTCACAATTTTTTTTACATTTTTTTTCTCTTAGTAATTTTAATACAAATCTTTATTAATTCTTTGCATACAAACTTTTTGTTCATATTTTGTTCAAAAGTACAAAATAAAATGACATGTAAATTTAGAGTTTTAATATATGCACTGGAAATATATAAAATAAAAGAACAAAAATGTCTTTGTCGGAGCCATATTTACATATGCATGTATGTATGCTGTCATGCACAGTTTGCACACTGGGTGGTGCAAAACATTTTGGAACTATACTTAAGGTAGAGCACAGGAACAGGAGATCAGGTCTTGCTTGGTGTAAGAATGGAAACTGCCTCTTCTCATGGATCTTAAAGGACTTTAATGAATGCACTCAGTTCCACAAATATGTTTGTCTTCACAAATATGTTTGTCTTTTGGGACTTCACATGTCTAAACTTGTATCACGTGTCTAAACTTGCTCACACAGGTCAAGCAGCTCCTCGGTGTCTTTGTGTATGGTAAGAGAGTCATCACAACAGTCTGAATAGTTGTTTCCCCTCACTGTATCTAGGTTTCCTCTCTGTCCACTCATGGCAGTGTTATGAGCTGGGTATGAGATATATTGATGGCGTGAGTGAGAAGGTGAAAAGAGAGATGGAGGAATGAATGCGAAGCACCTAGGAGCTGGCAGATAGTATCAGCTTAATCGTGTGATTGTGTCTTAGATGGATACATTCAGGTACTAACCACTCACACATACCCGTCCACACAAACCCGCTCTAAGTAGGAAATAGGAAAAATCAGGGGAAATGTGTGCATTTACCATCTTCCTTTTAACCCAGTTACAGGAGGGAAGAGAAAGCCATAGTTCTGACCTTTGCCAATCTCTTGACTGCCCTGTTAAACGGCACATCCAGAACCAATCCCCTCCTATCACAAAGGTTGCCACTCACCAGCGAATCGGCCATCAGGAGCCTGTTCATTGTCCAGGCCTGTCAGACAGTGGGTGTCAGACTGCCCCTGATTGTTATTGTCAAACTCTGGACAAGGCACCTCGCTCCTCCCGCGCCCACCTGCAAGCGAGGTCAGAGGTCAAACAGAACAGCCAAGGCACAGCGGAGCACAGCAGATTGTAGGGGGAGGCTAGGGCTGGCGGGGTGGGGCGGGGGTGCAGGATGTCATGTAGCAGCCACTGGGTGATGGCAGATGCACAGATGCACATATGATGTGACAATAGTGTACACATGCACGCATGCATGAAAGTGCATGTTGAAAAGAGGGAGAAAAGGGAAGCGCTCAGAATTAGTACACAGTCTCAGCAAATACAGTTTCTCAATCAAATCCATTTTAACATACTTAAGCACATTTTAGATTGGCATGCATCATTTCTTTTTAACAAGTACACCAAGCAGAAAAAATACCACACGTGAGCCAAAAGCAGCCGCTGTTAACAACGAAGTAGAAGCCAAGCATGCTAACACTGCAACACCACAATGCAAATAGTCGTTCCTCTCCCAGAATATCATTATATCAAATTTCCTTCCTTGTGGAACACACGTCCAGACCTTGATAAACCAAACACACTGGCTCAAAAGCACAAAAGTGATGCATTGAATTTACTTACTTCAAATATGTATATAATACATTAATTCCACATTAATAAAATGCATATATCAACACATGTATGGTACGTAGCCACACTGGTGATAGCCCTTCCTAGTAAAAATAACGCATGGCCACAACTTACTAAGGCGTGGGAATGTGATCCTAACGTATGTCCATGACTTAGTAAGGCATGAGAATGTTATAATTAAGTCACAACCTAAACTTAGCAAGATGTGAAAATGAGAAAATTTTGTTGTGATAGATAAGCTATGGTCAAGACTTAGGAAGGTGCAGAAACAAGTTAGTTAAGTCATGGCTATGAATTAGTAAAGTGCGGATAAGTAGGTTGTGATAATTCAATTATGGCCAATTTTTTATCTAATTAATTCCCACATCTTACTAATTCATGACTACGACTTAATTATCTTGTTCCCACAGCTTACTAAGTCATGGCCATGACTTAACTATCAAGACTTAGTTATCTCGTCCCCACGGCTTACTAATTTGTGACCATGGCTTATTTATGTTGTTCTCATGGCTTATTATGTTGGAGCCACGACTTAATTATCTTGTTCCTATGTCTTACTAAGTCGTAGCCATGACTTAACTATTATAATTTAATTATCTTGTTCCCACACCTAACCAAGTCATGGCCAAGATTTAACATTCTTGTGTCTATGCCTTACTTAGTCATGACCACGACTTAACTATCATAACTTAATTATCTAATTCCCATGCCTAATTAAGTTGTGGCCACAACCTAATTATCACAGTTAATTATCTTGTTTCCACTGCGTAATAAGTTGTGGCTAACTTGACTATCACATTCTCACGCCTTGCTAAGTCATGACCTTGCATTGCTATTAAGAAGCGGTGTCACAAATGGGGCTCGGTTCAGTTTGCTTACTTTAGGCAATAACTGTATAAATGTAATATATTTAATTTGTGTGGAAATTATGCACACATTGTAGTCACGTAAATTCAGTGCATTACTTTTTTCAGTATGTATCAGTAACTAGTGCTTAACAACCACTTCACAGACAAGAACTGACCAAAATACTCCTATAAGCATGATAGGATGATGATCACTAAAGTCACTGGAGTTGATATCACGACAAAGTGCTCTTTTACAAAAGTAACACTACTGCTCCTTAGATAAAGGCTACATCTGCAGTGTGAACAGTTAAAGGTCATTAGCACATGCAAAAGAAATAAACCAACACAAAAGTTGCAAATGCAGAGCACACAGCATACACACTTAGTCAGAATGGACTGGCTAAATGAACTAATCAAGGTGATTAAGCTCTTCTCACAGACTACACTGCTGAATAACCTCAACAAAATGTCCAGTAGCCCCATAATATAATATTTCTAGAGTGACTGAGCCATTTTTTATGAAGAATGAGCCACTAAAAGGATGACATTACACGCTGCAATATGCTTGCTCTCTCTCTCCTTCATTATGCACACCTGGATATCAATGCATGAAAATAAAACAGTCACCCAAGCATATTTCATGTTTACCCTGGTCTTTAGTAGGAGATGCACAGTCCTCCTCTGTCACATCATTTCCCTGAGGAAGACAAAGTTCCAGAGAGATAGGAAGTATTAGCCATAGCTGTGAGGTGAATCTGAATATTAATTCCATTTAACTGTAATATTTAAATGCACCTCTGAATCCTGTTCTTCAACCATGGCTGCTACAAAGTTATGGTCATTTGACTCACTGGGGATTTCCTGCTAATGAAACAAAAAACAGATGAAGTCTATGAAATGACAGATTGTTTTCACAATGACAAAGAACAAATCTAACACTGTTCTCCTTTGTGTCATAACATATTGTCACTGTCGCATCAAAAAATAACTTCAGGGGAAGGAAAAACATTAACTTTCAATGTAAGTCAATATAAATTTGATTTTGATTCATTTCTGTGGGTCCGTTAATCACAACAGCCTTTTTCAAATGTTTTTGACAAAAATTGAGATCTAACATTTTCTGCTGCATAAATCAACAAATAAAATATACTTGCTGATCAGGTGAAATAAGCACAACTGTAGATGTTTGGGGTGCTCGAGTAACAGGAAAAAATAGTGCATTGAATAAAAAAAATCAATGTAAATTCAATGCACTATAAATGTATTATATTTGATGGTATTTTATTATATTCATGTGGAACCAGCGTACACATGTGATTCAAATGAATTAAGAGCTTTATCTTTCTCAGTGAAGTTTATATGTCCATAGTTCTACAGTATTGCTATTTTCGTTGCTCAAACATCAAAACCAAACTAACGACTGGCAGAAGTACTACTGGGGAATGATGCCAAAAGCCACCAATTTTATCACCTTGCTGTGATAACAACATTAATCGCCACTCAAATCTTTTAGACACTTAAAAACCTTTGGACCTAAAGGTTTTCACCTTACGCATTCACAGTACCAGGCTGAATGGCTGGTGTAAATCCGATTTTTTGCCTTAAACTTTTCAGAGCTGTGTGGACATGTAAATCAGATCTTTTCAAATCAGACCTGAGCCACTTCCATACGTCATTCTAAATTGGACACATATCTGATTCGTGGCCATGTGACCCTAATAAGAACGGTGTGATCAAAATTCAGATTTTGCTTTTTTTTCCACTCTGCAAGCACCATCATATAGGAGTAAATGTGGCACCAGCATAACACCTCAAGTTACTGCCAGTAAAGGATGCAAAAGTAAAGCATCTGGTCATTTTCCCCTTTGTTTTACTCAAATTATAAACAGCTGAGAGCTGTTCAAAGCAAATTATCTTCACAACGAAGGCTTGTTCTGATGGTTAGTTTGTTTGTTGTCTATGACGCGCATAATTTACAGGCGGGTCGTTTCAGGACACAGGTTTGTTCACATTAATGACAGATGTGAGTCACTTACTTATACAAATGTAAACCATTAAGTTAGAAAGATCAAAGAGCAAAAAAATGTGAACATAGCCCTAGTGATGATTTCAGGGGGCTTTACTTTCTCACCTCCCCCTCCTGCCGTGATGGTCCCTGGCTCTCGGCTGAGTTTTCGTTTGGCTCTTCTCCTTCTGCCCCTGCCAGGTAGGAGCCAGACATGGAGGAGAGTGTGTCCGTGCTGATCTGAGAGTGCTGACTCTGAGATGATGCCATGGACATGACGGACTGGGCTAGGCTGCTGCTCACGGGGTCTGTGGGAGAAAGGAGGAGTGGAGGGATGGTGAGCTGTATTCAAGGTGCCGTAGGTTACTGCAGTTGGTCAGCACCCTGCTGTGTCCTACCTTCAGGAGAGGTGATAGTGGAGGAGAGAGGGGTGCCGGTACATGAGGATTGGTCTATGGCTCCAGATGAGGATAGTGTGAGATTGTCACTTTCAGGAGTCACGCCACACTGAAACATTTACATTAGCCAGTCTGTTTCAGACTTTTTAGGTGTACACATGAAAGGTATATACATCACAAACAATAGTTTAATCAGTTACATTTATTTACCTTCTGCATGCAAATCACTTGTTAAAGATTTTCTCAAATATTTTTCTGCAGTAACAAAATGGCACACATCCATAAAAGTTACATTGTAGCAGAAGGAAAAACGTTTTTCAAATGTAATGTATGTTCACTTAACAAGGTATTATTCCAAGTCATTTTGGACCATTTGTATTGGCTTTCATCATGAAGTGATGACTACTGCAATATTTTTAAAATTACAGGAACAATGCATTTTATGTAAGAAGTAGGCAAAATAATAAAACAATAAAAAGTAGTCAATATTTGTCAGAGTGCAAAGTAAACTTGTGGACTATGCTATGAGGAAAGCACAACTTTACTAACTTTATTTATGTTTCTCATTAGTCAACTAACCCTTTTTTACAGTACAATAAAATGCAATTACTGCCTCTTGTGGAGGTTCCTCAGATTTACTATGCAATATATATTTTTAATTTGGTAACATTGATAGAGTTTGATGGAAACTGGAAGCAAAATGTATTTTTATCTTTGTAGGTGAGGAAGCAAGTCAAAATGTATAAGTGTTTCTATCATGTTTAAATATTATTTTGTATTATGGTGCATGATTTTTATTTAACAAAAGCTGCAGTTTGCTGTCTGTTTTATCTTGGCGAAGATGTCCTTCTGGAGAGATGTGAATTCTTTTTTACTGCAGGTGGTTTTCTCCCTTCCTCTTTCAGTCCTCATTGCTCACTAGCAGCTCACCACAGAATTACAACATTTGAGAGCCAGCAGTGCCCTTGTTCATCTGACTATAAACTTACAGGAGGAAAATACTGTATTTGATTATATTAATTAAAAATATCTGAATTATTTTCCATTCTGCCGCCAGAATTACAGAAACAGGCCACACTAAATCTACAATTTGCTTTCATTTGTAAGTAGCTCAGAGTTTAAAAGTATTTGTGGACATGCAGTGTTTGTAAAGTGTTTCTACCTCTTGCTGGTCCACAGGCAGTTTCCTTCTGCAAGCCTGAACCTCGGACTCACTGCATGACTTCTCATCCTCTTCTTCAGGTAGCACTGAAGAATTCTGAGAGAGGGACCTGGAGAAGTTCCACAATGCAGAGACAAAAGGTTTGTTTGTATCTTCACACATGAACTCATGAATAACCTATGCATGCACTATGCACTAACCTACTTTATAAATCAAGCTTCCTTAAATGGTCTATAGAAAAAAGACATTATTTGAAACATGGATATTACTTCCTATGGTTCTACTGCTAGAAGACGACAAGGGAAGAAGCAAAGACATGCTGAGTGGATGATACCTTTCATTATAAATTTTTACAGACAGGACACACTGGAATTGCTCTGTGTGTGTCGTTTCAGGTAAAGCACAGTGGGTCACTCACTTGGAGCCGCTCTTCTTGAGTTTGAGGCCCTGGCTGGAGTTGATGGAATGTTCTAAAGGGGAGAGGGAGTGAGCTGTGTGGTGGCTCTCACTGCCGTATGTAGGCAGAGTGCCAGAGACATGCCCCTTCGTCAGGCCTTGCAGTGGGGGAGCAGCTGGTGAGGGGTTTAGTGGTCCGTTCAGTGCCTCCAGTAGAGACACGGCCTCATAGCCCTGCGGAATGTGCTCCGAGGCCTGAAATACAAAGTCATCAGCAGCAAATTTAACATTGTGAAACAGCACCTATCACATGCTCTCAAAATGGAAATGTTGTGAGAGTTACTACATTTTAATTCCCTAAAGTCTAAACACCTGTTAGGGACCACATTCATTCATGCTTCTTGTCCTCAGTTTCCTCATTCTCAACTACATACTTTACATATGAATTTTAAAGAAATTACTGAATAAATCATTTAACATTTTTAACATTAAAGTCGACAAAAGCAGCCTGTGTAACAGATGACATCTATTGGAGTATGTGTTTATAAATGTTTATGTCATGACAAGTTTATATGTTTATAAGTGCCATGTCGCCTTACAAACACCACCCCACAGAAAAGTGCTACCAGATGCACTTTGCACTGTGTGAACATTTCATGATGAAAGGACCAATTTTACTTAATTGTTTTCCCGTCCCCGCTGTACTGTTTCAGAGCATATAATGTTTTTGACAGCGGAGTTTGTTGCAGCTGGTGTGCCTGCACTCATAGAAAAAGATGACTATAATTTAATTCCAGTTGAATCTGCTTTCAGAGATAAAACACAGCTCTGCTTGGTTACCGAATGCTCCTCAGAGTCTGATGTCTGTGAAGTGATGACTGGGTTGAATCCGCTCTGTGGGAGAGGGCTCAGCTTCTTCCTCAAAGCTCGGATCTGCAGCAGAGCTCGGAATGCTGCAAAAATCAACAAACAACAAAATGTACTTGATCATCAGGTGAAGGTAAATACAACTGTAGCTGTTTGGGTGCTTGAGTAATGCCAAAAAATAGTGCATTGAATATAAGAAAATTCAAAGTAAATTCAATGCACTGTGAATGTACTATATTTAATAGTATTTGCGTGTGTGATATGAGTAATATTTAATATTATAATACACAAAGAAATGTTCATAATACACAATATGCATCGCACTATTTAGTTTTTAGGTTTGATAAGTTGGAACAGACAAAAAACCAACCAAGGAATACTTTTTAAAAATCAATCAAAAACCACAAATACAGTGATATTTATATTTTATATTTCACTAGCTGTGTTGCATGAAATCCAATTAAACAAGACAAATAATGCTCTATTTGTAATAAAACATGCTCTTCAACTACTGACAATATCAAGAATATGCTCAAAAAAGCATATTGTGGTGTAAATTACCGTGATAATGATAAAACATTGTCATATTGCCCACACCTAATGGTATTATATTCTATTTATGTGGAACCAAGGTACACATATAATTCAAACCCTTATATTTTTCAGTAAAGTTTATATGCTCTCAGTTCTGTAGTTTATGTCTGATATAGGAAAATAAAATGTGATTTGCTGAGATTGCGAGAATGTGCTTACGCAGGCGGCAAATTGGGCAGCAGTTGGCTTGGTAGCGCAATGTGTCTGCGCAAGCATTGCACAAGCACAGGTGTCGGCAGGGAAGGATGAGTGTGTCACGCACATCTGACAGACACACCACGCACTCCGCACTGTTGTCACTAATCTCATCATCAGCCACCTGTAAACAACAGTTATAGCCCATATTGAGGTCTTGATGAATAGATCAAAATGGAGGAACAATAGCATTTTATTACTTATATGATGATGGCAGCACCAGCACAGTTACCGAAGATATAAAATTACTTAAAATGGCTGAAGTAAATGCTAAAATAGAAGTGTTAATCCAGCCGTAGCGTTCAGTTCAAACTGTGCACTGTCTTTTCCATTGATCCACTTGAGGAGAATGAGATTGATGACTTACTTTAGATTCCTGGCTGTTGTATTTGTTTTCTATGCCATAAATCTCCTGCAGTAGGTAACTAACACCATCCACTACTTGCTTCTGCTTCAGGGGTTTCACACAGTAGCTGCCATCCATATGCTGTAAAGACAGGGTATGAGATTTTTGTACATAATTTATTTCTACATGTTATATAACATTAACATACATGAAAGGATGTGTCTAATTTGTTGATTACTGTTTCATACAGCTAAGCATATATTTTACCAGTGCTGGAATTACTGTGTTGTCACCAACAACTGTACCTACAGTTGTGTATTGTGTTTGTGTTATGTTTTGTTGATTTTCTAAGTGAAAAAAGTACAAATCATCAACCAAATTAAAATATGGCATTTTTCCACTTTTTTTGTTTAACATACTGGGAATATATACATACATGTGTGTGTGTGTGTGTATATATATATATATATATATAGATAGATATATATATATATATATATATAGATATATATATATATATATATATATGCACACACAGGATCTTCTTATTACAGGAAGAAGAAGAACAGCATCTCTACGATATCTAATTATCGTATTACTCTAATTAAAGAACACATACCTTCTCAAATGTTGCGAGAAGTATATGAGAGTGTCCTAGATGCTCTGTAAGAAAACAATAAAAAAATAAAAAGAAAGCCTTGTATGCTGATGTGCTGGCATAAGTAGCAATTGCATGTAAAGGTAAGGGGGCAATGACAATGGTTATGTGGTTCAACTCACCATCTCCTTCATCCACCACTGCTTGCACAACCATGGGAAAGATTTCCTTATCCATGTCGAATAAAAGCTAAATGATAACAGACTCACATCACTAAAAGCCAGCAGGCACATGCTCATACACTCTGTGTCATATACAGTAGGGGGTTTTTGCGATTACTGGAATGTCTGGATAAGTGCGTATAAGAATTCACTGCTATATTATTGTAATCATCCTTTTGGTGGCTGTAATATATCACCATTTCAAAGTATGTACACAACTCACAGCAGGCCTAAGTACAGCTTTCACATGTAGTTAGAATTGTAACAGTTATTCCAATTAACCTTGCCTATGGGGAAAGTTGTAACATTGGCACACCTGCCCTACGGTCTGAGTTGTTCATTAAAAGGTAGATGCTACAGGCAAAGTTTACATTTTCATTTGTAACAGAGATGTAAGCACAAGTATACAGGTGCACACATGCTTCACAGAAAGGACTGGCATAAATACATGCTTACCTCTTCATCTGACCACTCTGACAAGTTGACAGAATGCGAGGGCAGGCAGAACTGCTGGCAGACGCCTCTTTTAAAATGCACAGTCTCTGACTGCAGCGAGCTGTCCTGCGGCAGATATCTGTCAATAAACAGCAAATACACAAATAAAGGACCTGACCACCAATCCACAGCCTTTAAGATAGTATGATTTATGATGTGCAAGGAACCAAACTAGGGAGGAAGTGATGAAAATCTGTGAAATGTACTGCAAGGCTATTTAAGGCAATAAATCCATCCATCTATCTACAAACAGGTCTATAAATATTTGGATGCTGACAAAGTTATTTGTATTATGTACAGTTTGGAGGTGAAATGAAACTTGAACACTCAGATCTGTCTATCTATCTATGTATCTATCTATGTATCTATCTATCTAATCTAAACATAGGAAAGATGGAAAGAAAGTGTCCTTTGATAATGTCTTAAAGGGTTCTTATGGCCATTACTGTCATTTTTTTGGTAACAACAATTTCATCTTGGTTTTATTAAATGTAAATATAATCCTCTAACTCACATGGGCACACCATTGTGGAACTCCTCAATGGCTTGGTAGTAAATAGTGATGGCAACTTGCGTGTCAGCATCAAAAGTAAACTCAATATTGTAGCAACTGCGCCCTTTTCCAACCTCTTGTCCAGGCAACTTCATGTCTTCACTACATCTGTAAGCAGAAGCCCAGTGTGTTTCAGTTTTCTAAAACGAGTAACTTTACAGAAGTATTTGAAAAGCTTAAGTGAAAGGTGTCTTTAGGGGGTGGAATTCTCACCTGACCAGTCGGAGGGTATCCTTGCGGATGTTGATGAGACTGCGGAGCGTCTTTACTGGCTCATGTGGGGGCGGAGCATTGTATGGGAACTATAAAGACAAAACACAGCAGAATAACAAGGTTAAAAGAGAACTACAACAGTTACAATGAACCAAAAGACTTCAAAGGCACCTTCACCAGTCTTTTTGTTCTCAAGGGGAATCTATGAGCCAACAAAGCAGTGTTACTGATTAATATCTGCAGTGTCCCTGCATATCAGTTTTGATCCTCAGATCTTCCCTATCAAGGAAAAGAGGAACATTCTAAAATTCATCTACATAAAATATCATGAAGTGTTGTGCGGGTGAATCATTAAAAAGCTGATGTCTGGCACAGCTCATCTATGTTCTCTAGAAAACAACACTCGACAGGCATGTCCACGTGCCGGATCGGCTGTGAGCTTGTGTGTGTAGGTCAGCTCTGGGTGAGTCTGCCCCCTGCCCCTCCCAGCCCCTCCCCCTTTCAGGAGTACAGCCTGAATGTGACTCTGTGTATTACCCTCAGTAAGCTGCTGCTTAAATCTACAACATCACCAGCCAGCCTGCTTAGAGACCAGACAAGCTATTAATGCACACTGCAAACACATAAAGAGCCACAGACTGCATGAAAAGAGTCCACCCTTTGCAAGCAATGTAATAAACATCTTGCAATCCCAAAAGTCGTATACATAACTGGTTGCACGCTGCCTTTCCCCTCATATCAACTTCATGCATCAAGATTATCTGCTAACAGGTATGATTACAGCATATCACCCCATTACCACTGGCACCAACTTTGTAACAAAATCTTAAACCTCTGAAAATGTAACTTTATAGGATAAGAATAAAAACCTTCATAACATTAAACCTTTTCATATTAGCCATAAAATGCATCTGTCTGCTTTGGATGCCCCTTAGTTTTTGCACTATTGTATTTTGTTGATGGAATATAATGTTTAATTTTTTTCCCTATTGTGGCATTTGTGAACAATTTATTGATATTAAGAAAGCTGCAGTTGTGCTGTCTATTTTATCTCAGCAAGGCTGTGTTTGTGGAGAAGTCTGAATTGCTTTTACAGTAGGAAGTTCTCACCCCTCCGCTTCCACCCCTCATTGCTTGCTAGCAGCTCAACACAAAGACACAACATTTTACAGACACACAAACACGCGCACACACACACACACACACACACACAGCCTAGTTAATCTGGTAACATTTAACAGTTACCTAACAGTTAATGTGATTATATTCATTAAAAAAATAATCCATTTCCATTTCCATTCCATTGAGTGGGCACTAGGGGGCTGAAGAAAGAGGCTATTGTATTAATGAAGTAATGAATTAATTAATTATTTCAAGTGATTTCAAATTATTTCTATGGGTCCCTAATGTCATGAAATGTTCATGATGGACAGCTGACTTTCTCATATGGTATACAAAAATCAAAACTGAAAAAAAGGAGATACAAGGTTTTGAAGATTTGAAATCAGGCTTTGTCCAAATCCACATACTACTACACAAAATAGTATGTCAAGGTAATACACCAAGTCCATTTATTAGTACAGTATGTATAGTATAGTAGTTTTGGACGCAGTCATACATTAGTTAATGCCACAGTTGAAATTAGCATCAGACATTAACATCTGGTGATAAGTTATCATTTTTTCCCAGCTATCAATACTGAAGCACTGTTGAGCACCTTAATACATCTTGAACAGAAAGCTGAACCTCAGTCACATTACACAACCATTAGGATGCTTCTATCAGCTCACTCAGCTGTCGGTTGAGGCGAGGGCTTTCTTTCCCTCACAGCCATAATATTCTACATTCTAATTCCATGATCATGGACTCCTGACTATGGACAGCATAAAACTAGGGATAAAAATCTGAATCTCAGCCATAGGACACACAACCTCTGCAGTCTGAGAACTGTGAGAACTGGTTCTGTATGATTTGTATATCTGACTTAGAAATCACAGTAGCTGCATGCAGACAAAATATTTCAACTCTTTGGGCTTTGAATGATCCAACATAAAGGCCCAGCTTCCCAGATTCACCTTATCTCCTCAAACTGCAAGGCTTACACTTCAATTTCTCTGTATCATAACTATATATAATTTACATATTAGCTTTACAGAAGTTATCAAATATTGTATATTGAGTGAGTGCCTCTGACTGAATGTGATTCAGTACAGATGTTATCTTTTGGACGTTTAAACAGAAATCTATCTAACATTTTCTCTAAGAAAACAGCAAAATACGAAATTCCAAAGGCACCTTTCATTATTGTGCAAAATACAAAGAAATGAAATACTAACAGCTGCTTACTTCAGAACTGCAAGCACAATTTTTGCACTGAAAGGCTGAGAAACAGTCAGTATTACCTTAACAGCTGTTTCTATAAAGGCTACAACACACATAAATATATATATATATTTTTTTTAACATAGGCACACAAAAACAAATATATATTTGTTTCATTTTATTTTTGTTGATTTATTAAACATGTTTGTTGTGAAAGCACTGCCTTGCACACTTAAAATACAATACTGAGTGTGAAAACAATCCTAATGTTTGATGTGTTTTTACAGGCTTTTAGCTCAGGATGGAGGAATGTTTGAGCTGTATTTTGTAGTTAACCGTTTAGTTACTCGTCCCCCACGTACGAGAGCAGGGTTCAGTCCCAGCACAGAGAGGCACTCTTTAGGCTTCTAACAGTTGGAGTCAGTAATGTAATGACGTCTCTCTTGCGCTGCATGTATGGGGGCATTTGATCTGTTCTGTCACTGCAGCTATAATAATGTTCTTGTTGGGGAAACTCGTATCGCAATAATGATAATAAGTTAAGATTAAATACTGAATAATAAGGCTGCAGTTTAAATGGTTAAACTTTAGCCTTGAATATGATTTTCAGTGAAAACCAGTGCAAGTTAGTCGCAGACCAGGCTTAATCCATATCCAGGAAAAGTGGATGAAAGTTTTGCAGATGTTGTATGCTTTAGATCCGGCCTGAGGGCTTGATTAAATTAACTTTCACTCAGATTATTTGCCATGATGCATTAACAATACTTTCACTTCCATCTTTGAAAATGGCTTATGATAACCCAAAAATAAACACTGACACCATGTTAGACGTCTTTCAGAACCAGCTCAATGTTTGGATAAAATTACTTTTCCAAACACACTGAGCTCACATAATTTTGGTCTTACAAAAATGTAAAGTAATGTGTTCAAAACATGGCCTTATACAGCCATCATGCCGTGGACATTTAGAACGTAAGTGAAAAGACGGTAAACAATAAAATCATACAAGCAGGAAAATGTTTCAGCTCATATAAAATGTGAAATACCTTGGAAAATGGTGAAAAAACGTGACATGCCTTCTCATATTTCACCACAGTACAAATTAATGTTTCTTTTGGTATCATTCACTATTATGCACCAAGTACAGAAATGTGACTGGAGGAATGCAAAAAAAAAATATTAATCCTTTTTTTAATTACAAGAAAACAGTATTTTGAAAAAATGACTGCATAGTTTATAGGCTACTGTTATAATCAATTATAATGGATTCTAACATTTCAAAACATTTAAAAAATGCATTCTTATAACCCTAAACATTGCAGTTTAAAACTGTGTTACAGTCCTGTGTAAATACATCAGCATAAAAAAGATGGAGTTACTCTCAAGATTCACAAAAGAAACATGCTGTATTGCATCTTCTGCAAATTCTCATTAAGCTTCTTACCGTTACTGGTCTGTTCCCCAGGAAATTGAGATCTGTGTTTTCTCCAAACAGGTAACCCTCAGGATGGGATGAGTCAAACTTCTCTCCTCCCATAATGAAATGACTGGCAAAGTAGCTCCCTTCACAATAAAAAGAGCACATATGAGAATCCTTCTGGCCTGCCAGAGGTTAAATATACATAGTGTAGTTTAACACTCAAAGATGGTTATTCACTCCAATCCAGAGACCATATCTTCTTTTCGTGGCCTTCTCAGTTACACAATCTACATTTACTATGCACTGATCGAAAAGCCAGGCAGATACAAAAAACTACACATCACACACACAAATCTATACAATATAACACACTACACTGCTGACATAATATAGTGGTAATATTGACTATATCACGCCTGGTCATGCAGCTCAGATCTGAGCCTTACAATAGCCTGCAGTGTGGTATCGTAAGGTAAAGACTAAGAGTCTGCCCCAGTACGCTGTTGGGCAGTATAATCTAAACAGCCCATAACATGGTGAATGACTACAATCAAACACAACTGCAATAGGCCTGTCTCATTTAAATGTGAGAATCTGTTGCTGATCAGACGCAGTGGGTGGTGGCCCCATAGAGTCAGATTAACTTCTGTCTGATTATTATTCGTGGGGTGGGCCATTTAAGAATCAATCATTTTAAGAAGCCAGATCTGTCTCATCCCTTTTACTGGTGGACTCTGTCAACAGTAATAGTCCAAAATGGGCATCAGTAATAGTCCAAAATGGGCATCAGTAATAGTTTGCAGTTCAATGGGCCTAGCAAAGACAAGACAGGCTTTTACATTTTAAATGACCTTTAAGTAATGATGCCTAGTGAAATATATTGGGAATAAACGTGCATCCTTAACAACAACAACAACAACAACAATTATAATAATAATAATAATAATAATAATAATAATAATATCAATAAATAGTAATTATTATTATTATTTTAAACGGTTTTTCTTACCAGTTTTCGGTGGGTATCTGTAAACAGAGTTGGACGGTATGTCGACCTCCTCCACTCCGGCATTCTGTCTGCTTGTCAGCGCTCCCATTTCCAGGTAGCTTGCAAATCAAAATTCATTCAAATTCGGTGCAAAGACAGCGCAAAACTGCAGTCCGCTGCTTCCCTTTCTCCTCTTATATCGCCTCCTCCGTCTCCCAGCAGTGCTGATATTCGCTTGTGCCTTGTTAGATTTTTGAGTGTTCATGGGATTAGTTGTCCTTAATGCTTGCCCTAAGCTCCTCGTTTTGTTTCGGCTCCACCGTTAGCCCTGCGCTAGGCTACCTCTTCGCGTTCAGCGCCATTGCTTTTGTCAACATGCGGCGTGTCGGTGCCGCTTTGACTGCCAGAAGGAGACTCGATCAGAGCGGTGTGTGCGGGTGCAGCCCGGACATCATCCGACACCCACGTCCCTCGTCGATATGTGGCGGGATGCTGGTGCTGCTCAGCGCTGATGCTGCCAGAGGAGAGCCCTAATGGCCACGGTCTGACGTCAGACATAAATCCGGAGCCGGGCTTTGGCGCAGTAGCTCCAATCCGGCAGGGCTAAACCTGACCTTCCCAAAACTGGAGCTACATCACCGCAGTGCAGCACAGGCACTGCTACTGAGCGCTGCATTTAGCGCGGTTTCCCTCTGGGCTAAAGCTCCGGCAGAGCTGAATTCCTGCACACATTTCACGTGTTTGTGGATTTGTAATGGGGATCTAGCTGCCCTGAACTGGGGGAATCACAAAAGACACATCTGTGTAATTTGACTAGGATTAGGTGTCCAAGCTGTCCACGCTTTATTGTGGCGATGAGAATCTAGTTCCACAGGTTTAGGCCTGCTAACGGAGAAAGGCTGCACTGCAGTGTTAGTGTCCACAGGCTACATTGTAAATAAAGGTTTTGCAGGCGCTAGATTGAATGTAGGCTCTCCATGCTGCCCTGCATAATTCAGTAACTTATTCTTAGGATGCTAAACCAGACATAACAAGTAGGTGTCTTAGCTATAGTGCCATAGGAAGTCTACACAGATGTAGGTCAGCTAGGCTGCAAATTCAGTTCAGATTAATTTAGACTCACCTGACAACATGAACTTACTTACATACAGTAGTAAGTCAGTATTAGTGATGCACTGATACCATTTTTTTTCAGATCCAGTATGAGTACAAGTTCATATTTTTAGTACTCGCTGATGCCGGGTCCGATACCATACGGAGTAACCTACTTATAATTAAGTGAATAGTGTAAATGAGTGCAATTTAGAAATTAAATCATTAAAATCTTGCTGATTTTAAAATGAAGTGCACAGCGCTGCAGTGGAGAACAGCTCAGTAGCACAGTGACAGTAAGAATCACATCTGCCATACTTCTATTCAGTCAAACAGAGTAAAGTCAGCATATAAAGACTTCGGAACCAAATTTTTGCAAACGTTTTCACCTGTTTGTTAGCCTAAATGCCCCCACTCGTATTAGAGAAGTGGCAGTGATTGTGTGTTTAAAAACAGACTAATATTGCACAGTCTATTCCTAGAGAGAATATAACAAGGCAGAATTTTGTTTATGACCTCCATGTAGTCAGTTAACACTTTGCTTTCTGAGCATGTTGTTATTGGTGAATTGTATGAGCACAAGTATGAGAAAAAGAGCACAGTATTAAACCGATACCCAATACCAATAGCAGTATCGATTTATCCCTGCTAAGAATGCTAAAGAGCAGTCAAAAAATCAAGCTTAACAAAACAGGGCAAAGGTAGTTTATGCTGGTTGTTCACCTTCTTTAATATCTAACAGGTTTTAATATATGACATATCTTATTAACATCTGTTCCGGGTCACTATCATAGGATGCCACAGTTCAGTAGAACCCTGTCCATGTGTTGTCAAATGAGTGAAAGAGTGGCCCTCAATCAGTTTACTTCTTCATGCCAAGGCATGACAGCATTAGTACCTAAGCTAACTATAGCCTTTGTCAAACAGCCTTGAGATTACAGCTTCTACAACTACAGAAACTATAGCCTAACTATAACTGCAGTTAATATGTAACATTGTGTCAAAAACTTTGAGAATTGCATGTAAACCCATCTGGACTGTAAGAATTTGTTTGTTCAAAAACACTAAGATCAATTAAAAAAAATATAAATAAACAATTCATAGTGATTTAATGTCTGTCAGTGTGTTAGTCCAACATTTACAGCTACCATCCAGTACTGACTATATCTAATCAGTCCTTCAATAAATTAAATTAGACATTGGAATTTAACAAAGCCTACATTTGTTCTTCTAAACAAGCTATTTCTTTAAAAAAGTTCTTGTTATATTTTACTGTATTTTTGTTGATTTGTATTCATTACAATGTTCCATATTGTTTTATGGTTAAAAACTAATTTATTGCTGAGATAAACACCCAACTTTGCACAATACCACAGTATATGCATATGCACATTTCACATTGAGGCACTTGATGTTTTTTTCATTTATCCTTTTTTTTATGTTAAGCATATTACATACGGATGTAACAATATAACATCATATTGTATCATATTTTTGTGTTGTGACTTGCATGTTAGTTTGTAGCTTGTGTGTTAACCTGAGGCAAACAGCCTTAGACTGTAGTTTTGGACAAATGCTTTTTGTGATCAACTGCTTTTATTTTTTTCAAATATACGTTTACAAAAAAAACAAACAAAAAAAAAAGTATTTGGGACACTATATTCTGATACACCCACGCTCCCCTCACATTTGGTGACAATTCACTTCTACACAAAGGGGAAAAACATAATTACTAAAAATAGTTCACATTATAACAAACATAAAGCCTACACACATGCATATAAACAATAGATACATGCACATACATACACAGCAAAGCATATGCTACATCAGATCTTTTACTCTCCCAACCACTGAGACACAGGCACTCACGGTTCATTGCTTTACACTGTGAGTACAAGACAGAGTCAGAGATGAATCACCATTTAAAAGTAGCAGCCAAACATTGTACTTCAGTATTAAACAAGTCAGATAAGACACCAGCTTCCAAAATGTTGTTGCTCCCAAAGAGTCCCAATAAATATACGTAAAGGAGCCAATTTCACCACCAGACCACGACTAATGTTTAACACTGTTCTTTTTTGGGAGATAACGCCTACAGGTAGAGTCGACAGACGTTTCATGTGAAACTAGAGTGCCCTGCAGTTTCGATAGGTGGCAGTTGTTGGCCTTTTACCATGGAAATCTGACAAAGGAGTCGGTTTAGAGTCGCGTACAGCCTCTTATCAGGAACCTGGTCATTTACTTAATTCATTTACCTTGGACTCGCGTCTTTGGAGCGCCCTCTAGCGTTTGACAAACCCGGAAGACAACTTCTGTTCATATCAGACTCCGCTCGACCCGCCCCGGAAATCCCTTTGCCGCCATTTCAGGTACCAGCAGCGTGTTGTTCGTTTTCCGCGCCACATTCATGGGACGTAGCGCCGTTGTTTTCTTTTAAATTTGAGATTGTTTGTCTGTCGTTGTTAGTTTTTTAGTTCAGAGCACAGGTTGGTAAAGCAAAGATGAGCTACGGCCGGCCTCCGCCCGACGTCGAGGGCATGACTTCGCTGAAAGTGGACAACTTGACGTACCGCACGTCGCCCGAGACTCTCCGCCGCGTCTTTGAGAAATACGGCCGCGTCGGGGACGTGTACATCCCGCGGGACCGCTACACCAAGGAGAGCCGCGGCTTCGCCTTCGTCCGTTTCCACGACAAGAGGGACGCGGAGGACGCAATGGACGCGATGGACGGCGCGATCCTGGACGGGCGCGAACTGCGGGTGCAGATGGCGCGCTATGGCCGCCCGCCCGACTCCCTGTACGGCCGCCGCGGAGGCCCACCACGCAGATACGGTGGCTACGGACGGAGAAGTCGCAGGTAAGGGCTCGGCGTTTTAATAAAAAATAAAATAACGTTACTTACTAGTCGTATGCCTTTTCCGACTGGAAAACAGTGGCGTTTAATCTCACTGGCTAACTGTTAAAGGTGCCAAAACGCTGAAAATTAGCTAGCTAACCTAGCTATTATGAAGGCCCTCTGTCTGAGCTCTGCTTCAGTCCTGACCCCTAGCTAGATAGGTTATCTTAGGAAGCTTTGTTTGGCTTCCTATCCGTCAGCGTCTTGAATTTTCGTGTTCCACCTTAAATCCTGCACCATTTAAGGTGGGACGGGAGAATTCGAACAAGAAGCTGGTGAATAGGAAGCCGACTTTAGCCTTGTAGGTTAGATGTTTTAGCGTTTCCATAAACATTCATGTAATATGTAACAATTAGCGTTGGTATAATTGATTGCTAGTTAACCTAGCTTCGATTTTGGGTTTGCTAAGCCGCATTTGCTTTACTTATTAGCAAACTGGAGCGCTATGCATGATCGAGGCCTTCTTGTTTGAGCCCTGCCGTCGACCCCAATGCTAGCTGGTTAGCATTAGCTTGTAACGCCGTGAAAGAGTAGTTATCGAAAGAGTCGTCAGCTGGCCAGTTCCTATAGTCGACCAAAGAAACAGTATTTGCCTAATTAACCCTTCTTTGTGGTGTAAAACGTCTGTAGATACATCATTTTAAGTACTTTTGCTTTTCTAAACATTTATGGCTAAACTAGCCAACTGCTAGTTTGTTTGCTAACTCTACAGGTGTGATGGCTAACAAACAACTCTTGTGGCTTAGCCTAAACTCTGAGCTTGTTTCGTAACTTTGAGCTAAAACTTGTCAGTTTTGTGTATTTTGTTTTCGCTGAGAGTCTGTGGTACCGTTGTTAACTTTTTTGGTTTACCGCTGTCTTGTAGCCGCAGCCCTCGTCGCAGGAGACACAGCCGCTCCAGGAGCAGGAGCCGCTCTCGCTCCCGAAGCAGATCCCGCTACAGCAGGTCGAGGTCCAGATCCAGGTCCTACTCCCGTTCCCGTTCTCGCTCTAAGAGCCGCACGCCACGTCGAAGCAAGTCCAAATCGGCGTCCAGATCCCGCTCGAGATCCAAGTCAAAGTCTCGCTCCAGAAGTCGCAGCCCTCGATCAAACAGGGGGTCCAAGTCGAGATCCAGATCCAGGAGCAGAGCCAAATCTCCAGAGGGGAATGGACCTGCTCAGGAGTCATGAACCCAAGCCTAGGTAAGCAGAGGCAATTAGGTAAACGTGGTGGCCCAGGTTTTTTGTCCATAATCAAGAATTTGTTCCAACTTCAACAGACCTTAACTTGGTAGTTAAATGGTTCAACTTGTTATTGCCAACATTTTATAGTACACTAAATTACTGAAATGCAGTGGATGTTTTCCAAAATAATTGCAAGTCACAATGCACGGTCACTACATATAAGCAGTTTAACAAATGCCACACGAAGTGGGGGAGAATCTCCCATGGACATGCCTAGAATAAGGTGTATTTAAGAATATATATACATAAAAGAAATAGACACCGCTAGGCCAAGCTTTTCAACTTAAATGCCCATTTTTGTCAGGCTGTTATTGGCGGCCTTCTTTGGGGAACAAACACGTTAGTAAGAATATGAAGGAATGCATGATTTAGATGTCTTTTAATGCATATCCTGTAACTGGTGTGGAGCAGCTGAAGGTAAAGCAGTAAGTATTTCTTTATTTGAAAACAATGGATTTTGGGTGGTAAATCTTTCATCTAAATGTGGAATTCTTTCCTCCAAGCTGCTGATTCCTGTTTGCAAAAGAGGAGTTTGGGGGCAGTTTGAGAGCAGTTAGTGTGTGATCCGACCATTGGCTGCCTGCTGCTGGTTGGCGGTTGCTATGGAGCAGGTCGGTCTCATTGAGTGTTGAGGTGGTGTTGAGGTACGTTCGAAGGACTATGGACTGAGGCCTTTTTCATCATCCTTCTCATACGCCCATGTCTATCAGTGCATAGACAAAAGCAGGACGGAAAGGGGGTGGTTTCTTAAAGCTTGTTTAAGGAGTCAGCAACAGGCATTTATTGACAGTCCAGTTTATTTTTTGTTCCAGTGAAAGTATTAGGCAGTAATTTGCTAACATAGTACTTTGCATGTTGCTATGCTGACATCTTAAAGTTGCTTTTGGAAATGCATACCCCACCCCCAGGTTTGTTGGTTTATTTACTTGAGGTTGCCCGACACCAATTGAGGTGTACGCATAAACTTATGCAACTTGCCAGAGGCTTGTTGCTCTGTAGACAAGTGTGGAAGTAATCTGTTTATTTTTTTATTGAAGGTCACCAAAAGTGAGCATTGCTTAACAAGCAACTGTCACTTTTATGGAGATGTACAAGCCACAATTTGCTTGTATAACTGAAATATCACCTACTTCTAAGTTCTTTAAAGCTCACTAACTCTCTTCTTTCCTAGATAATCTCAGATGATTGAGACTACAGAGAGCATCGCTTCAAATGGAGTCCATCTGCGGATTTCTAAATTCACCTGATCAGATCGAAAGGTTATTGTAACTTGGTCTACATCTTTTAAATGATTTTTTTTTCTTTCAGTTGTCCAGAATTTTCTGTATCAAATTTTTTGAAGTTTGTGATCATATTGAATATTTACATATAAATGGGATACTTAGGTGAAAACGTTTTTCATTTCTTGCTAGTTTTTTGCATTTGTTTAGTACTTCATGTAATTGAATCTCCCAGACAATAAAGTAAGTTCTTTTTAATCACAACTCCTTAATCCTTTTCTTCAACACCTTGTGTATTCAAGTCTTGGATATAGTAAATGAGTTCATCTTTGACTTTACTGTGTAGGCAAATTTTGGCCAAGTATTGAACTTTAACATATGCAAGCCAATCAAAATTGATTTGGACAAAAATTAAATACTTGTCATGTAAAGTCATACTTTTGTGGTTGCTGAGCAAACATGTTTCTTTTGTGTGTGGTACTTGCTAAGTTCACAGAATTGTGATTTCTAATATTCTCTCTTGTGTATCTTTTGTGCACTAGGCGCAGTTGCGCAGCAGTTGAGTATTGCTGGTTAGCTGTTAAGGTGGCGTGTTGCAGTGCAGAGTGCTTGGCTGTTTCCAGTATTCTCCTGATTGCTCCTGTGTAACGGCTTGATTTGGCGGTTTTTAAGCTACAGCAGATCGTCTTTTTGTAGAATGATCCTATTCAGGTCTTTCTGTGGGGGGGAAACCTTTTTGTTTGACAAATCTTGAGTCTGACGCACATTGGGAGGGAGCATACCATTTATCACACTTTCAATAGCAACATTTGTCTATCTGTGGAAGAAATACTTAATTGTAAGTTCCATGTGAATGCTAATAAATTTTTTTGTTAATGCTTAAGTGTAGCTGTAATTCTTTAATGAAAGAACACGTGAGCTTGTAGTCGAGTACATTTAACACATTTCACTCGCTACAGGTGTCAATTGTGGCTTGGATTTTTATTTTTTTATTTTTTTAGGAATATAGTTGTGGCAAAGAAACCCATAGTGAGATACCACTCAAACGAAAATGAACGTCTGTACTTCAAGGGGGAATTGCACTGATTTATTTCTGAAGCTACTTTAATTGCCAACTCAAAGGACCAGTGAACCAACATGTCTTAGGAGCTTTCAAATGCATTGTTGGTAGTGGTGAAATAGTGGTAGATGTGAAATACTCTTTTTGGTGTATTATGTACCTGCATGTACCTTTTTGCCAAGAAAGGCTTTAAAAAAAATCCCAAATCTAATCAAAACAATGTTTTAGGCATTAGATAATGTATTTGTTGTATTGAATAGATTTTACAGGCATTATACTCGTGTTTGAAACCAATGTGGACAATTGTGACTCAGTAAGTATCTAGAACAGAGCATTTCACATAGTCTGACAGTTTACATCATATCACTGAATTACACTCTGATGGTTCTTAAAGGGTCTTTAAGTAAAGGTTCTATATAGAACCATGAACACTAAAACAACTCTGCTGATTAAAGGGTTCTTCAGAATGTGGTGTAGATGGTTCTATGTAGCACTAAAAAGGGTTCTATTACAATGTCAAGCTTGTAACAAAAACAGTACCCTTTTTAAAAAGGTTCTATATAGAACCATTTACAGCACTTTCATCAATCTTTTATGATGCAAAGAACCCTTTATTCTTGCAAAGGTTTTTGAGTGTTCATGGTTCTATATAGGTCCGTTTTCTTTACCAGAGAACCCCTGAAGAACCATCATTTTTGTGTGTAGGTAAACGTCTTAAAAATGATGCAAATCCCCTTTAACGTGTAACAGGTTCTTGGACGCAGTAAGAGGTCTGGAAAGTACAAACATTTGAAACTCAACTGGGAAACATACCACGATTAGGGATCTTGATATGCGTGGGGTTCTATTATTACGATGTCAAGGTTGTAACAATAGAAGAACCCTCTGTGGTGCTATATAGAATCATATCCAACATATTCTCCGACAGTCGGAGGGACTATTTCACAATGCAAAGCACCATTTACGCATGAGATGGTTATAAATAGCACTTATGGTTCTAAATAGAACCATTACCTTTACTGAAGAACCATATTTTTAAGTGTGTAACGACATTTACAAGAAGTATAGCATAACATGGGAAGTCTGATCTTGAAAATGTGTGGATTAAAAGAGGAAGAACCTTCGGACCGAGTCGAGAGAACTGTGGGCTGCGTAGCAATAACGCAGACAACGGCACAGTTACGCTCATCCTGACACAAATTAGGTATGAGCGATATGTGTATGACCTGAATTAGCCAGACATCCATTATAATAAGTCAAAACTGTTAACGAATTTTATTGCTAGCAGGCGTTAAACTGCGCGCACACATCTTGTATAGTAGCCACGGAAAAGCATTGCCAATAGAATGGGACACTGGAGCAGCTAGATGGGTATAAGGCCTCCAGCGCTGGGCTGTGGAGCGGTGGAACCGCGTTCTTTGGACCGATGGATCGCCATCCAGAACGTTTGGGACGAGCAGGAGTGGCGTTTGTGATCCAGAACTAATCATTCAGCATCCGTACCTGATCTCACTAATGCTCTTGTGGCTAAATGCAAGCAAATCCTCACAGCAATGCTATAACCTCTAGCCTTGCCAGATGCTGTTACTACAGCGAACAAACCCCGTATTATTACCCTTGATTTCCGAAGAAACTTTTGGACATTTAGGGCCGGTTTTCCAAACATGGATTAAGACTAGTTTTTAACTAAACTACTGTGCAAACAGTGATTTGCAACTAAAAAGTCTTTCCAGTCTAAGTTTAGGATTGATAAATTGGCCCCTGGCGTCTGTATAAACTTGACTGGCTATGCTGCGCTGCTGCGTTCAAAAACGCAGGTTTACATATTGCACATACGCGTAGTTAGGTCCCAGTGCCTGCGCAAAAGCCCCGCTGAAAGTAGTGCCCAACCACACAGTAGGATTTAGAGCTCAATACCGTCCAGCTAGTGGTAGCACTGTTTTCCCTTTCTTATCCAAACGGGGTCTTAAAACGGCGTGTGGGAGCTTTTACTTTACCAGTTTCTGCTTAAAGACTGCTTATAACGACGGCTACACGAGACAACTGCAGACAGACGCCCAAATATTCATCAGAAGAAGCTCGATGTAAACAAGAGACCAGCGGCTACAAAGTACACACAGGACATCATGGACCCGCCTGTGGACGGGTGGGTCGTCCTGCCTGCAGTCCTGTTCACACTGTTCGCTGTGATCGTAGCAACTGTTGTGTTGAGGAAAAACGAGCGTCCTGCACCCTCGACATCCACCCCGAAGAGCAGAGACGTTTCGGAGAACACACACGAGGAATGTGAGCTGTCGAGGCCGCTAGAGGCGCTCGGACACAGCAGAGGAGAGAGAGAGATAAACACCGAGCGCTCACAGGTAGGCTGGACCTCATGGGGTGTAACTGTGTGTAGGTTAAGTAGCTAAAGTCGGCTTATTGGCATCATGGTAGACACTTCTGTTGGTCTGATATGCTGATCACTTAATTGGCTTGTCTTCACCTCGTAACTAACCGTAGGAAAGGCATATTTATATTCATAAATATGAAGATCTGTATTTAAAGGGGGGAATTCTCCTGGTTTATCTCTAAAACCACTTTAATTACTATCCCAAACGACCAGTGAAACAACATGTGTCTTGTGAGCTTTTATGTTTGTTGTTGGTGGTGTTGAAGTAGCGATAAATGTGGAAAATTATTTTTGGTGTATTATGTACCTGAATGGAACTCGCTGCCATGAAAGGTGTTTTAAAAATCCAGCAAAAACCTAGTTGTAATGTTTGAGACACTAGGTGATGTATTTATAACCATTTCATTCAATTTCAATAAATTTTAGAGCAAAGTGAAGTATTACCTACCCGGTATTAGTTTAGTGTTCCTAATAAAGTGCTTGGTGATCGTATATGACATTTGACCAAAAAAAGACATTTTCATAGTAAACGATTTAGAAGACACTTTCTAAGAAACGAGCCTGCTGTATTTGGATGTTTTTAGTGCATTGTAACTGGCCAAAGGCTGCCAGATTCCAGATTGTTTCCCTTTTTACAAGTTAATAACTAAACTGACCTCCCCTCTCTGCCCACAGAACCATGTATATTGTCAGGAACAGCTCTCAAGCAAAGGCAATGAATCACAGTCCGCAGCTCACACAGACCGGGACCTTGATGAGAAGCCTTATAAATCACAGCAAACGTTTGTTGGCAATAAATGTGAAACTGCTGTTGCAGGGAGTGATGAGTCTGCGAGCTTTCCCTCAGGTACATTTATTTTTTTTCACAAATTAATGTCCAGATCTGAAATGTTATATTTCCCTTGGTCCATATGTTCTGAGCTTGCTTCAGCAGAAATGAAATTTTTCACTTGGGGTTTAATGTCATGTACTTAATCATTTAATTTATCATATTAAACTAAGAACATTTTAACAAAATAGTAGAAATAGAAGAAAATCAAATGTTGATTCTGAATAAAACAATGAAAATTACATATAATTGATAAAAATAAAAATGAGTTCTGTTAGATGTTTACCTAAGATAGAAACTTATCACTTTAGACCTTTTAGAAATTTGTATGCCATTTTCTTTTATTATGCTAAATATAGTTATAGGACATGAATGGGTTAATTAGCCTATATGACAAGATGCTGAGTCCCTGATTTTTGATTAATTTTTTTTTTTGTGTGCCGTAGCTAGGTTATTCAATTTTTCACAGCTAGGGATACAATTGGGATTTGTTTTTTTCCTTTTGAAATGTAAAGAAATATATAATATTTGTAAAATTTATATATGTATGTTTTACAGTCAAAAAAAGAGTTCATGAGGAGAAGCCCCTGAAGTACATGCCTGGAATGCTGCGAACAAGCCAGCTTGAGAAGATGATGAGTAAAGAAGAGCTGGAGGAGGAACGGAGGTAATAGCTAAATGATAATAATATAATAATTTACAGCTAAATAGGTAAATCTCTTTTTCTGGGTTAAGTATGTGCATGATCTTATGCAGGAGCATTAGAGGCTCAGTCTGGGTTGGCAGTATGTAAAACTTGGTTGATAAGATGTGATTATGTAGTGGCATGATGAAAGTAGGCTTAATGTACAGCACCAACACAGCAAACTGTCATGTGAATAAAAACTCTGTATTCTAGTTGTGATTCAGATTTGAATAGTTGTGCATTTAAATACTGCATTATAAATCTGTCTAATCACTTATAATATCTGTAGCAGAGCCTCCTTGAGATGATTATATACCAGGTATGTTAAAAAAAAAAGTTCGGTATTGCGTAGTTGAAGTGCTAATAAGTTGCTAGGGGGACTAATTAATTATTAACTAAATGAATAATAAATAATAAATTAATAATAAAAATTTAATTATATTGTTTGACTCCATACATAAAAATTCACAGCGCCTTCTAAGAAGAAAATTAAGTTTACATTTAACCAGTTCAGGTTTAACAGGAATAGATTTACTAAAGGCAGTTTACCAAATCAGAGGCAAGCATATTAAGTGCCATGGAAGATCTAAATTGAGTCTCAGTCTAGCTGTTTGAACAATTGAGTGAGTTGTTGAAAAATAGTGGCATAGCAGCTCCCATAACCAAGAGATATTCAAATTCAAAGTATTTTGACAGAAAATAAAATAAGTCAGGGTCATAATCAGGGAGCATATACAGAATCAAATGTTTTATTTCCTGTGATGTGCAGTTTGTTTAGAAATATCTGAACTTGTATTAAGTGTTGTAGCATCAGCGTGGAAGAAGACGCGGAAAACATCACACATATTGGACAGGCACTTAGACAGCGAGTCTTTACAAAGACAGAAAATACCCAGCCCAGTGTTACTCCAGCATGAAATATGGGGACGGGACAATGCGAGAGGACACAACACACTAGACACTTCAAATGTAGACACTTCAAAGCCCACCATCCTCTGACCTAACTACTCCAATAGCTCAATTACTCTAACAGAATCAGCTACCTCAGCAACAGCAGCAAAAATAATTGTCCTTTTAACCCGGGAATGTGGCGCCTTCTGAGAGCCACTTTGCAGAGCCACACCCCCCAAGCTCCTCTAATCGCTACAGTTATATTTTGATTCCTAGTAGAAATAATTAAGACGCTATTGGCTTTGTTCCCTTCTGTGGAAAATGCTGCTAGACTCCTGTAATAATGCAACATCTGTTTTTTTTTCCTGTGAAATATATCAAGACAGCATTTTGTGACATGTTCACTTTTATAAACACATTCTCACTGATTGACAGTGTCAATTCTGGTGCACTCTTTTGTAAAACTCCACTTACAGATCTGCACATCAGCACAGTTCTGATTGGGAACACACACCACTTTTCATCATGAACATGAGTTCAGCAATCAGAACTGAGTGTGCTAATAAAAAACCACACCTTACCAGTGTAAACACAATTTACCACAATTATGCTCTCAGCTCCTCTTACTGTTTGAGATGTAGAAAGTCATATATTGACTCAGGGAAACAAACATTGGAGCAAGAAAAACAGAGAGGAGAAGAGGCAAAGGATGAGTAAGGCAAATAAATCCTTATACTGAGCAGGGAGGAAAGCCTTATGAAGTTCAGACATGATCTCTTTTCAGTATTTATGGCAGGATTCTCATTGGTCACATGTTTTCGATCTTTGTGATATTCAAGAGCTCAGCTGAAGAGTACAAGTCTTTATATTCTGTACACGTCTAAGGACCATGTCTCCTTTTATATAAACATCTAATTTGTCTGATGAACAGAGAGGGATCTTCTTTCCCTTTTCTCAGAGTGTCGCCATTTCCAAGCCGGGCTAGCAGGAGTGAGTGGGGGTGTGGACATTCTTTGTGTGACACTAAGACACACCTTAGCCATACAGCTTAGAAAGCTAAATGCTCAACACCCCACCTTACCTATACTTCAGTGTGTCATATTAGTCCACACATAATTACATGCGTCAACATTAAATGTTGAGTCTGTACACACTGACAAAACACGAACACAGAAATGGGCAAAACGAACATTGTAAATTGCATTTAAAAGCAGTGTATACTCATTTTCAGAATAAATAATGAACAATAAATTATAGCATGTTTTTATATATATATATATATATATATATATATATATATATATATATATATATATATATATGTGATATGCAAATCATGTAAACCATATTTTTTAAAAGAAAATATTACAAAGACAACATAGCAAATATTGAAACTGAAAAATGTTATTGTTTTTTGAAAAATATATGCCCACTTTAAATTTTTAAATTTGATGCCGACAACACGTTCCAAAAAAGTTGGGACGGGGGCATGTTGAAGACAGGGGCATGTTGGAGACACTGCTGTAATTTTGAAAGTTACATATTTTCCCATTCTTATTTGATACAGGATTTCAGCTGCTCAACAGTTTGGGGTCTCCTTTGTCGTATATTTCATTTCATAATGTGCCAAATGTTTTCAGTGGTGACAGGTCTGGACTGCAGTCAGGTCAGTTTAGCACCAGAACTCTTTTAATACAAACCCATGCTGTTGTAACATGTGCAGAATGTGGTTTGGCATTGTCTTGCTGAAATAAGCAAGGCCTTCCCTGTAAATAACAACATCTGGATGGCAATATATGTTGCCAAAACATGTATATCTCGTTCAGCATGAATGGCGCCTTTACAGATGTGCATGTCACCAATACCAGGTGCACTAATGCGCCCCCATACCATCATGAATACTGGCTTTTGAACTGTGCACTGATAACAAGCTGAGTGGTCTTTAGCCCGGAGGACACAGTGTCCATGACTTCTAAAAAGAATTTTAAATGTTGACTTGTCAGACCCCAGAACACTTTTCCACTTCCCCTCAGTCCATTTTAAATGAGCTTGGGCCCAGAGAAGGTGGCAGCATTTCTGGATCCTGTTTATGTACAGTGTCTTCTTTGTGTTTTAGAGTTTTAACTTGCATTTGTGGATGCAGCGATGAACTGCTTTTACAGACAGTGGTTTTCAGAAGTGTTTCTGAGTCCATGTAGTGATTTCCTCTACAGAATCATGTCTGTTTTTAAAGCAGTGCTGCCTGAGGGCTCAAAGATCACAGACAGCAAATACTGGTTTTTGGCCTTGTCCCTTGCATACAGAGATTTCTCCAGAATCTCTGAATCTTTTAATGTTATTATGTACTGTAGATGATGAAAAGCAAAAGGTCTTTGCTATTTTATGTTGAGAAACGTTATTCTTGAATTGTTGCATTATTTGATCATGCAGTCTTTCACAGAGTGGTGATCCCCTCCTCATTTTTACTTCTGAAAGTCTCAGCCTCTCTGGGATGCTTTTTTATACCCAGTCATGTTACTGACCTGTTATCAAACAACGACCAGGTGTTTTTTTTAGCATTACACAACCTTACCAGCCTTTTGTCGTCCCAGTCCCAACTTTTTTGGAACATGTTGTTGGCATCAAATTCAAAATGGCCATATTATTTTCAAAAAACAATAAAACATTTCAGTTTCAACATTTAATATGTTGTCTTTACTTTTGCACCCTACGATACTTTAACTCCTCCGTCCTTCTAGTCTTAAAACCAATCAGTTACGGCTGTGGTCCTTCCAGTAAACGCTGTTCCCAAAGATGTGAAACAGTGAAACATGATTAACTTGGCAGTGAATGGGAAAAAATATATCAGATGCATGTCTGTGTGATCTCTGTGATTTTTAATTCAGCAGAGAAAAGGAGAGTGTGTTTTCTCCAGACATCTTTGCTTTCTTTTTCTGCATGGTGGGTGTATCTTTCAACAAGCACCCAAATGGAGTGAAGTCGTATTTACTAGCTAACCATCTGGTACGTGCAGTCTTCCGATAAGCACCCTCACGCAGCATAACATTCACACAAGCAACTACCCAAACACATCTTAGCTGTCTTACAGATTTCTTTCTAATGTGCATCTAAAATAGCAAAAGTATTTGTAAAGAGATTATATACAAAATGGGGAGAGAATAAGAAAAACCATGAAAACTATTCTCATTTATTAAATCACCAGTTTACGAATTATTGTTTCAGAACAATAGACTGACCATCCCAGAGTCCAGACATCAACCTCAATAAATGTGGTTGAGATTAAAGAGGAAAAGAGAGAAAAACTCTCCAAACTAAGGCACTCCTTAATTTAAAATGTCTTTTTTGTATTGACAAACTCAGCTGGACTGTTAAAAAAATTGCCCTTGCATGAAGAAGGCATGAGCTGCAAAGAGTGAACAGAGTATAAAATTCATATCATATTTAGTTGTTGAGGCTTCTGTGTAATTTTCCATTAAATATATGTTTTGCTGTGTCAAGCAGTTGGGACACAATTGCATTTTTGAAAATTGCGTTCTGCCACGTGCACAATTTCTGTTTTACTCCATAATTGATGTATAAACTCCTTAATCCTCTGTACTTTGAGACACTGACTAATTTGATTACCTTGCAATTATCAAATTATAACTTATTATTATGACTATGTACACTGAATTGCTATGTTATTAGTCACAGCTTTTTTCTACCTAAACTCATTGGACATTTCATCAGTTACACGTGTCACAGGTACCCATACTGCACAATTTATCAGCTGTCTTTTATATTGTCAGTCAGTGGAAAGGGCCCAACATAAGACCACCAGTGACGAGATGCTATTAGTGAGGTGGAACATTCTCACCACATTAGGATGGTAGAGGTTTGATAGTGTGTATTGCTCTGGTACGACTGTTCAGATGCAGCAGCATTACTGGGGCTTTAAAGCACCTCAGCAAACTGGGTCAAGAATAGTTCACCAACCAAAATTATCCATTCATCAGAAACTGACTACTGATGAAAGGTTAAAGGACAACTGACACAAATTTAGCATAGAAAAAGATGAGCTACTGTCTCTGACTGTACACCTACAAGGCTCATCAACGAGATAGTGGCCAGCAAGCATCCAGTACACATTAGTGCTGTGCCTGATAAACGTATGTTTGTCTGCAGTGGGGTAGAGGGTAGCTGACAAATTATGCAGTAACAGATGGTACTCAATAAAGTGTCAACTCAGTGTACTTAGTGGTGTTCAACATCTGAAAGAGGTAACACTTATTCTGTTGAACTGGCTGTTACTCATGTTTACAATACTTGAACACGTGCACAATAGAAGACAATGTACATATACACTATGATCATAGAGTGTGAAGATTGTAGAAGATTTAATAAGCAATTCAATTAATTATTATTGATTTTAGTATCAAATGGAAGAAAGGGTTAACACGGGGAACTTGCTCCGGTCTAATGTCAGTATTTACAGATACACAAAGGATGGTTTCAATCAAATGCTGTATTAATTGTCTAAATAGTGATTACAAATGAATAAGGCACCTAAACATATTGGGTCAATACAAGAAAAGAACAAAAACCAAAAGGGAAGAACAGAAGAGGTAGACAAACGGGACTAGAACAAACTAAACCAGGAATCCTGCAACGGGGCATTTAAAAGAGGGAATCTAAACCTCGTTAACTGAGCGGCGTCGGATTCTGAACATATAAAAGAAACCACTGCCTTACTGTGCCAAAGAACTCATATGGAGCCCATTTGCGTCGAAGTGAACCCTGCCCCGGTGGATGGCCTCTCTCTTGTTGCACCTGGTTGTGGCTCTAATAATTTCTTGACAGCTTTCCTGCGTGGGCGGCGGGACGCCTGCAGGTTCTCAGTGGTGAGGGGCCAGCAGCAAAGCATGGCTGTTCTTAACGGTGACAGCAAAGCCCACCGTCAGGGTTTACCTTTCCTGAACATGGCGGGGTTAACTCCAGGGAAAAGACAGGAGAAGGATTTTTATCTCTGGCCCAGTCCCCTCCCTGGAAAGAGCCATGGGACGTTTAGCTACTTTTTAATCCTGCAGTTTTTTGCTCAGTGCAAGAAATAAGGCGTGGGCTCTCGCAAGAAGAAATGTTGACAGAGACCAATGGCTTACCTTCAGGCAGCTATGGAATGAATGTACTTCCTACATCAGAAAGGCTAAAGCAGACTTTTACCTTCAGATATTTACAAATTCAGCTTCAGACTCTCAGATTCTGGAAGACAGTTAATTTGGTCAAAAACAAATCGGTGCCTATTCCAACCCATATTTTAGTTAATCATCAACAGATTTCTGATCACAGAGAGCTCTGCCAAGCATTTAATACTCGCTTTGCAGCTGCTGGACATTTATTTGATAATACTAATACGGAAGTGCCTTTCAATGAAAAAGATAAACCACCTGCTGTAAAACATGGTCTCTTTATATTCTCTCCTTTCTCTCTCTTTCACTTAGTAGCCAAAGCCCTTAACACCATTAACACACAAAAAAAAGTACAGGAGAGGATAGTTTGGACCCCTTTTACCTGAAGCTTGCGACCCTGATCATTCTTTTAATGCCCTACAATCGCCTTTTTGCGATCATAAACTAGCCTTAAATGTCGAGAAAACTAAATTGATGCTGTTTTCTAGAGGCTCTAACATTGATTTTAACACTTTAAAAATCACAACCCTGAAGGGATCTCACATTGAAAGAGTTAGTGGGTACAGATTCCTTGGCATATGGCTAGATGACATGCACTTTTAAATACCATGTTAACAAGCTTACATGTAAACGGAGGCAAAAACTTCGCTTCCTGTATTGATACAAAGTATATTTTCAGGTGCACACAAGGAAAAAGATTGTTGAAACAGTGCCATTGTCCGCTCTGGATTATGGTGATGTGATATACAGATCTGCAACTACTCCGAAACCTCTAGACTCTGTATACCACTCTGCCGTAAGATTCATTACTGGTGACCCATACAATGCCCATGACTATGAACTATATAAAAAGGTTAGCTGGTCATCTCTGGCTTTGTGTCAGGAGATACATTGGCTTCTTTTTACATATAAAGCACTTACTAGTTATATGAATCACAAATCACAAAAATGCTCAGTGTAAATAATGCATTTTTCCAGACTCCTTTCAGAGAACCTTTACTGAACTGGGAAAATCTGCTTCTAGCTACAGTGCACCAGCGAGCTGGAATTTTCTATAGGAAACTCTAAAGCTTCGCTCGCTGGTGTCACATGAACATTTTAAGCTTTTAGTCTCTAACCTCCTCCACTCAGCCTGCAACTGTTTTATGTGATTTTAGTTAACTTTTAATATGACTTTGGTATGTTTTAGTTATCATGCCACTTTTATTATTCTGTTTATTTACTTTTTTATCACCTTTTTCTTCTTAGCTACTGATACATTTTTTATATTTTCTATTCCTTTATTTATTTCATTAACTATGTTTATTTTGTTGTACCCTTATTTATCATTTATTTTACAAGTTATTGTATTGTTGCAGTTTTGATTTATTTGTTTTTTATTATTATTATTAAATGTACTATTGTGATTATTACTTTTTTTAGCATTTAATATGTTTTTACAATCCATTTTTTTCAGTTCTGGATTTCTGGATTGGCTCAGCTACATTGTAGATGATTGTCTGGTGTCTGGTCTAACTAGATATTCACTGTCTGCTATCCTGATTGGCTAAGTTTACTGAACAACTCAACTCAGTTGTCATAGAGAACTCCATTATTTCTTCATTTTGGGTTAAATCTAGATTAATCAGCAGAATTAAATGAGAGGTATCATGGTCAACACATTTCAGCTACATTGCTAGTTTAAGTGCCATTCTGAAACAGTAAATAAGTGAAGATCACGAGACACACAAAAGAAAAACACTTGGCTGTACATCTCCTGACAGGGCATTAAAACAGAATGCTTTAACTGGGGTCCCATTTGGATGTGACAGAAGATCTTAATGAAATAAACATACATTGACACTAGTGTCTGGGTACTAGCCCAAGGTACAAAACATTAATTCCTTACACAATTAGGTCGTAAGGCTTTTAATGTGATTTCTGCACACTAACTTAATCAAGAACATTCAGAGTAAGCATACTAATTCCATATCTAAGCTAAATAACAACATCACTGAAAAGGGACAAAACACACAAGCAATTACATGAGGAGTGAGGTTGATTGTTGTCAACTCAATCACAAGAGAAAATAAAGAAAACTTACAAGAGGATTTCGGCCACATAATTCATTTAAAAAACAGTATTCAGAGTAGAAACCCAGTAGCTTCTGATGATCAGCCAGTTTTCAATAATGATTATTTAACCATTGTGTAAATTAATCATTGAAAATAATTCTTTGTCTGGGAAGTTGGATGTGTAACACTTCCTGATGTGGGCATTAGGAGGCACTGTTGGTCTATGGTAGAAACAGTTCCTGATGCGAGTTATCGCAGAACTTTGTGGCTTATGTCAGTTAAGAATAAGGGAAGTTTTGGTATCTCACTGTCGTAAAATCGTGACTCTGCAGGCCGAAGTTCTGCATTCTTGTTTCTGTACTGTAACTGTGAAGAGTGTTTGATGTTGCAGTGATTGTCCACAGTTGAGAGAGCTCCTTTGTGCCAAAATTCACCTTAAATCCGCTGTCTTCACTTCAATTTGTTTCTTTTCAGAGTTCAACAGGAGCAGTTAGCCGCTATCTTCAAGCTGCTAAAGGAAAACCAGGATACATTTGGTGAGGTGACGGAGAAAGACATGGAGGAACAGCTCAAGCTTTACTCCATCTGAAAAAGACTGGACTGAACTTGCAGCAAGAAGGGACAGGAGAGAAGGGACGTACGCCATGCCGGGTTAACCCTAAATAATCAGTGTCACTGCTCAAAAATGAGGAAAAATCGATCGAATACTTGAAAATGATTCCATCTGTCATGATTTTGAACATGAACCACAACTGCAAAATTCTAAAGGCCATTGTATTTAGACGAGTTTATTTCAGCTTCAAGCTGTTCTACAGCATTTTTTATGCAACTTGTTTTCCAACTTTACTTACATTTTTGTTTGTTTTGATAGATTGTTAGATCCTTAGCTCTGATTGTATATTAAGGGAACACTCCAGCCAAAATGAAAAATGTATCTTTTGCTACATCTGTTGTAAATATGCCAACTCGCATTCTACAGTGGTGCCACAGTAGTCTCTAGTGTGAGATTTTCTGGTTTTAAAAAAATGTCTCTTGAAGGCAGGAAGAAAAATTAAAAACACCTGCTATTGCTTTGGGGTGGATTTTTGTGAGAAATGTCTTTTTTCCCCCCCAAGCTGATGAATGTAAGGAAGACCACTAACATTACTGCTAGAAGCCAAATATCCTCTTGCAGCCATGTAACTTCTTCAAATTGTTATTATAATAGAGACAATGAATATACTCAAATGACAGGAATGGCTTGTCATTTGAAGAGGACGTAACGTTAAAAGCTAAGGTCAGCAAGGTAGGTACCTGGATATCTAGATATCTTTCCTCAGTTTGACTTCCTTTCTCTGGCTGAAAGGGTGAAAACTCTGGTGTCTTACTTTGTGCTGCATATATATAGAATTGACAACTGAGGTATGTTTTACACCAAAGCTAGCTTGGCTGTATTTGTTAGCTTGTAGATCAGTGGCTAGGCTAGCAGTCAGGATTGGTTTACACAAGGATTTCCAATGGTTGTATGATGTATTTGTGTAATTTATGCTGTACTGTATTGAAGGAATAGTGATGAATGATTGATGAAACGATATAAAACACAAATGGACGAGGCTGAGGAATCCAATTTTGTGCTACAGAGTAACATGACAATTAACATATTAAACTCTATGTTTAGGGCAGAATGCCCCTTAAAGTTATTGCAGTAGTCTACAAGGAATAAACAAAGCAACAAACAAAAACACTGCAGAGGAAGCTTTTACACAGTCCGTCCTGATACAAAAGTATTAACAATGTTCACAACATTTATCTGCAGTAATTCCTAAATATGAGTGATACATTATGCATAAATCTGCAACATAAATAGTCTTTGTTGAGTTTGAACAGCAATTTCAATGGACTCCAAATAAAGAATTTGTCAACTTTGGTTTGGTTTCCTTTTCTTTGCATTCTGCATAGAATATGTAAAAACTCTATGTTTATGTTCAATGCATACTAATTTGTATGCATACATATTTACTAGGCTTAGTAAACCTGACGAAGTGTTCAACTTTACTGATGGGTAATCTAGAGTGTCACACAAATCACAAGTGAAAAGCACATGTTCTTCAATGCCGCACTACAAATTTGCATTGGCTAAGTCCAGCCCTGTGGAGAGTCTAATACAAGTCAAACATCACACTCATATAAATTCAAAGACGCCAGACAGGAAAGCAGTCAGTCATGAACCATGCGGAAAGTTTTGCCTCTTATTGTTTCCTTGCTTTGCTGTGCCTTTTTCTATGTGCTCATTTGGAATAAGATCCAAGGAACATGGACTGGGTAAGTTTATCTTCACAACTTTAAAATATGAAGAAGGTGAAATAAGACTCAGCTGCTACAAAGCTTGGGTATCAGATGGAATCTGAATGTGTAGCTGTAATAGAGACGTGTGTTTGGTAAATCATTACAGAATGATTTCTTAATTACTTCTTTTCTGTTACAGCCCCAAAGAACTGTACTATGTTGCATCGAAGTCAGGATTCTTTTGGAGGGACAGGAATGAGACCACTGAAAATGTGACACCAGCTATTAGGACTCCTTCTCTGAATTTGTCATCAGGAAAAACTACAAAAAGCACTGTGAAAGAAGACGTTTTGGATTCTTTTCATCATGTAAAATCGCATCAAGAAGCACCTTTAGGCAACCACAATCTCACCACCAGTGTAACCACTCTTCCAGTCCTTTATAAGAAAGATTTTAAAAAACTTCCAGAGTGGGACTTTGAGGATGTTTACACGCGGAATAATGAAGAAAGACATCCAGTAAGACTTACTTTCTTTCAGCACTTTGAATCTATGGAAAAATAGTAAATAGTATTAGCAAAATAGTGTCTGAATTTTGTATACAGGGTGAGTCAAAAGTCAGTCAAGCTTTATAGATGTTAGATTCATCTTATTTTTACAGTGTCAGATTCACTGTGCCTGTTTGCTTTTGGGGACGTTCCGGTAAAAGAGATTTTAATCTGAGTTTTTTCTGGTTTCCTCTTGTACTTCTCACATATATAACACACTGGTGTAATTCATAATGGTAATGATAAGAACAGTGTAACATTGCGCTTTTTATGAACATTTGGGTCGCACCTTGTTTTTGACCCTGTAGTTAACAGCTATGTGAGATCATGAATGGCTCTGTTTTTGAAGGTTTGTTCAAAGTCTCTTCAGAAGTCCAAAGATAAAGAGTTTCAGGCAGCGATTATCCCGAACATCCAGCTTTGGCTGCACAAGGGTCACCTCAATGTCAGTGAGTGGAATCGACTGTCGCATTTCAACAACCCCTTTGGATTTATGGAATATAAGTATAATGGTGAGTACGTTGGGGAAACCTCCTCTCACCTTTTCACACAGTTGTGATCTATGAAGTTGATACAATGTCTTACTGTCTTTTACAGCTTCTGTTTGTTAAAGAGGTGGAGTCATTGTGCAAATAGAGTGGTTCCTTGGAGTATGATCACCCATACATTAGTGCACTTATCTAAAATCAGCAATGCGCTAACAATGTGGTCTAGCTTCTTTTTTTCATCTGTTACGTGTTACTCATATGACCTCTGACTGAAAAATATGGTACTTGGCCAATTGTTGTCTTTATGTTTTCCTTGAAGATGTAAATTCGTCAGTAGGTTTGATCCCAAAGCCAAAGTTCACACAGCTATTACCAGTACCTGAAAATGCACATGATGGATGTGTTCGCTGTGCTGTGGTGGGCACTGGGGGCATTCTCAATGGCTCAAGAAAGGGCAAAGAGATTGATTCCCATCATTATGTGTTTCGGTGAGAATACCTTTCCTTTTTATCTTCATGTTGCCTGTAAGTACTTTTTTGTCCACACTTACCTTTGAACTTTCTTGGTTGGTGGTGGTAGTTCCTTTATGAGTGACCTACAGTTGGGGGGAACAAGTATTCAGACACTTTTGTTTTTGTCATTTGATATATTTCCAGTGCACTTCAAATTCACACACAAAATGTCCTTTGGCATAAAATATGTATTTATAAGAGCAACGATAAAAATAATTAGAAGCTAAATTCATAGGGAAAGAAGTACTCAGATAACACAAATTAAAAGCATTAGTACTTTGCCGCAAAGCCATTGTTACAGCTTTCAGACATCTATGGTAAAAAGCAGTTAGCTTTTTGCCACATTTCAGTCCATTATTGAACTATTCCTCATGGCAAACCTTAAATTAAAAAAAGTTACGAGGGTCCCTCTGATAGACTTGCTCCATAAATTTTCAGTAGGATTCAAGTCGGCAGATTGGCTAGGCCCCTCCACCTTTGTTCTTTTAGGCACCAGTCTTCAGTTGCTTTGGCTATATATTTGGGGTCATTGTCTTGTTGAAATCTTTTCCACAGATTATTTTTTTTGGGATGAGATTAAATTCTCCTCTAATATGTCCTGGTACATCACTCAATTCATGTTTCCTTTGAAGATCTATAATGTCCCAGTAGTGTTTGCAGAAAAGCAGCCTCGTATCATGATGCTCCCACCTCTGCACTTCACTGTAGGTGTTCTTGGGATCATACACACAACCCCTCTTTTTCGAACATGCTGAGCTGAGTTATTGCTAAAGAGTTCTATTGTTGTTTTATCTGACCAGAGTATACTGTTCCAAAATAGTTCTGGTTTGTTGAAATGCTTGTGTGAGAAATTTTAGATGCACATCTCTGAGCTTCTTTTTTTCCTTTACTTTCACCATGATTGCTACTTGTTGAATGAATTCTTCCCAACCGATGGCAATGTCTTTTGCAAAAAGTACTAATGTTACTCATTTGCGGTGTCTTAATACAATCTTATCCTGTTTTAGTTATTATTTTAAACACATCTTCGTTTATGGTTACGAATAGATACTTTTTGTTCATGTTAAGTAGAAAGTCAAAAGTGAACATCTGCACTGAAAGGATATTAAATTGCAAGAACAAATGTTTCTAAATTGTGACCTTACAGTATGGAATTGACCTTTTATTGCAATTTATCTACTGATCCTAACAGGATGAATGGAGCTGTCACCAAAGGCTTTGAGGAAGATGTAGGAAATAAAACTTCGGTGTATGTGCATACTTCATATGCCTTACACCAATCTGTTTACGGTTTGAAAACTTATGGTTTCAGTAGTGCTCCAAAAGATGAGGTTGGTAAATTTTTTGTCAAATGTGTTTGTGTGACTTGTGACTTAAAACACAAAAGTGTGTAAACAAGTTAGCAAAGAGCTAATATCAGGGATGTTTCCCAAAAATATCATAGCTTTTGGATAATCTGAACTTTTAGAGAGACTAATGTTTAAACTATACGCTCTTCACCATCTTGCAGTCAGCTGTAATAGATTAATGAGATACAGGAGTGGTATTGGTATGCTGATGTACAACCTCATTTACAAAAAAGTTGGGATCTTGTGCAAAATGCAAATAAAAACAATTCAGTGACATGCAAATCATTTAAAGCCTATATTTAATAGAAAATAGTTCAAAGACAACATATCAAATGTTGAAACTGAGAAATGTTATTGTTTTTTGAATAATAATATGCCCATTTTGAATTTGATGCCAGCAACACATTTTTAAAAAAGTTTGGACGGGGACGTTTAACACTGTGTTGCATCACGTCTTCTTTTAACAACACTCTGTAAGCGTTTGGGAACTGAGGAGACCAACTGCTGTAGTTTTGAAAGTGAAATGTTTTCCCATTCTTGCTTGATATAGGATTTTAGCTGTTCAACAGCTCAGGGTCTCCTTTGTCAGATTTTCCATTTCATGTTGTGCCAAATGTTTTCAGCGGTGACAGGTTTGGACTGCTGGCAGGACAGTTTAGAAGTGGACTCTTTTACTACAGAGCCATGCCTTTGAAATACTTGCAGAATGTGGTTTGACGTCGTGCCGAAATAAGCAAGACAAGAAAAAAGGCCTTCACTGAAAAAGACGTCATCTGGATGGCAGCATATGTTGCTCCAGAATTAGCATATATTGTTCAGCATTAATGTTGTCTTCACAAATGTGCAAGTCACCCGTGCCATGTGCACTAATGCACCCCTGTACTATTACGGATGCCAGCTTTTGAACTGTGCATTCATAATAAGCTGGATGGTTCTTCTACTGTTTAGCCCGGAGGATGCCGCATTCATGATTTTCAAAAAGAATTTTGAATTTTGATTTGTTGAACCACAGGACACTTTTCCACTTCGCCTCAGTCCGTCTTAAATGAGCTCAGGCCCAGAGAAGACATCGGCGTTTCTGGATCTTATTTATTTATGCTTTCAATTAGATATAGAGTTTTAAATGATTAGCACATCATTGCATTCTGGTTTTATTTACATTTTGCACAGCATCCCAGCTTTTTTGGAGATGTGGTTGAATACATCCTTTCACATATTACATATTATTTATGAATGTGATTATGTAAGAAAATGTAAACTAACAAGTGTCCATTTAAACCCCAAGGGAATTAAGTATGTGCTCATACCAGAAGGCATGAGAGATTTTGAGTGGATTCAAGGCCTGTTTCAGAAAAACATAGTGAAAAAAGGGGTCTTTAAGGGTTTTAGGTAAGAACTCAAAACCCAGAGAATGTACTGTGTGGGTATCAAAGCATAATAGTCTAAATACTTTTATAAAAAAGTATTTTTACAAAAGTTTTGAGACCAGTGATGAAATTAGGCTATGTGATATATCTCTGCCATTCACCTTTGCTCTTTCCTTGTCTAGCCCATTGAGTTTTTATGGTGGACGGATTGAGAAAGAGAGATTTTATGTTCTTCATCCAGATTTTCTACGATATATTCGGAACAGGTATGCAGATTATCTTTTTTGGCTTCCTTTGTCTGATTTGTCGCTTTATAATATATAACATCAGGAGTTATTTGTTTTTGTATTTGTTTCCATGAGCTAAGCAATTATAACTATTCTTGGAGATCTAATAAATCAGATAATAATTTGTGCAGTGTGTTCATTTCAGATTCTTGTCGTCTAAAAGTCTGAATGAAGATTACTGGCATCTATACAGACCCACCAATGGAGCATTTACTCTGTTCTTGGCTCTTCACACCTGTGACATTGTAAGCAAAATTAAATTAACAATTATTTGTATTATTATTATTTTATTATTAATTAAAGTACCTGTCTAGTTATTGATTTTTTTTCTGAAGCAAAAGTAAATTCAAGCTGCTTTCTCTGCCTCTACTGACTATTATTTAGCAAATTCTGTCTGCTATTATTATTATTGTTACAACAATAATATTTCACTTTCAGTATTTTGTTGTGCATAATATACTATACATTTCCCTCTTTCTCCCAAATTAGGTGAACGTTTATGGATTTATTACTGCAGACCATCATAAGTACTCCAATTACTACTTTGATACGGGGGTGAAAACCAGCGTTGTTTTCTTCATTAACCATGACTACAACCTAGAGATCCAGACGTGGAAGAAACTGCATGATTCTGGAATCATTAATCTTTATCAAAGAAAGGAGAACCTAAAAGAGACATGACCTGACATACAGTACTACGCAAAAGTGAGACCACTCTTCATTAACCCAATTTCCAGTCAAAACAGCCATTAAGGACAAGTTATTCATTTCAGCATTAGGAAAAACACATATTTAACAGAAAATCACACAGAAGCCACAACAATTAAATAATTTCAAGCTTTTCAGTATTTAGTGTGTCCACCTTTATTACAGCTTCCATTCCTTCCTGGAGGCTTTTCTGGAGGTTTCATTTTTCAAAGAAATCTACAGGGGTATTTTTCCGCACCTTCAAAGTTTAGTCTGAGAAATTGGTTGCATTTTCTTCTTTTCATGATCCAAGACATTTCAAACACATTCATTGAGGTTTGGACTCTGGGTGGTCAGTCCATTGTTCTGAGAACACCAACAGATTCTTTGTTTCATTTGCAGACCTTTTTTATCTTTTTCCTTTTCTCAGTAAGAGCTTCTTGACAGCTACACATTTTTTCAGACTCAAAGCATTGAGTTGTCTTCTCGCAGTGGAAGGATGGACAGAACCACCTGTGGATTTTTCCAGATCTGAAGCAAGAATGGAGCTTGATTTTCTCCTCTCTCTTAACAATGAAAGCTTCAAGTACTGTTTATCTGGTGGTGACAGTTTTGGTGGTCTACCAGGTCTTGCATGGTTGTTAGGAGTTCCATTTTCTCTATATCTTTCAGTGGTTTTATGAACTCCAGTTTTGGATTTACTTTTGCTTATTTTCCTGTGATTTATGCTGGTGGATTATCTTACAACCAATGTCTTCAGAAACAACTACTGAAAAATTAGTAACTTGGTGTAATGAATATCTTAACATTACGTGCTTAATGGCTATTTTGACTATAATTTAAATGAATGAAGGGTGGGCTCTGACTTTTGCACAGTACTGTACTTATGCCAGATTCTGTAGAAGTGTTTTCAACTGTTTTCAACTAGTAAGAAAACATTCATTATTATGTTGCAACAGAAAATGCACTGCAGGGAACATTGCAAAGATGTGATATTGTAGCCGGGACTTTGTTACTTGTTGTTTATTGTTGTTACTTATTGTTAACAGGATTTATGGGTTAATGCAAAATACTGAGTGATTTTTTTTTCAGGACTTAGCAAGTTATGTGTTTTATGTTCCATGTAAAACATCAGAAACAGCAAGTTATACCCAACAACACTTTTAAGTTATTCTGCTGTTTTTAACCCTGCAAATTCCCTGCTATTCTTCCTAGGACTTGAGAACACAACAATACATTGTTTTCCGTGTTTCCATGTAATTACTGAACAATAAGCCTTAGAGTGTGCAGTTAGTTTAAGGGATGAAGTAACTGACAATATACCCCCTTTTCTTTTACTTTTATATTGTTACTCTTGTTTTATTACCTGATGTAACTTCCCTCCATAAATATTTTCCTTTAGGTATAATAAACACAGAAACACATATTTTGAGAACTTTTGGCCCATTCTTCCATGCCAAGCATTTCCATGGCTTTTATGTCCTTAAATCTATTCTTATGACTAATAATATTTTATAGGAAGTAATAGGTTGAGAACTACTTGTGATGCAGATCACAGGGTTTTCCCAAACAGAGGTTGGATAATCAGTAAATTAGGAGCAGTCAGCATATTGTTTTACTGATTTGGTGGTAAGTGTTTGGTGGTAAGACTGGGTGTATGGAGTCCATACAAATTAAAAAAATGATTTGCAATGGTTTATGGTGCAGTTATGTTCTCTATCTAAAGGTAAAATGTATCCTTGAGGGCATCACCTGAGTGACAGTTTAGTACCCTTTTTCTGAGAGTGCATGAAGCAATCAGCTGGCTAGGAATGCAAAAAGTGTTGTATGTAACAAATTAATTATTTGAATGTTTTACTGATATTTATTTTATTTAATTTCAGTTCATTATTCCATCCTATTATTTTCGAGTTTCAACAAGTCATACAAACTGGTTAATAGCGGTTTTCTACCAGCAGGTGTCACTCTCACTCTACAGAGTCCAGCCGCCGGTATTTTGCATATTGGCCCAGAAAATACTCTTATTATGGTACAGGATATGCATAGACACGTAAATTGCGTTCAATAAATAATTAGGCAAATGTCAGTGTAAGCAAATAATAACATACAGTATACAGATGAATACATCGTCAGCTAAACTTACAGCAGCTTAAACAATATAGTCAGTGTCATCTCCATATCATTTCTTAAGGAGTCCAACTACAGATGCTACCTAGTAAGTTGCGGGGTGTTGCAGGCGTTATTGTTTACAACCTATATTCCACCTGGCCCCGCCTACCTGTGCTGTGATTGGCTTGTAGTTCATGCTCACAATCGGTCCAGCAATCACTGCGCTGGAGGACGAGATTTAACAATCGGTTAATTCATCTATCAATCAATCAACGAATCAATAAAACGCTATTATTCTATTTAAAAAGTTGAGTAAATGAAGAATATATGAAAGTACATGATTATCTCTAACCCTGCTTCAAATTTAAATATTTTAGTTTCCCCTTAGTTAAAAGAGTAGCGTTTAAAAATTAATAATAAACTGGCCTAGAAACATAAAAACATATCTGACGTTTAATGTGATACTTGTCAGCACATGTGCCAAACTTTTAGCGTTGTTTCCCTAAATGGCTTATATTGGCTATAGATGCATTTACTCAGACTGATTTACTCAGGCTTCGACTGAATGTCAGTTTACAAACAGAAAACATTCTGTTTTCCCCTGAAAAACAATGTTCAGCTTGTATTTTATTCTGCCGCAACCTAAATTATTATTATTTTTTTAATTTTAAGTTAAATGAGTAAAATAATTATCAGTTGATGTTGCTGAATGAAATTGTCAATACCGCAGGCGTTATTTTTTTCTCACCACCTGTATTTGGGACGCCCTCTTCCTGCAGCGCGAGGATTGGTTAGTGACATCCCGCGTCCTGTCCTGCTAGCCAATCCTCACACAGGAGGGAGGGGCTTGTCTGAAAACGGGTGGAAAATAACATAACGCTAAGGCGCGGGTCTCCAGTGGCTCCGGAGGAGCTTGGCAGAGTGTCATAAACACTCACAACTCCTGTCATCTTCCTCGCCTTCTACAGCCGGCAGGGCAGCAATACTGCTAGGACCATTTATTACCTCTAAATATATGTTCTCTGTTGAAACGTGTGGACGTTAAGGTGTCTGTCAGCGAGTCCTCCATCAACTTCAGCTCGCATGGTGAGTTCACTCTCTGCTCGAGTCTGCCCTGTGTCCATGCCGAGCACCGTATGGTACCATTCAAGTTCATTTTAAAAGTGTTTTGTCGTTAAAAGTATATTGACATTTTCACACCGCCTTAGGTTTTTTTTTTTTTATTGTCTTTTTTTGCTGTTAAGGTGACCAGAGACTGTTCACCATTACCAGGTTCAGGTAGCCTTATACACATTGTATATACCACAGACTAATTTATTCAAACGACAGCATAGTATAGTCAATTATGAAATTACGTGCGTAATTCTCAAAGCGAGAGGCAAAAAATTTCCCTCATGAAAAAGACCTGTAGTAACATTATATGGATTTCTACAGGATTCCTATACGAGTCTATCAAATTCAGGCAAATGCTATAGTTTACTACAGGATACTGCACAACTATTATAGATTACTGTAACGATTTACTACGGGAATGTAATGTGGATGTGAAAATATTATAGATTATTAGAGAAATGTTTTGCAGCACTGTAGAAATCTTGCTTTTACTTAGTGTCCCCTTCACAAAACAAAAGGTTCTTTACAGCACCAAAAAAAGTTCTATGGTGCTATATAGAACCATATTAAAAGTTTTCCATCATAGAGGTGAACCATGAAACCATGCAAAGAGCCTTTTTTGCATTAAAGTGCTTCATGGTTCTGTGTATATAACCATTGTCTTTACTAAAGAACCCTTGAAGAACCTTTTTTTGTTTTACTATATGTTTTTGGGGCTGTTGACAGTTCATGTTGTGTAGAAATCTTATAGTTGCTTATAGTATTACGATCGTTTTGTGAGGGTTGACAGTTTACTGGTGTACAGTTTACAAATGTCTCGTTCTTGCAGGACCCTCACCTCTGCTTTGGGGAGGATACTACCATGGATGGAGTTGATGGATGGATTCTCTTGCTTGTTTAAACATCTTCAAGGGTTTTGAAAGCCATAAGCAGAAGAAGTCTTGTGACTAATACCATACAGCTTGTCTGGGCTAAAGGAATTAACAGGGCCATGTGGGTAAGATGATGTTTGTAAAGGCAGGACTGCAGCATGTTGTGGACAGGAAGAACGATGAATGTGTGAAGCAGGATCTGTAGCGTGTCTCTCAGAGTTGGACAGGAGCCATGGGCAAAGAGCAGGACCTCCTGCTGGCTGTGAAGAACGGAGACATTCTCTCAGCTCATAAACTCCTCACCAAGATCAAGGCCAACCGAAACAGTAAGTGAATGATCATTGGGAAGCTCTTCCCCTTTTTCCTTTTTTGAAAGAGAAGTCTCAAACAAACTTTATTATGCTGCTTGATTATTGTGATCTGCTCCCTCGTCTGACTTTGAGCAGCATAAGGGCGTCATTCTTTATTTGAAATGCTCCATCGCAAGAGTTTCTTGTCTGAGGCAAAGTTGTCAGTGCAGCGCTGTGTTTAAGTCTTATGTTATTTTAGTATTTGTTTTAAAGGACCCCTATCACAGAAAACTGAATTTTGCTCCTTTTTTTTGAAAAATGAAATATATAAACAGTAAAGGACTTCAAAAAGTGCTGTTCAATTCCCAGTCCGTATAGGCAACTAAGCTGCCTAATTACTTGCTTTTGTGATGTCACTAAAACCAATGTGTTTGCTTATATCTGTCTATTCAGCCTATAGCAGTTTAGCTCCACCCATTCATGTGGAAGTTATAAGGAATGTTTCAGCCTGAACTGCTTTTAAAGTGAGACACAATAAAGGTAGCCAGTCAGAACAGAGATGATTTACATATGTCAATCTTAAAGGCATAGTAATGGCCTGATTAATACTAAAGGATAAAGAAAGGTTGGAAAGTTGTCATGTAAACATAAATGTTGACTATTCTTGGTACGTAAACCCAAAAACAATTTATAAATGAACCTCAGGAGAAAAAACTAAATACAAGAAATATGGCCTTT